TGAATTGAGGGAGAGTGATGAATTGAGGGAGAGTGATGAATTGAGGGAGAGTGATGAATTGAGGGAGAGTGATGAATTGAGGGAGAGTGATGTACTGAGAGATGACTCATCATCGGCGAACAAGCGGAATTTAAGTTTTAGTTGGCCACATCCGAGGCATAAGTCAAGAATTCGCCATGTTAAGGGTGAAGAAGAGCACGACAGCTCTCCAAATATTACCTGTACAGAATCTTACATGTACGCCTTATGTGTTGTGTTATTTTACGGTGTCTGGAATGTAAGACTTCCATGACGTAGCTTCCCGACAAACCGTGCTCCCCAAACTGATTTGGTGACACTAATACCCTCTCAATAACGAGTCAGGTTCGAAGGTTTCGAATGAAGACAATGGGAGATTCCGCGCCGCTTTACGTATACAAAATTGTTCCGTCCACTTGTCCTGTTCGAGAACCACTCCCCGAGCGACTTCCAGTCAGCGATATCGATCAAACTTCAGGATTCATTCACCTCTTAACAGCGCTGCAAGTACCGCATGCCATCAAAGTTATTTATGAAAGAGAGCCAATGTTATATGTCTTACGGATCCCGTACGATAAATTTATACAAGACATTCGTTGGGAGACAGCGGATGGTGCATTGGGCGAGGCTTTACCCAAAGACGAACTGTGTCCAGTAAGTATCCGACAGCTATGTCCCACCTTAGGTTTCTAGTTTTTGCTTTTCAGGTATTATATGAGCTGACCAATGGAGAAGCATTTGTACAACGGGCTCAACCTAGGGCGCGACGACGTCGAGAGCATGGCTGTGTGGATAAACGAGCATGGATGGGAGAAGGTTCTACTGCAGGCAGGCCCGTGGCTTTTAAATTGAATGTAAGGGCTACCCACGTACCTGATTATCGTGCTTCTTTCGGCCCCAGTTTACTCCTTTGCTCTTGAGGAAGCCGAGAATCTTTTTCCACATTGTTCATTCTTGCATCTTCCAACATGAACGTTGTTGTCCTCGCATGAAAAGCCATACAGTGGCTATAGCGAATTATGAGTCTGGCATGAGTTACTGACGTATAAACTCATAGCTGCAAATGTTACCCTTACAACCGCAAATCTGTAGTATAACACGAAATCGGGAAGATCGAACAGGAACTGAACTGTATTCAGACGAACTGCTTGTAACCCCGAAAAGGGCGTGTCGCTGCTTAGTCCTCTTCGCTATTAATCTTTCCTTTCCAGCGGCTGCTAACAATCGTTTGGCGCAGACGCTTCCCCAGGTTCCCTTGTCTCACTAAACCTTCTGATCTCAAATCCTACCTAACCTGCCCGACTAATAAGGAGATGCGTAAGTGGGCATTTGTACGGAGGTTGCTCGCGTCCACTCTGCTGCTGGGTTATACAATAAATCTCTTGCACAAGGCCAGGGTGAAATAGCATGTATTGGATCAGGAATAGCTCAGAAAGGGAGCAAATCAAGGATTAGATATACTGTGCTGGTTAAATAAGGAGAGACGGTTCTACCTCATCAAACTCCGAGCTTTCCAAAACTTTACGCAAAATCTCTCGCTCGGCTGTAGTTTGAAGAAACAATTTTCCCTTTCTCTCCTTTGGCCACAGAACTTCCCTATACTTCTCCCATTTCTTCTCAACCTCCTTAGAATTGTCCATGTGCGCAAAGGAATTCCCCACGTCATCGTCCACTATGTCCAAGGGAACCCAGTTGTCGGACATTGGAGAGTCTTGATCATTCACGAGTACACCGTCCCAGGTGTCAAAAAGCCCCAGATGTCGAAGAAATCCCGATCGATCATAGTTCCAACTCGATGGATACAAAGAGGAAAGAACCAATTGGATAATTTGCGGAGGCCTCAGGAATTGAATAACGCTTCGTACAAAGAAGCCCCAATCCCCAACTTCGCTTTCGTTCTGGTCGATATATTGGTCTCTGACCAGGTCGTCTTCACCTTCCAACCAAGAAGGGACATCTGAGACATGAAAAGCCTTTCGTCCAACAAACCCCCATATAAAGTCGACTATCTCAACGATATCTAATTTCTCTCTAATAAGCCTCGCCGGGTTATTTGTCCACTGTCTCAAGGTAGAGTCGAATGCGTCGTCAAATTTCTGGGCATTAGGCCAGACCTGACTTCTGACCCTCCAGAGCTTTTCAATGGCCACCCATTGCGCCGTCAAAGCCTTGTAGAATCGTTCATAACCGTCTTTCCTGTCTTCTGGAATCGTTCCATTCGCGCATGAACCAGGAATTCGAGACGGCTTCGGCATACCCCCTTCACTAGCCGATGCCTCCGTTGTATCCGGTCTATTCACACCGGACGTATATGAGAAAGTCGAATTCGCATAGGCTTCATTTATGGCTTTATCCAGGTAAAGAACAAAAAGAAGACGCATTCCATGCCATCGGGACACTATATCCCAAATAACCTCATCTGGTATATCCCTGCCGCATTCCAGAGGTTCCAGCATATTGAGATGCCATCTGCGACGGGCGGCATTTTCTGGAATTGATGGTGTACTGTAAAACTCAGATGAGAAATGGCCATGCATATGGACAGCTTGATTGAGTTCAAGATCATGCTGGTGTTGAGAAGCATGTGACTATTTCATTGTCAGACAATCAGCAGATCATGTTTGACAGAAGTGATGTTCTTACGATGATGGACCTAAAAATTTTCAGTCGGACGCTAGTCGCATCAAAAACAGAAAAGGTATATTTGCAGCATCGGGCAAGATGTAAGGCTTCATCTATGTTATCAAGCGACTCAAATACCCATACGAGAATCTCGGGAGGGAGGTCGAGAAGGCGGCACATCTCGCGAGAATGGAATATGATCAGAGGGTGAAGCGTGTGGGCAGGTCAGCAAGTTCTCAACTGTTAATATGATCTCCCGTGTATGACAAATAATCGCGGCTCCAAGAACGGCCCCCAAAAAACAGCGACCAATCTCGCAGGGGTGCCATTTCTGAGGTTCTGTTGGTGACCAACAGGGTCGCGATTCGTTGCAAAGTGGGCATTAGTTCGGGGCTATTAGCGATAGTGTGCTTTACTAGAAATTTAGGACAGACATCTGGTTGGCTGGTGTGGGGTCGGGACAGTTTCCGGTTCCCCCGGCGGAAGCAATCAACAACGGCGCGTAGAGGTCGCCTAGGATAGGCCGAATTTCACGCCGGGCTTGGCATGTGATAACCTACTGAGATCTGTATATCGAGGTCGCACCCACACTTGTTTCCGACGGGACATCCGATTCAAAACCAAAGGTGACGTCTATGGGATTGACATCATTGGACTAGACTGTAGTACCACAGCAGGAAGAATCTGTATCAATCTGCAAGTTGATGCTGCCAAGCAGGCATTTATTTGGTTATTTGATTGATGCGTAGAGCTTGGATAATTGAGGCCTGATTTCCGAAAGCTCTAAGTTGTTCAACTATAAAAAGATTTTCGACGACCCCAGTTGAATTCGCATGGCCATTGTGTTTCTGCCATGAGATTCCCCGGCTATCCCAGTCCGGGGTGGATGAGATGACATCAAAATGATACTGGCGATTTTATGGAAATCCTGTGGTAAGCTTTTCACCCACGCAGAGTCGATCATGGTGGACCACAGTACGTGCACCATCTCTCTGTGTAGGAATGTTGAGAAACATCTTTCAAGCTGTTCATAGCACCGTTGAGCAGGTTTTGTGATATGAGGCTGGTGCAGATCAGGAATCAAGCCGCACCATCGGATAATTCCCGCATTGTCTATACCAAGAACCAAGTTGATTGAAAATCAACTTCATCTTCTCGTTGTATATATAGCCTCAGTTATTCCCTCTAGAATAGAAGAACAATTAATCCTCCTTTGAACTACAACAGCAGGAACTTGGTCGAGCCGCGGTCCGATGATGGAGCTTATAAATTTGATGGTTCACCACTGGTCCTGCCGGGACTGGATAAGTGTTCGGGCTTCGCAGCTCTCTTCGAACCCAGGATGGCTCGTGAGTAGGTTTGCACGCCGTTTTTCGCTTCTGACACGACCGCAACGTCTTCGTCCGTCGCATCGTAATTTCATTATGGTACACTGGCTGGCAGAGTTAGTATGGTAAGGCTGCGTGGTGATCTGGTTGCGGACCTACTAGTTGACAAGCGTATCGCTGCCTACCTCTGTGAACCATTCAGGGATCCCTGAGTCACCGCGTTCAGCGCAAACCGCATAATGGTCACGGAGATTGTCACTATAGCAGTGCGACTCGGTCTAAGCCGGAATTTCCTCGATTTATGACTAACCTGCGCGCGAAATAATTATTGCAGAATACGCAAAAGTACGATCCTTCCTGCTGCTGTCGACGCCGCCGTTGCTCCTGGGCTAAAGCGATCAGTATCGTCACGATGTATGGGTCTTCGGCGGGATTTTGGGGTTCAAGAGAATCCAGCCTTTTCTGCCTGATACGGAGACCGGGTGCGTTGACTATTTCATTGACTCTTTTATAAGGTGGCGTGTACACATGCTTCTTGCGAAGTGTCTGTATCTTATCAAACGTGATATAGGCAAGGCTTGGAGCCACGGAGTTATTCGAGAAGACACCGTCCGTTGCAAGCATCACAGCAGCCCGGCGATTAAAGTAAAACGGCAGGCATTTACGGCTAGAAGCTTGCCAGCAGCACCATCAATGTCTTGGGACACGGGATATGTTACTCTGAAATATGACTATTGTAAGCATCAAGTATGTCTTCAACAGCGGACTTCTTGGCCACCAAGGTGCTTAGCTGTGACAGCTTAGTTGCAGTGCGCATGGCGTGACTGTATCGCTCTCCCCCTGGCTTTGTCTGCGCAGCACCATCTACCGCTCTACTCCCCTCGTTTTGGAAATCAAAATCTTGCGATGCTGGTTGTGTCTGTTGTTTCCCCTCCTTCTCCCATTCTGGAAGCGGAACTGGCACGTCAAAAGTCGCAGTTGGTGCGAGGTCCATGCTATCGGCGGGACATACAAGCGTACCCCGCAATGATCACGAATAATTGCCTGAATCGAATCTGGTTGGGGTAGCCTCCTGACTGTCGTTTGTGGGTACGTGGCAAACACAGACTCGGTTTGGGAGGGACGACGTCGCTGGAGGACTTGCAATATCGTTTCGAGCCTTTCGCTTGGATCCAATTGTTGAAGAAGGCAACTATGACATTTCATCGAGACAATTCCCCGGAAATGCGTGACCGTTCGGTTCGGTGGTACTATAGTGGCTACTTTTAAGTCAATGTTTTGTTAACGCGTTCGAATCAAATCACACTATCATCGGTCGCCCCACTCTGCGGACAGTCAGCCACAAGCCACAGCTCAAGCCCCATCCTCGTAAAGTACTTTCCCACATCCAACATCCATCTAGTTTACCCCTCGGTGCCCTCACTTTTACTTAGCAGTGGCATGAAGGCTCGAATGACCATTAAATTCAAGGAAGTAAATGTATATTCCTCATCTCTAACACTCAAAATTGTATTCGTTTAAGAAATGAGCTGACGCGATATCCATCACATCGTTCAGCATGATTACTCTGGTTTATGCAGCTCGAAGCCCAGCCGAATTCAGGCGACTGTCTGAGGAGCATGGGGGCTTATGTCTTATTTCACAAGACGAATTGATGCGTTCTGCTAGCAGATGGTCATTCCGACATTTGTTTGGCTTTCGACTGCTCACTCTTTCAGAAAAGCCCTTTCTGGAGGCTTTTATGACCGATCACGAGAATCACTGCCCACTGTATAATACTGTAAGACCGAGTTCGCAGAATGTTGACCATTATTGGACGAAACTTCTCACATCAGATTGTCCAATCGACTTTCCGAAAAGCACGGACCCCGAGCTTCTACGCCTACCAGGTGGTTTTTTTGGGTCGAACTAGCAAGAGTCACCCGCTCTCAAATCGTTACCGAGTCACGGTTATATCCTCAGCGCGAATGGCGACCTCTACAAATAGACGATTATGTTGATTCCACATCTGCCATTCCGGGGTCCTCCTCTCCCGTGAACCTCACTTCATCCGAATTTGAGGTTGACCTTGATGACCTTGACGAGGATGAGCATGACGCTCGGCGAAGTAAACACGAGGAAGTCACGGTGCACTTCTTGATGTCTTTTCTTCAATTCGCTTTGAATCTCTGCCTACTACAGGATGAAGGAGACCGAGAGGTGCGACCGCGGGTCGAACGCCTAAAAGCTACGATCCGTGTTGCTGGGATACATGATGTTGGTGCTGAAGATGATGGTGGAATTTGCAGGATGGATCGGCACGCCCACGGTTGGATAATGGGACACCCATACTTGGCCTCCATCGAGGCGAAGAGAGCGTTTAAATATATCCACTTCGACGAGCGTACGGGAGAACATAAGCCAGTAGTGTCAAATGAAACACTGGCTCAGTACATTGGCGAAGCGGTGATATCATGGCGAGCAAACCGAGAGTTCCTGGGCCAAGAGTAAATCTACCATTGGGTTTGTGGCAAGAGTTTGCTCTTCTTTTGCAATTGTTGACGTGTGGTTGCATCTGCAGTGCCTTCCTCCTCGTAGCGACAAATACTTTTCTGCGTTTCATTCATTTCTAATTCGGCTCTCATTATGGCGAATACGTCGATGCTGCAAGCGAGATGACACAGAAAATTCCGGTCGATGACGAAAATAGAGACACGTTCATCTACATGCACAGCACTAAATGGTTTAATCTTCAGTCGCCTGGGGGAAGAAAGTCCGCGCTGTGCCATATTTTAGCGATGGTAAGGTGGCATGACGAACGGAACGCCAGACTTCTCCCTGTTGTCGATGACTCCAGTGGTCCCGAAGATGACAGTGATCTCTCCATGGAAGACCATAGCGACTAGTACATAATATGGGTGGTTTTGAGGGGATCAAATAAGGCAGCAGGTAACCTGCGGAATTGATGAATGTGCAATGTCTTAGCGATGACGGCCCTTACATTTGCCAATTTCCCTTATAGCTTATCAAGGTAATCTTTGGACCCTGTCTGGTTGTCTAGTGCTAGCAGCCCCTGGTCGAGATTCCCATAATCCTGAAATAAGACGACACAAGCTCTTGGGCTGGATGAGTAATATTATGTTGCGTCTCAATATGTCATTTAGGATATGGAATTGAAGCGTGACTCGACGAATCAAGAGAGAGGGAATCCAGGGCCAACATGGGAGTTCATTCGGAAACCTATAATTGAACAAGACATACATGCGGTTGTCTTGCCTCGCGTTTTGTACGTAGCCACGTATCCACGTATCTTCATGAACAAACTCCCGCGAGTTGCATCGGCGGCCCCGAAGGATCCCCATGCCGTCTCGTTGAAAGGTAGAACAGGCTTTGGAGTTGAAAAATCCGCAGGTACATGGCTATGGATATGGGTGAATTTCCTTTATATTTGCATTCCTTGAGTTACTTCGTGTGCTGAAAAAGCTTAATCGCCGTGTGTGGGCGAGAAAGCCTACTGAGGAGGGGTTGAAAGATATCAAGCCCGAGCCATCGCTATAAAGATGTTTTCTATCTTATAGACTATCGGCGATAATTGTGCACGAATTCATTGAGATTATACGGGGAAACTAGCGACGGTGTCGAATACTTCCGACCTTGCTCTATTATATACTAGACGTCTAGGAATACATGACCACATCATAAGTATCTAGATCTTCTGGTGTATTTCAGAGCTCAGTAGGGGCAAGAGGCGGTTCTGGGCTCCCTGGAATAAGACAAGCCCGAAAACGCGTTTATGATAATTAGCGTCATCCTGACGCGTATCATCCACTATGAGAAGGGATAGCTCGTGACCGCCCCTTAACCCCTCATTTCCGTTCGATTCTACAGTATCTGGTCAAGTTATTGCTGGCTCTCTTTTGTGACCTTGCGGTCTTGGAGATAATTCCCCGATATGACAGAGAAGCCTCATGAACGATCTGAAGTAGCGGAAAAGAATACGCAGCAAATTGCGAGCGACGAGATCGGACAACTACATCCACATTCTGCACCTTCCGGATTTCTCAATCTTCCATACGAAATACGTCGATTGGTATATTCCTTCCTAATTCCTCGAAAGCGCGTTATAAGAGTTACTCGGTCAATGTTCGCTTGTGGAGTCGAGCCTCTTGACAATGACTACGACTTCAACCCCAACCGCAGCAGGTTCAACGTCCTACGTTTATCAAGGAAAATCAGCGAAGAGACTTTGGACATTCTTTATGGGGAGAACCTGTTTCAAGTCTCCTTGAATGGAGATGGTGAAGGGGACCTCGAGCACAATTTTACCGAAAGAAATCGTCGCAGAATCCGATTTGTGTTGGTTTTAATGACGGCCGGTGGTGTTTCCAGCACTCCTAAACATCCCTTTGTGGGCCTCACTTCTTCCGAACCTAAAAGTGTTCCAGATAATTGCCGAGCAGCCGGTGGAAGCAAGAGCATATTGGAACGCTCCTACCCTTGAGCAAGAGTTGAACGAGTGGGTTAAGTGGGTAATGGCCTATTTCGACTGTTTTCGTCGATACCTCAGGACCGCAACAAGGGTGGAGCTGGATGATGATAATAGGAAAGAGGCAAGATATCTAGCTGATCGGTATTTGCCCCTGACCTATCGAAAGATTCGTCATCCGCGTGGGGATTTAGTTTTCCGGCGAGGGCAGTACTCTATTGAATCAGGATATTGGGACGAAGATGATACTATGAAATCATATGATGTCTAACTGCTGACTCTTCGCAGCAAGCAATATGCAGGCTTCTAGCTACGGCCTGTATGTGTATTTTGGGATGTGGATTTGTGTGTGTGTGTGTGTGTGTGTGTGTGAATTATCTACCTCGGTCCATCGCTGAGTGATATGACCTACAACAGTATGTGTGTGTGCAATTTTGAACTGAATTTTCTCAAAATAAACCAGGTCTCGCTATTATTGAAATAATGCAACCAACGCGGCTCATATAAAAGGCTTCTATGGGAAGAGGATTTACATGCTGTTGGTGTTCAATAGTGTACCATGTTCAAGGTTGATTCACCGAACAGTGACGGTTGTCGCACGTTTTAGAGACAGACCCTTAACTGGTTAGCGAAAATAAGCTCAGCAGAAAAGACAGAAAATAGGTGGCTACATTTTCCTGAGGGACTGTTGGAAAGCATAGCTTCCTCGGGTACAGCATAAGTCAGATATCGCAAAAGACAAGGCAAACTCTGTTGGTATCAGCTACGGGAAATCTTTCTGAGGTCACTATCTGGCTAAACTGGAAATGGGCTATGCACAATCTATCACACATCTGGAAAGTTAGGGAGACCCTAATAACGTGACCCGCTAAACCCGATATGAATATTTTCGTATTTTAGATCATGTTCTGATTTTGAACGGTAAAGTTTCTTAACGGACAATCGCTGTAATATTATGTATTGTTACCCATCAAATAAACCACGGATTGGCGAGTCGTCTGGAGGCAATTCAATTTTTTTCTTTTTTGTTTCTTTTGGCTGGAAAGGCTTTTCCCGGTCGCATCTGGTTATGCCCAGGAGTACTTCATTAAGTGGGATTGTTCGTGGATCATCCGCTTTCGGAAGATATATTAAGCCGAAATTGGGCAGTGTCTCATGACACATACCAAAGAAGATTCATTCGGACATGCAGGTGTCCCTTAGAAATGACTGCCTTTCCAGACTATCTGAGAAATTTACCTTTGTTAACCAACTATGCCAGTCTCTCTTGAACACTACATTTTACAAATTTTAGGCGGTGGCCGAATCTTTGCCCGTGGTATAACGCATAATCCACCCAGACTGCGCCCGGGAATGGTGAATCGAATCCTCTTCTTCCCTGGAGCTTTCAATCCTCCTCATGTTGGACATCTCGGTTTACTTCAACATGCTTTCGAGAATTGTACGAGCAGTATGAACGTCATTGCTGTCATTGTTTTCCCTCTGGATGATGAAACAGTGCAGAGGAAACTCGGGCCGGGGGGCAACACTTTAATATTGAAGAAGCATGAGCGAGTAAGGCTTTGGAGTGGTGGTATGGAAGCCGACCACTTCTGGGTGTACGATCGTGATGAGGGAAGTTGGCGAGCTTTCCAGAATCAACTCATCCATAACCTCGCGTGTGATGGATTTGAATTGAAGTTCTCTCTTCTCTGTGGCCCGGATCACATGCAACACATGGAAACCATTCCCTGTGAGCCATGGAGCTGCAAAGAAATTATTTTCAGTGATATTGGCAGAGACACTGTCATCGCATCGCAAGGGAGTATGGGATTGAAACAATTGGATCTCTATCACCCTTGGAAGCGAATTGTGGTAGATTGCGAATGGGTCAGAAGCCTCGCCGAATCTAACGTTTCTTTCATTATCTCTGGCCATTATATGACGGGCCCGAGATGCGCAGACGCCATGCTAAAGAAAGGTGAAATCTCTCGCTCGGGCGTTGAGCAGATTACTAAACAGCTCTTCAGAACCAGATATAGTAGACCGTATGATCGAAGAATTTTATACTTATTCAGTCATTTCTGCGTCAAAAGTCTGGATATGTCACCAAAAGGACGACCCTTCTTGCACCATACGATTCATACCGAAGCCTAAAGACAGAACCACACCGAAGATTAGCTCCTCGGCGATACGACGGTCGATTGAGCTATCTGCGCCATGCCAGTCAATCGACAATCTGTTAACTTCAGTGTTACATGCCGAGACCTTGTACGATATTCTAACCTCGCGGCGGGGGGTCTGGCCTCCTTTGGGAACAAGACAAAGATAAATAGGTGCGAGAGAACATAAAATGATGTCGAGGCAAAGTAATTGCGATACGGTCATCGGAAATGCAACAACTATGAACCACAGCCTGAATCAAAAAGTTTGTAGGCTTCGTTATACGATCCAGTTCTAGTTATTTCTACAATGTGCCTCTAAAAGACAAACTAGCGACATGAGCAGAGATGTAAGGCTAAACAGTGATCACTGGTATCCAATAAGGTCCGAAAACGCAGCATGATGATGACCGGTGACAGAGATTCCCGAACCAGGCTTTACTGTTGAGCTTTGTCTCCCCCAGGAAGCGCAAAGCTCTCTGCAGTAAAGCAACTGGAAGATACGGAAGAGAGAGAAATATTCGACTGAGCAAGGAAGCAGGCCATCTATATCTCCAATTTCTGATTAACAGACCACGATAACGGCCATGGTACATCCTGGAGTCAGGCGTCAACATCCGTTCTACATAGATGTTACCACTAACCCATTCAACCAAATGGGTTAGTGGGCTCCCCATTTGGATTGCTTTCATCCGAGCCAAGCTTTCCCCAGTCGAGCGGTACGCCCTATCTGTCATCAGAACGTGATCATGACATAGGAAAGGTTCTGGTCAAAAGCTTCAGAATTCCGAATCCATGCGACAACGATGAAGTCCGGATAACAAAGGAGTTACACCCCGCAAAAGCTTTATTTGTGGTGTTGATGCATGCCTCCTCCGTCGGTGCGCTGGGAAGGCGGATAGGAAAGGAAGAAGTACTATTTGGAGGCCAGTCACGCGAAGACGAATAATAAATCCAACAATCCAGAATCCGTGACCACCCCTTGAACCTGCTCTTTTAGCTCGCTGTTCTGTTTCTGTTGTTCACCGAGCGCCAATTTGCCTTCCCAATCACACAGTCACTGGGGTAATCAGGTTCAACTAAGCGACAAAGAAATAATTGTGAGGTCACTACATTGCTAGATAAGTGAACTAATCATTGTCAATTTGGCACCCGACGGTTGTTCACCAGTCACTTTTGTTCCTGTGGTTTTAGTACCTGAGTAGACCTTTTACATTATTTAAAAAGCCGAAGAGAGGGGTACAGTACATTGTATGAGAGGATGCCTATGCTGCCCGGGTAACACGACTTGAATAGACAGAATACACATAGATAGAATGCCCGAGGAACAAAATCACCCCAAAAGAGTGGCTAGATACTGCTCTGGTCAACAATGTGGCTGGGAATCCGAAAGGTATGATTTGTGGAATGATGTTGAGGGCTGGTAATTGTAGGTAGGTCAATTAAACAAGCTTACTTGCATGGATAAATCATGAGTAATTGAAAGCCTAGCGCATCTTACAACGATGTTTGGTAGCAAGTTAGTTAAACGTATTAGCCCAGGGGATGACATGGACCGGCTGAGGCCACTGGCTTTGGAATTTGGGTCGGAATAAATAGTGATAAACGGAGTGAAGCGCTCGATTCGACGAAATGAAGAATCTGCTCAATCGGGGTTTGAAGTAAACAGTTGAACCACACCGTCTGTCCGGATCACATGCTCAATGGGGCTCGGGAAGATGAATTGGGAGTGGTTATTAGGACCCCGGATTTGTCCCAGTTTCACAGTACCTGTTCATGAGGATACGTACAAAACAGCCCATAGTGGCACTTTATATGTTCAGCAGAAGATTCATGCCAGAGAGGCAAGGCGTGAGGCCTAAAACTCAATAATGTCGAACTGGGTCGTGGAGTAAGTATCGCTTTCCCCGTTGCAGTGTTCTGCGTTCGTGGTCGCTGAGTCACTAATGATCTTCTGCTGGTCGGGGATCGTGAATATACCCCGCTATTAGGTGAATCATGGAGCTACCAAGCTTCAGAAGGAAAATCAGCCTGGATCTCGTACACCTGATTCACACTGACCTTCAAGCTTTATTGAGGCGTGTGTTCTGGCCCATTGATCAGCCTTACGACATACCACCCTAAGATTTTTAGTGGTTTCGCGCTCGCTGTCTCCCTTGACCATGAAGCAGACATCCTCCACCCAGCCGTTGCTGGTCACGCGTTCCCGCAGCGGTGCAGAGCAATGACAATTCTGCTAGACATTGACATGGACAATGATACCGTAGATCGATTGTACTTATTTAATACGTGCAACGCTTTTTCCGAGGAGGCTGCAGGATTACGCTGCAGGATTGACCGATATTAACAGCAATTGCATGCAATAGGGAGTACTAAGATGACCTCCATTCCTCAGCAGGAAGCAGCCGTCAGCTGGATTATGAAGGGTTTGGTGGTGTAATTGATTTCTGGATCACAAGCCCGAGATGCCAAGATGCTTCTGTTTCTTACCTAGGCGCCATCGAAAACCAAAAGGTTTTGAATATTGACCTCGCCAAACCCACATCGGCGCAACAGTTCCCGACCACGGTGAACCGTGAAGGTAGCTTGGAGAGTTTGTTCCATCTGGGTGTCTGGATGTACCTAGTTAGTGTTTACGACTATCAAGACTCGTTTTATTCGCATGACTGTAGTGTAGTGTTGAAAATGTTTAGTATAATTTCCTTATTGATATTCTCGATCCGATGTGTATTTGGCTGAATTGAAAGCTTCTATCCTGGGTAGTTGACCCGTTCTTAAACAACGCACATAGTCACTAGGGTCAGTTCTCTAAGTTTCCCGCTTGGCAAATATTTTGCCAGCCGCCGAGTTGCCAACCGCGGCGATTGTGGTGCCGCCAAGCATGTCAAAAATTGCCACGTCAACATCCAACTCTTTGAAAAACCAGTTTCGGAACTCCACTGCCACCAGAGAGTCAACCCCATAGCTATGCAATGGTCTCTCTCCATGTACCTCCTCTTTTGGAATCCCAAGGGTCTTTGATAGCTTAGAGACCAGTAAGTCGGTGACTATCGCACCAGCCGCCTCCACCGAATCCGCAGACGAGAGACTCTTTCCGACTTGACCACTGGAGGGCTGGTCATGCGAGTCTCTTTCAGCACCTTCCGCGTGGTCAGTGGCAAGGATCTGTCGGAAAGCGGGTTTCTCAAGCCAATATGTAGCGTCGGGGTTGCGCTTGTACACATCCCACGGACTCGTAAGCCCGATGATCGTTTGACAGCCTCTCTCATACGATTGAGGCGCGCGTGGGTCACAGTATAAGGACAGAAGGGCGTGAAGTTCTACCTCCGTCACGGGAACAAAAGGCAAGTTGGATGTGTAGCGGTCTTTCAAAGAGGATGACTGCGCAACCAGCCCAGTGGAAAGGAAGAAGCCCAAGTTTAATGAGGTAGCGCGCTCCCCATGAGCCACCCGGTGATGGGCTAGCGCGTCCATAAAGCCATTCGCCGCAGCATAGTTTGCCTGGCCCCGATTGCCCGTGATACTCGAGATGGAGGAAAGCATGATGAAGAAATCAAGACCCGAGGGAAGCAGCTGATGTAAGTTCCAGGTTCCCGCAACCTTGGGTGATGCTGCTTGGACCCATTGCGAATGAGTCATCTGCTGGAACATTGCATCCTAGTATCGGTCAGTGAGCTGGTTGACATGCCGAGGAGGGCGATATGGCACTAACCTGGAGAACCACTGTGGCTTGGATGAAACCCTTGATTGGGGGCATGGTATATGACACATCCCCCAAGATAGCCTCTAGCATTGAGCGATTCGTGATGTCACAAGCTGGTGCTTGAGCCTTGACCTTATAGCCAGCCAGCTCACGGATGAAAGCCTGTGCATCGCGACTATTTGCCCCAGACCGAGAAAGCAGAAGCAAGTACCGAGCTCCGCAAGAGACCATCCAGCGAACAATGCTTTTCCCAAGTCCTCCTAGACCCCCAGCAATGATATAGGTGGCGTTGGGGTCAAAACTGTGAGATGGTCGAGGGGTAATGAGGGTCTGTAACCGGTCAGCAGGAGACCGAAGTAGTTGGAGAGAGGGGAGGAGAATACATCAATGATATCATGGTCGCGCATCTCAAAAACTACTTTCCCAGAGCTTTGTCCTGCTTGTAACGTCCTGAACCCTTTCTCCAATTCATCTATCCCATAGACACGTAGGGGATTAGACACCTGAAGGATACCCGCAGACATAAGTGGCATCAAGGCACGGAGAGCCTTTCCAATGAGGTGAGGCCGCTCCTGGACGACTAAAGCCAGGTCAATTGCACTGAAAGTAACATTCCGGGCAAAGTGGTACATATCAAGCTGGCCATGACCTAGAATATCCCGCTTCCCAATTTCGAGGAATCGGCCGTAGGGGGCAATGGATTCCCACGATGCGACAAGACCTTCTCCAGACAAGGAGTTGAGCACTACATCAACACCCTGGCCGTTTGTCAATCGTCGAATACCTGCGGCAAAGTGGGTGTTTCGACTGGAGAAAATTTGAGAATCAGGGATACCGTAACGATCGATCAGGAACTTTTTTTTCCCCGCATTCCCGACAGTGGCAATAACGTCGGCCCCGAGATATTGAGCTACCTGGACAGCCGCCTGTCCTGTTCCTCCTGCTCCGGAGTGAATCAGAACAGTCTCACCAGGCTGCACGTTAGCAATGAAAGCCAAGGCATGCCATGCGGTGACAAAGTTGGTTGGGATAGCAGCTGCATCACTGAATGACATCCCTGGGGGTATCCTGATAGTGGCAGCCTGGTGCAGACGGGCGTATGTGCGGTAGCTGTCAAAGTTACAACCGACAACTTGATCCCCTACTTGGAAGTCGGTACAGGAACTCCCAACCCGTGTCACCACACCGGCGCACTCGAAGCCCAAGGTGGTCTGATCCATCCGACCGAGCATGACTAGAACATCACGGAAATTGGCGCCAACTGCTTTCACCTTAATCTCTAGCATATCCGCGGGGAGAGGTAACTTGCGGTCTGTATCTTCGACAAACTGGAGATTGTCAAGCATACCAGCAGGGCCGATAGTAAGTTTCAAAGGAGGAGCAGAGTTCCATTGTAAGCGTGTGGGGGATTGCGAAGATCGAAGCCTCCTGACTGCGTGGGAAAGCTGAGGGGCCTCAACAAGACGTGGGATGTGAAGGAAGCCAGATTTCTCCACATATTCAGTCTCAGGCTTTGTGGATGAAACCATCGCCTTCAATACTCGCATAATTCGATCAGCCTGGAAGTCTGTATTTTCGATGGATAGCGTGGTGAATATCCCTCGACTATCTTCCGAGTTGAGTACCCTGAAGAATCCATCGACAACTCGAAGGAAGGGCGACGAGTCGCCAGCTCCATTTGAGCCGATCCACATAACTTTGCGGCATCCAATAGCTAGCTGTTGGACCTTCTGGAAGACACTCTCATTCATTTCTGCCAGTAATGGACTGTCCAGCTCCAGAAGTACTATGCAAATCAAATCCTGGGGCATTGATTCCGGAAGGGTCTTCTTGATAGACCAAATTTCTACAGAGCTGGCGAATTCTTCTGGTAGGCGAGTAACCAGGCCTTCGGCAAGTGCTTTCTGGGAAGGCTGTGTTGGGTCGAACAGCATTGCCACAGGAGGGTGAGTATGATCATCCACCGCGGTAGATCTTTCGACGGATGTGGATACAATGACGCTTATTTCGTGGCAGATAAGGTCATCATGATCCCGGAAGACGAGATCCGAACCTGAAAATCCGGACTGTCGCAAAATCTCATCCCACTTGGACTCGCCGACGCAGTGTCCCATGCTTCGATAGGACTCGGTGTCTATGTTTTTGCGGTTAGATGTAAACTCGCAAGGATTAAGGGAACACCGACTTATCCACCAGCTCTCATTTAACCCGTTCACAAACGCACTCCGAGTGGAGTCTGGATTAACCATGTCGATGATAACAAGCTTCCCCCGTCTAAAAGCCCGTCGGATTAGCCTTCAATGTGATGTGATGTATTTGAAAACTTTAAGTAACTTACTCCGTCAGCATACTCCGAAGGTTTCCGAGGGACTTCTTGATAGACGCGAACTCGTGGAATGCCTGTATTGTTAGCATAAAGACAGACACCGGTAGACATGAAGAGATTTGATCCATACCAAATACACGACGATCAGATCATAGTTAGAGGATTCCAATTCTTCAGACCCAAGGTTGCCACCCACATCCAGACATTTGAAGGACACCCGTGGACTGCAGTCTCCTAGCCGCGTTTGAAGAGCAGAAAGCCGATTTTGATCACTGCGAGCAATGTCAAAGCGCGCAAACCGTGGTATAATGTGACCATCAGGGTCCTTGGAGGCCAAAGTCTCCATCATGAGACGCGAGGCAGACCCAAAACCGCCGTCGACTTCGAGTATCTTCATTCCCGGGTACTTGTGTCCCAGTGTATCCATATATTTTCTCCAACGGCGCACCCCAGGCGTGTTTTCCAACTGCAAAAATGTTAATCTTGAGATTGAAGCGAAGGGTAGCCGCTTACCAGTTCTTCGTATGAGTTTTCCAGTAGCTCAACATCCACAATACGCGACAACGGCTGCTCATGCTTGCCTTCAGCATATTCCACGAGTGCTATACCGACATTCACCAACGTTTTTCCAAGCTGGCTAGCTTCCTCCACAGAGGCACAAAGCTTTGCAAATCCAACGTCATCTTGAATCCGTTCTTGCCAGTATTTGGAGCTGAATGGGGATTTGCCATCCCGAGTCACTTGAAGATTATGCTTCAACCAGTCCATGTAGGGCTGCACCAAGGCAGCCTTGACCTTTTCCCCCCGAGAAATCGCATTTACAGCGCGAAAGATGAAACCCGCGATCATCAATTCCATGTTCAAGTAGTGAACACCATGTCCAGCCGAATCAGGAATGTAATCATTGCAGAATTGCATGATTTCGTCCTCGTTCATGAGATCCAAATCTGGTTTCCAATCAATTTGATGACACTTCGAGCTTTCTGAAGAGGCTCCATACTCTTCGACAGAGCTCTGAGAATCAATTGCCTTGAAGGTGACGCCGTCGATAGTGATCAGAACCTGGTCTGCAGCTTGGCTCGCTGCTATGAGACTGAAGGTCGATTCCTGTCGACCCTCGTGACAAAGTTTGGTCCCAACCTTGATCGATGCGGCGGCTGGATGATTTAGGCCGACATTCGATACCCATGCCCTGTCAAGATAAATAGGAATTGATGGCGCGATGCGTTTCTGACCCGCCTGAGAGCGTAGGACTTGAGTGCCTTGCATGAGTCCGTCCAAGGTCGTCGGGTGGATGGTATAAGCCCCATCCCAACGGTTGAGTGCATCAGACGTATACGTTTGAACATCCGTCACCTGATGATGGCCTTGATCGCTGGCAACGTTGCGAATTACCGCAAATGTCGGGCCAAATTGCAACCCGGAGGATGTAAGACTTGAATAGAAATGATCGCTATCCAGGACGGTAGTGGACTGCTCCGTCATCTGGCGAAGTTGGTCCAATGCCTCCGTCTTTTCCATGGATGCTGCGTCGTTACCATCAATCTCACTCATGCTAGGCTTTCCAATAACTGCCTGGATACTCCCAGTGCAGTTTTTGATCCAAGAGCTTTTACAGGAGAAGAGACTGAACTCGTACCAGCCATCACCGTTAGGCCCATCCTCGCGCTGAGGCCGCATGCAGAATCGAGTTTCAAGGCCTGCGGTATCTGCTGGGACAACCAAAGCCGACATGAATTTCACGTTCTTGAAGCTGAACCCAGTGATTTCTTGTTCGGGGCTTATGAGCTGTTTGGTGGCTTCAATGGCCATGCTGAGCATGCCTGCACCGGGAACGATAATGGTGTTGTTTACCTAAGGAACGTAAGTATACTGGCAAAAGTATTAGGATCTCAGCTAATGCTATCCGTACCTGATGGTCCTTCACCCAGACGGGATCAGACGGTTGTAGGATGTTGTTCCACTTAGGGAGCAACGGATTCCAGTCATCATCAGGCAATCCAAGGAGCTCATGCCTCCCAAAACGACGGAACCGGAACGACTTGCTGATTATGCCTTCGCGCCAGTAGGACTTGGTCTTATTGAACTGATACGAAGGCAGATCAGTCAGCACCTTTTGCTGTTGCTTATTTATCTTTGACGGGTTCGAGTTGACGATGTTGAGATCCACAGGGTATCCCATACAGCGCAGGTGAGCCATTGCTTCTAGCACCGTGCGCACTCCGCATGTCTTCCGCGTCAGAACAGAGAGGTATTCGACCTGCGTGTTACGGCCGGACTCTCGGAGGATATCGCGGCAGGGACCTCGCATAGCTGCATGGGGTCCGATCTCTACCACCGTATCAACCGTCAACCGCTTTCGATGTGACCCATCCAGCTTCTTTGTGAGTGGAACAGCGTGTTTAGTGGACAGCATCCTGAAGGCATCGAGGAACTGCACGGTCGACAACAGGTTGTTTACCCAGTATTCTGCCTTGGACAACGTGTCTCCATCCACCCACTCCCCGTTGACGGAAGATATCATTTGAGGTGAGTGGCTCTGTGGTCTATCAGAAGGGCGCCGGGTGTCATCACCGATGCTGTCTCGATAGGCGATTGCAATTTCTTCCATCTGAAATGAGTGATAGGCAACTGGAATGGGTAGAACTCGGGCCATGATCTCTTTCTCCTGAAACAAGGCCAGTAGGATGTTAATTTGACTACGTTGTCCAGAGAGAGTAACACTCTTGGGGCTGTTCACACAGGCAACAACAACACGCAGTTGCTCTTCCTGAGAATATAATGTGTCCAGGAAAGCTTGAACCTGCTCCGGCGACAAAGCCACTGCCATCATTGCCCCATCCATGGTGGAAGAGGTCGCGAGATTTGCAGCCCAAAGACCACGGAAGTAGGCAAGACGCCAAGCATACTCGCGTGAAATGGAATGAGCGCAATATCTAATGACAAACGGTTAGCTTAAGTCGATGTTCAATGGTCCTGAAAGAAAGAAAGATGTCCTACGCGGCAGCAATTTCTCCAGAGGAATGACCAACTACTGTGGCCGGCTTGAGCCCAAACAGAGAAAGTAGATCCACGAGGGCGATTTGAATCGCTGTACACAGTGGCTGCCCGAGCATGGGATCGTTCACCAATGATTTTTCGTTTCCTTTGTGCAGCTCCTCTGCAACGATAAATATATTATTGGACTTTGCTTTATTGACCTTGCGGGTAACTCACCAAGCAGGTCCCATTCACAGCCAAGTCCCTGTAGGTAGTTGCCTGCCTCGATGAGGCTGTGGCGGTAGACCGGATAGCGAGCCAGCAACTCGCAGCCCATCGCAGGCCATTGAGCCCCTTGCTATACGAATTGTCAAAATTTTCTCCAGTCTTTTGTTTTCTCAATTGCTTACACCTGAGAATACATATGCCATATTACGGCTTTCTAGGCACCGAGTTGGGGGTTTCCAAGAGTCCACAACTGCCTCCAACTTAGTGTTGGCGTCCATGAGGGCATATGTCATCCATGGCAGACGGCTCCGTCTCTGGTTGAGAGTATGAGCCAAATTGTGCAGATACTGTTCTGATTCATCGGGGTTCAGAGAGACGCTGCTGAAATATGGCTTCCACACTTGTACCAGTCGCTGAATGCCACCTTCATCTGATGCGGACCATGTTAGAATATGAAGATGGGATGAAGTCCCAACAATGCCTTGAACAGAGCGATGGGTTGCTTTCTCCCCGTTGGCGTGGGACGCATTGGCGTGAGATCCATTAGTGTCAGATTCGTTTATTGAGCATTGCTTCAATGAAGGATGAGCACAAGAAGTGTGGTTTGCTGTCAAACCTTCACTTTCAATGAAATGAAGAGCATCATCCAAGACAACATGGCTGTTTGTACCCCCAAAGCCGAATGAGTTAATGGAAGATCGGCGAAGCCCAGCAGGCCAAACAACAGGTTTGGAGACGATCTATATACAATGCAAAGAGGGAAGCCAGTTAGTGTATGACTGTAGCTCATGATGTATGGTATGAATTACCTTCAGATTCAGATAATCCACATCGATGCCAGGATTTGTCGAGCGAAAATTCTCGCTGACTGGTGGAATCACGCCCTTCTCCAGGGATAGAACAACTTTGATGAGTCCGGCAATCCCACTTCCACCTTCAAGATGGCCGATGTTGGACTTCACAGATCCTCTGTTGATTTTCATATGTCAGTCAATCGGTCTCGTCACCTGAGAGAATGAGAACTCACACGTATAGAGGGTCTTCTGGTGACCGATGTGGTCTGAAAACCGCGCCAATGGCTCTCATCTCTATTGGGTCTCCTGTTGGAGTTCCAGTCCCATGGGCTTCAAAATACCGGGTGGTAGCAGGGTCTAGTCCGGCCTGGCAATAAGTATTCTCAATCAATATTTGCTGAGATTCGCGATTGGGCTGTGTGATCCCAGGCGTCCGGCCATCCTGGTTGGACCTGGTGGAGCGGATCACGGCTCGAATAGTATCTCCATCGCGAATTGCATCCTTGACAGGCTTGATAATGATGGCACCCACGCCTTCGCCGCGCCCGTATCCATTTGCCCGCTCGTCAAACGTGAAGCATCGATTGTCTTGGGAGAGAACACCTAGATTATCAAGCGCCATGGCAAATTCCCGAGCAAATATCAGGTTGGCACCCACAACAAGGCCCTATAGGACACCACTTAGTCATCTTCATTAAAGTTCTCATGAAGCAGTATCACTTACTGTAGTTGAGGCACCGCCCCAGATTGAATGACAGGCCGAGTCCAGCGCCACAAGTCCGCTAGAACAAGCGGTGTCAACATTCACGCTGGGACCCTTGAGGTTGTAGAACCAGCTGATACGGTTTGCAACCATGGTCATTGATTGGCCATAAGCCGCGTATTTTCCGGCGTTTTGGGGGTCCTTGGAGAAGAAAGTTGCATAGTCGTTCGACGAACAACCGGTGAAAACACATGTCTGACTTCCAGCTGCTTTTTCGAGCGAAATTCCTGCATTTTCAAGGGCATGGTAAGTTGTTTCCAGCATGAACCGTTGCTGGGGGTCCATCCCTTCGGCCTCCGCAGCGGGAATTGAGAAGAAGGAGGCATCAAAAGCCCCAAGATCCCCTGAAAGGAAATGCCCCCCGTTGATGCTTAGACTATCCTGTCGTGAAGCATCAGGATTGTGATGTGCGTCCACATTGAGGCGATCAGATGGAAACTTAGTGGCAGCACATCGCCGTTCCATCATCATCTTCCAAAAGTCGCCCGATGAGGTCACATCACCGGGGTAACGCAGGGCCAGTCCCACAATTGCCAGTGGTTCAACGCTTTTCTTAGCATCTTGGTCGGTGTAGTGCGGCATCACGTTTAAACTCTCTGTAATTCTTAACGTATAAAAACGGAGGGTGGTTCGTGCGATATCGCTTTCAAATTGACAGAGTATTTATAGCTCTCATGCAATTTCTTTGCTTCATTGTGACGACAACCATGTATTGAGGGTGTCAAATGATCGTCTAAGGTGGAATTGCCTATGGCCAACAATAGCCTGATATTGAGTTACACATGAAGCGTTTTACCTATGCATAGTATGCGATATATCTAGCGGTGAAGGCCTGCATCAAGTGAAGATATTTCTTTTCTAGCGCGCAAGCAGCTTGGGAGCCTAGACGAATATTTTGCCTTGCATTGTGCAGGGTTGAAACTCAGGGCCCGATGGTGTTTTTAAAAGGTCATCAATTCTATCGTGTCTTCCATACCTGCTCTTCCTGCCAAGCACCCTTAGGGATTCGTTTCTACATCAAGCAGGCTAGAACAATGCATTTTCTTTGGTAGATAAGTCCACCCCATCGGCCCTGGGACTATGCTAATCCCAGTCACAGTTTGCATGGAGTCGGGACCAATTCCAAAGTAAGCAGTCTATCCAACCATGCGGTTCAGTAAAATTCGTAAACATTATTGCTCACGAGTCCTGTGCGGATCTAGGTCCTCGAGATACAGACCGGTTTGGCTCTCTTTATGTCTACAGATTGAATTCTATTAATGAATATTTGCTTTTTCTCCCCAGCTCCTCTACGCTATGAGCTTGGTGACGGTCATACCTACGACTACGTGGAAGGCGTTTTCCCTTATGAGTTGGCATCCGGTCAGTGCCCATCCCTAAAAGCCCAGCATACGCTGCTTTCTGACCATCTTTCAGAAATCAAGGATCTCGTGCCGTCCAATGACAAAGGTTTCTCATATTTTGACCCAGAATCGGCCAAGGCCTCGCTGCAAGCAGTCGAAGACCTGGAAAACTTCATCGCCAGTGAGGGACCCTATGACGGAGTCCTAGCTTTTAGTCAAGGTATGATGTTGGCATGCACCCTTCTGATGCGTAATGTCGAGAAAAAGAAACCGTTGCCCTTCAAATGCGCTATTTTCTTCTCGCCTCGCATGGCACCATTGGACTATGCAGATCTATGCCGTGGCGTCTTCACGGAGATCGAGACCAAGCGGGTCACCCAAGCCATTGAGATTCCAACAACCCTAGTGTGGGGCTCAATGGACCCACACGCCCCTAAAGCAATCGACATGCAGAAACTATTCACTCGCGATGGTCTCTCGACTTGCGTTCACGATGGTGGTCATGAGATCCCAGGCTATGCACTGAAGAAGGGGCTATTGGATACGGTCAATGTGATCAGGAGAACAACCAACCAAGCTGTGCAGATCTTCCCTCGGGAGTAATCGTGAAGTATGAGATATTGTTTTGGCTCGCATGGAGTCAGGGCTTTCGTACATGCTAGATGCTATTCGAGAACTGCAATCCTTGACCGATACAATAGAAGACCAATCATAACAGTCAGTCACATCTCCCAAGATCGTGAAACAAGAAAGTAGCTGAATGATCACAGCGTGTATGGCACCAGTCCTAAATAAGCCTTATCATATTCCTTGTCCTGTACCCACGGTGTGGACCTCCTGCAGGTAGATCAATGCAAGGGGTGACTTATACTTTCCTCAGCCCATCTTGCCGCAAGATCTACAGTGCATGCACCGACTTTCTCCACATAGAATACCTCTCTATGTAATAGATACATGTATAGGATTGCCTCAATCCGAGAACTTTGGGTATACACGCATATCAATTGTAAAGAGGCTGACGTGTCCCAAAGAAGTCCTGCAAGAGCTCATATTGAGTGTCTCCTCACTCCACACAGCATTTCAAGGTGCATATTACCTTTCAAGCGAAGAAAATTCTAGCCTTTAAAGTGTTGTCTTTACCCCCACCTCCCCACCCGGAGGCTAGTCAGACCGCAACATCATTTTCCCTTTCCAATCGATCCGCCGGACCACTTTGGGTCAAACGGCTACCTCATGGCCTCAAAAACGTCTTCCGATAATGCTAAATCTTCTCAGCCTTGGAAGACTACTCTCTTGGGCGCGGTATTTTACCAGGGTGATCTCCCACTAGAAGTCATCAACCACTCGTTTAGCGGGTCTGGCAGCAAAGAGGATCCCTACCTTGTTGGCTGGTTGCCTGAAGATGAAGGCAATCCTATGACCTTTCGTGACACCAGAAAATGGCTCCTAAACCTGCTCGGTGCCTTCTCTGCGTTTACAGTTGCACTCGCGTCCTCAGCCTACTCAGGTGGGTTAGCGAAAATTACCAGGTACTTTGCAATAAGCGACGAGGTCGCCTTGCTAGGGGTCTCGCTGTTTGTCATCGGTTTTGCCGTTGGTCCCCTTTTGTGGGCTCCACTAAGTGAGAGCTATGGTCGCCGCTATGTTTTCATCGCAAGTGGCGCCGCGTTGATCGCAACTCTGGCTGGCACAGCGGGGGCACACAATATCGAGACCCTGCTGGTGTTGCGATTTCTCGCCGGTAGCTTGGGTTCTGCGCCCATGGCCATCGCAGGAGGATTAATTGCCGATCTTTTTCCTCCGGCAAGCCGGGGTCTGGCTCTCGGGCTATTCGTGGTTGCCCCTTTCTTAGGGCCAGCCTTGGGGCCCATCATCGGGGGCTTCATGGTGGAAAGAGGGGGATGGCGTTGGGTTGAGGGGCTTCTGGCCATCATTGCATGTGTTCAATGGCTGGCAATCCTTTTCTTCATGCCTGAGACATACACCCCTGTCCTCTTGAAACGACGAGCGCAGCGGTTGTCCAAGCTCACCGGCCAGATATATCGCAGCACAATGGAGGTAAATCACGCCGCTTCAAACATGATGGTTACCCTCTCTCGACCTTGGGTGCTCCTTTTTCGTGAACCCATTGTGCTCCTGATATCTATCTATATGTCCATCATTTACGGCACCTTATACATGTTTTTTGCCGCATACCCTATCATCTTTCAGAAAATACGTAGATGGGATGAAGGGCTTGGTGGACTGAGCTTTTTAGGAATCATGGTCGGGATTCTGTCCTCTATCCCTAGCATGTTCATCGGCCACGCCCGCTACCGGAAGAAGGCATCTAAAGGGGCCAAACGGCTGGCTCCAGAAATACGTCTCCCCGATTGCTTCATAGCTAGTATCGCCCTCCCGATCGGGCTCTTCTGGTTTGCCTGGACGAATTCTCTTAGCATTCATTGGATCGTGCCTATCCTAGCTGGTGTTCCATTCGGATATGGGTGTATCATGGTATTCTTGCCTTGCTTGAACTATCTAGTGGACTCCTATACCATCTACGCGGCCTCGGTGCTGGCAGCGAATTCCGCTTTGCGTTCACTTTTTGGTGCGGCATTTCCTCTCTTCACGGGCAAAATGTATGAGAATCTCGGGGTTCACTGGGCAGCATCGGTTCCTGCCTTCATGGCACTAGCCTGTGTTCCCATACCATACTTGTTCTATGTCTATGGTGCTCGGATTCGAAAAAGATGCCACTATGCTGCTGAGGCAGATGCTTTTATGAACCGTATCTTGGGTCTGTCCTCTGAGTCGGCCCCTTGAGGAAGAATCTACCACGTGAAGCAGGGAAATATTCGAAGCTGTCTCATTGTCTGAGATGCCAGATCACTGCCATGCCTGTCTGAAACAGTCCTTTCTCTGAAAATTTTCATACAGAAAAAATGGAAATCCAAATTTATTGAGTGGGTGCATGTCCAAGTGATTGGAAACTTAATAGTAACGGTGCCGTAGAGAAGGCTATGTCCTACAAAATGCCGAAGGATAGAAAGCACCTCATTCTTAAACCCATGGAAAATAGCCAAGGAACAGGGTCTATTGTATGATGTTACCAGTAGCTGGCGGGCTGGCATTTGCGGTAGATTCACGCGCTTATAGAACAATTTACCCGGAGCTCCCTCGTTTAGGAATTAGAATACCATGCATTCACATGTCCGTCCTCCGCAAAGATCTTTGGTTTTGGATAGTCTCTCTTCTTGATCACAATCACCGTCCCCTTCCCCCGAACTGCGGAGTTGCCCGTTACTTCGTAGGAAATATTCTTAGGTCTAAGTGCTGGTCCAATTAGACCTCCCTTCTAATAATATCGAGCTGACTTTGCAAAGCAACCAGAAAGAAAAAGAAGTAACAAGTGACCAGAAGTGATTTTCGTAGACCGGTATGTGACTTAAACTCGACGAGCTGCATAATAAAGGACGGAGAAAAGCCCCCAATGTTTGCCAGTCGCGTTCCACATAGGTCTATGACAATTCTTATGCAGGTGCGGCTAGGCCGGGATTACGAATGTTACAGAAACATCGAGTATTTACCGGTGTTGGAATCTGAGGGATACAGTATTTCCACCGGCTGTTTTTGCTTGAAAATACAAGCAGAAATCCAATGTGAGGGGGAAAGGAGACAGTGTGGGGCAACGTAAGGTTGGCCAGATGCATAACGGGGTTGACCATCGACTTCTTCCGCGTGGAGGGGTTGTACTTTTCGGCATCCAATCAGCACAGTTTAGGCGGGAAATAGTCCAGTGCGGGCCAGGGTCAACTCTCTTGTCTTTGTGATAAAGTTCTGCTCGAGCTACGTACAATTATCCCGATTACGGACGCGCGAAGGGCTTCATCTTCTGCAAAAAATCAAGATGAAGGACCTCACAGTTTGAATCTAATCCCCGGATACTCGCGGAAATGGAGAGACTTCAGGAGCTGCAAAGAAATGACGTTAGACAGATGGGAGCATTCACGTTGACCACTTCAGTTCCTGCATAATATAGCTACCCAACGACATCATGGCTCTCACCGAAATCTCTCTCCCTCTACATCCAGCCAGACCGCAATAATTCCACAGACTCTATCCCTTCCTCGCCTAGCCCAGAATATAGATGTGGGAAGACTCCCAAACATTAACAAACCACTCGATGACTGGGATACAGATTCTGCTATACCACCAACATTTCCGACGGTTGTGATCGTAAAAACTGAAAACCGTGGTATCCCTACTTGACCAGGATGATCAGGATGATCACTTCTAGCATGTATTAGTCCATTTGCATGTCTATGCCCTGCACGGATGGAGGGTACCCTGAATTGCTAATGATAGAACACCTAACCCGCACCTTATTAACTAACACCTCCACAAATCATTCATCCCCACGTCCTGTATACCTAAATGGTGGTTAGCAAAAACCTAAAATCTTCCACTAATTTTCTTGATCGAACCAGCGGTGACATCCATTTGGGACATATTATACCCAGATTTGTACCTACAACAGGGAACTTGCTCCTGGTCCCATTCATTTGGAGAATATATATACATGTAGCTCGGTTAAAGAGGTCGCTTTCTTCGGTGTGTGGTTTACGGAACCGAGATTTGAATGTTTCCCACGTCTCCGAAATGAGCAGGAAGCCATCAATTTGTCTTGTTTGCAAGATCAACGTTCTACATACGCAAGATATTTATTTATGAGTATTCGTATTTCCCCGATTCTCATACTAACCGCCCACTCTATCCAAACCATGAAGCGGTGTGAGTTGGGCCAGGTGGCTTGCTTGCCGCTAAATGCAATGCTATGAATCCATACTGCATAACACCGCCAGTCATATCTATCACAAATGTAATCTATCATAGTGTGATACAAGGAAGATTTTATATTTGCTTAAGCTTCTGATAATCCATCCGTTATAATGTGAAAGCCTTCGCATTCGCGATGAAATATAGGGAAACCTGTTTAGAAAGGGGAAAACCTATATCAAGGCAAGGATAAACAAAACAATACGCTGCTCCTAGACACGCTTGCAGTAATAAATATAATTGTACCACCTGCCATACAAGTTGATGGAAGTTAAACCTATTCATCATCTAAGCTGTTCATCATATCCTTATCAGTATAATATCATCATAATAACCGCTTTTAAGATAGAAAAGATCATCACTCACGCATGCACAACCAGCTGGGCAAATTGTTCCATTAAATTGTCGACCGCTTTAAGCGAACCTTCTTCCTATTCATCATATCACAGTTAATACAATATCATCACAAACACTGCTCACAACATAAAAGACTATGACTTACCCCAGTCACAATCTTCCCAGCCAATTGTCTTAACTCAGCAGGAGCAATATTGTCAGCCAGGTGATAAAGCTCAGGATTAGACCCCACAGTATGGGCTCCAGCGCGAAGGTCCTTGGCAAATTTTGTCAAAGCCCTAGACACTGCTGCTCTGTCACCCGTTTTGGTAGCTCCCTCGGTATTCAGGACATCCACTTCCAAAGCAGTAGCATATTCCTTAGCCTCAGGAATCTCAACAGCAATCTTAGCAATAGCAGCTTCAAGATGATTATATCCATCAGGCGTTCTCTGAATTAGGGTATTTGACTTGTCTTCTCCTACTGATAAACCCATTGATGCTGAAATAAGCAATGTGATGATAAAAATTGGTCGCATCTTTGATGTCGTGTCTTGTTCTTGCCTTGGTGTTGGTGGAAAACACTTGGATTCGTAGAAATGGAAAAATTATGAAGTAGGGTACACGATTGGAAAATTGCATTGGGACGTGCTTCCTTTTATATTTCGTTGGTTTTCTTAATGAATTATTGGCAAGTCTACTCATCATCTGATGCTTGCCCTCGCTCATGAAGACCTAGGTTAGCATATAAAGCCTAAAAGTTTAATTCAGTTACACAACACGGAGACTTATGTCAATATTTACGGTGCACAATTTCGCTAGTAGCCGTGTGTCCTATTATATCAATGGAATCTCGCGAGCCTAGTCACATCCGGACCAGACTATTGCTAATTATTCGCGCTTTGACATTACACTATTGAATTTTCAACGGTTTAGCGGTCTGCAGATCCTCCCGCTTAAAAAGAGGTGTATGCTTTGATGCGCTGTCTTGGACCCTGCGAAATAGGCCCGCACTGCTGGCAGGAGCCCTATAGAAAGAAGCACTACAAGCTCTACCGCATGCACCCCAACTCCACAGCAGCAAAGATACCCACGTCTTGATCGTACCATTCAGTAGGGTTTCCGTCGCCTCGTAGTGTTTTTGATTGACATAAGAACCGTGCATTGTCTAAGGACGACCAGCCAAGGATTGGGACACTTTCTGCAGGCTGTCTATATATATTATTCGTATCCACTAGGGCGCTTGGCTCTCGAGGGGACGAGATAGTTATCGTTACACTCATCTACGCCGATTAAAAATATAAACACCTTAATAGCTACTTCGCAGGGCTGTAAAGATAAAATCTACTTGCAGGGTAGACGGCCTGTCAGTTAGGTAAGGAAGAAGGTAACAAGTCTAATTATGGCAAGACTGTTTCTTAAGAAACCCTCAAGAACCAAAATGAGACACTCTATTTAACATGAACTCTACATAGTCTACTCGGAGATCCTCCGAGTCCCGAGTAGCCTGCCTTGACATTAAAAGTGGGGCATGCATGAGAAGAATTCAGCTGAATGCAAGAGGGGGTTCAGCTGGTGTGATACCAGCGAGGGATATGCAGATGGTGTGACAAAGGGAAGGCCGCGGTGTCTATGGAATCGCTCTCGCCTCACCGCCCATTGCCCGCGGCAAGGCCTCGATTCCCCCGAGGGATGCTGGCAATTGCGAATAGCATTATGAAAGAAAAAGATCGTAACAAGGGCTCTGCCGGCACGTAGGTATTCTGTACCTTCATCGCACCTAGGGAACTTATTAAGATAGTGGCGCATCTGAGATTTCATCGCGAGACTCGAGGGAGCTCCACGTTCCGCCAAAAACGCCGCCAAAACAGGACTGTGACGAATATTACCACATTAGGCGTGGCGGACGTCTCAGCCTTGATCATAGGACGATTGGAAGCCCTAAGATTACGAATGTACGAGATGCGATCGCAGACGATGTTGACTTTGACCCGTCACACCCTCAAAGCAATACCCATGTGCAACGTCTGGCTCGAACCTCATCTCAGGTCGCCACCGTCACCTTTAACTGACAGATAACTGAATTCCAAGCCTTAGAGGACGCCGTTCCCGGAGGCCATTGCAAGACGGCCGCAAACATGAATGACTTGGCGGAGATCTTACTTGGGTTATTCGTTCCCTGGGGCCAGCTGCCAGCGCTTTTTCAAAAGCACGCTAATGCTGTGCCGACGAAACGCGATGCTTGCTCCCGAATATGCTACTATACAGACAGGATAATGTCTGCCAGGTGGTGCTTCCTTTCTAGGCTGCCGCCGCAATTAGGAGAGTGCTTGGGTTCAGGCTCAGGCTCACTAAGTAAATGTGCGGGAAAGCTGAACGATGAAAATTTATCATGATTTGTGCTACACCGGTCGAATATCTGCATATCGACATGGATCATGTACACAAAATCTTCAAAAGATAACAAGGTAAATGTGCATAATTTATGCAAGTCAACGAGATTACAGATTCATTAGACGCGTTTTAGGTGTGCCTCACTCGCTTGTGAAATAAATAATGTTATAGGTGAAGCTAAGGCGGTGAACCCAGCCCCTATCCAAGGCCAGCAAAATCTGATGGTTATGTGTTCCTATAAGGCAATTGAGCCTCCCGAGAACTGAAGATGATTTCGGAAGCAAAGTCTGCAGAAACGAAAGCAAAGAGGACAAGCCATTCGAAGGTTCGCTCGGGCTGCCAAACGTGCAAGTAAGCTTATACGCGGCTCCTATCACGATCCGCGACAACTAATATATCACTCGCCAGAATTCGCCGCAAAAAGTGCGATGAAACTCACCCCTCGTGTCTCAGGTGCACAGATGCGGGACAAGTATGCGAATACGTGGAGGCCCCCGACCGGCTTAAACGCGGCATGCGAGCCATACACATACAAGCCGTCACCCCTAACACGGCCCCCAAACTCGTTGCACGACGGTTACTAGATCCAAGCCAAGTGGGTCTTTCACCCGCCGAACGGCAGTTCCTCGATTTATTCAAGGTGCATACTTCTAGAAAATGCACCGGGTCGATGGTCGATGACTTCTGGCAGCGACTCGTTCACCAGGTCGCCGAGGAGGAACCTGCTGTACGACATGCAGCTGTTGCTATGAGTTCTATGCATTGGCAATTTATGCAAGAGGCCAACCCTTCCAAATCGAAGCCTAGTGTAGAGAAAAGCTCATCTTTCACTCTAGCGCAGTGCAACAAGGCTCTTGTTTCTTGTTTCTCTACGGCAGAGACTAGCGAAAGGAGATGCATATACGACACGCAGCGCGCATAGAGAGGCGGTTCTTGTTTCATGTATTGCGTTTGTGTCACTGTCTCTCTTCCAGGGCGATGTTAAGGCCGTGACCTCACACCTACGGTCCGGTTACAGTGTGCTTATGGAATGGCAGAGGGTCAATTTCGACGGGAATCCCTCGGGGCTGGTCCTAATGCGCGCGTTCTCAGATCTACAGCTACACCGAATTACATTCTCTCAACCACAGCATGATATAGAAGCCGAAGCGGACGATTTGCCGCTGTGGCAGGCGATCACCGTATGCCGGCCTGTTCATGAGTATTCGGGGGTGTCTGAAACTGATTTCTCCATTGTTCTTGGAGCGGCTATCACGGCAAACTATCCACAGGGATTCGAACTCCGTGTAGGATCAAGCCTACAGGGTTGAACACTGCCCTTGCCGATCTACTTTATCAGAATAGCGCGGAAAAGACCTTCCTGGAGAGACTATTAAACTGGAAGAGCGAATTTCATGCTTTCATTTCGACACACAGAGATACGTTATCGCCACAAGACCGCGGCCCGTTAATAATGATCGAGCTATGGACTATGGTCAGTGATGTCTTACTTGCTTCTCTCAAGAGGCCCTTGGATGAGATGTCTTATGACTCCTCTTTGCCCCTATTCCAGCGAATAAATGAGTTAGCGGCGCTTTACTTGAGCTTGGAGGAGCAGGTTTCGATGTTTTCTACTAAAGCTTTGCTTCTCCAAATCCTTCATTTCAGTGCCACCAAGTGCCGAGACTGGCATACGCGCCGGGAGACGTTATGCTTAGTGCGTAACTCTCGGCGGCGAGAAGGTTTCTGGACATCTGATCATTTCGTCGCTTTATTAGCATACGTTTTCAAACAGGAGTCTGTTGGTTTGACGCCTAGTGATGTGGTTCCTCGCGCAGCTCGTATCGACTTGTTGCATCTCAGTCCATTGGATCAGAACAAGTTCAATATATGGTATCATCGACCTTGCACTCCCGAGGAGGTTGCCAATGGTGCTGATATCCATGGAAACTGGACAAAAGTAGCGCTATCAGTTTGATGGCACCAACAAGTCAAAAAAAAAAAAAAAGGACCAACCAAGCAATTAGCAAGCGATGACATTTGGGGATTTAGCGGCTCTGTTGACCAAGCGGTTGTTAGGAACGACAAGGAAGAGTTGTGACATGATACTATCTGGTCAGCTGATCTCCGGATTAGCTCAGGTCGCAGTGAGTTGGGCCAGGCTGTTCAGGCGACGCTGTGAGTGGGATCGGGTTGCTCAGGTCTTGGGTCTTCGTGAGCGAAAGGCGGCAATCGGTGAGCACTAAACCAGAATTTGAAAGCCAAGATTTGCGAGACATTATCCGGTATATATTAAAGGTGAGCGGGGATATGGCCGAATGCGGGTTAGTGTCTCCTGGTGGGGCGCTGGGAAAGAGAGAGAGAGAACAGAGGTAAAGCTGATTTCGAACATTACTGTACTCCAGATAACATTATGCCTTCAAATTCAACTTGTCCGGCTATTGTTCATGTTCGAGACTTCGTCGAGCATGTCGAACCGGACCCTACACGTCCCGGTAAAGGGCTTCCGATGCAACTCCGTAGAACATACCGCTAAAGGACATTCAATCAGAGGATGTTGAACAGGAGGAAATTCCTACCCTGGTTAGGTATTTTGATGAAGGTAACCAGTCCGACCATTACAAGCCAAACACCTTTATATATTCCTCGGGATCGTTCCTGACTATCTCATCCGAGGACGAGGAATTTCATATTATCATCCACGCTCACACTTTGAACCGGTAAGTTTACCTCATCTCTTACAGAACTAGGCTAACACAATGTAGTCATCCGGGCAATGAAGAAGATACAGAAAAATATTTTATGCACTGTCCCGAAGCTGCTCAGCCCACAGTGGCGTTGCTTGGTGTTGTTCTTGAACGCGGTGGTCCACTAAACCGCGGGCCAACTCTTCTTCACTACCGTCTCCAGACTACGGTTTACAACTCCGCTCGAACCTATCACATCTTTCCAGTCACCGCGTACTTCAAAAATGGTCAGCGGTGGGTGTCCCACCACTGATCGCAAATTCCTATGTTTTCTTAACAGGTCGCATTTTTGGCCTCACAAAAGAACATCGCCAATTAGCTATGATCACAGATGATATACATTTTCTCCCAAAGCCAAATCATCATTTACCGGCTACGCCTTCCTCGACTGGTAAACGGAAGCGTGTTGACCGTTGGTCCCAAAGGGCTGGCCCTCAGACCCCGACTAGATCGGCGACGAGTTCGCGGACCGAGCCACTCCCAATCACCTATCCGGGACTGCATTCCCCGGAAGTGGACGCTCTTGATAATGAGGACGAAGAAAACACACAATTAACATGGCCAGAAACCGCCGACGAAAACGAGCCCTCACCAGAGGCTAGCACACCACCTCCTGAGAGGCGTTCTCGAAGACGACGTAAAACATCATACACTGATATACTTACACAATCGAAATACAATACAATGGCTGATTAGCACATTCCTGGTTATTCTGTTTTCTAAGGTGTTGCGGCTATTAGTCATACTACATGTCTTCTCATTGGTCAACGCTCCTTTGCATTGTCAAATATCAGTCACACAAAACCTCCCATTTTCCGGATTTTCTCGTCCCTGCCCTTCCATTTCATCGTTTCAGGGCCACAGCGTGCGCAGCGCGCGTCACCAGTACCCGAAACAAGCTAAACTCTTATTGGGGCAAGTGGTAAGATATTGTCCACTTATAGATCAGTTCCATGTACGAGCTAGCCGTATCTGGCCTAGCGTTGTCTCGGGTACGGGCCGAGAAACAAAGTGTGAGTGTCTGAGGGGTAAACTGTTTTCGAAAATCGCTGTACTCTTCAACCCAAAGATGATGTCTTTCTCACGGTTTGCCCCGTTATTTCAGTCCAGGAAGGAGATACCCTTGGGAGATTTGGTGGAGTGATTCGGTACTCTTCAGAATGTACCGTTGTCTACGGTATACCTGGTCCCGAAGAAAACATTTGGCTGGATTACTCCACGGTGACTGGGCCACTAAACCTCATGAAGGTATCAGCTCCTGGAGGTGACTCCAATGTTCGTCTTCAGTGGGAGCTCATTGATGGACGGAGTGAAGGGAAAGCGCATCTCATGTGGAAAGTCTCGGTCGTTGCTCTTCGGGCAATTCAACCATTTGAAGAAATTGTTCGCGCTGCTCCTCAAAAAGAACAATTTCTCCTGCACCAGTCGCCGGCTTGCGCAAAGCGAGGATCACATCCGTGAATCTTCTACAACAAATAAACCATGACGATCAAGCAGGAAGCACAAGTGGTGCTAGCGGACCCTGCTCTGCTTGAAAAAATTGACAAATTATTCGCTTGCAATGTTGGAGAATACATCAATTTACCACAATTGGTCGTTGTCGGAGATCAATCCAGCGGAAAGAGCTCCGTCTTAGAGGGCCTGACTAAATTGAAATTCCCCCGGAATAGTGGTCTGTGTACTCGATTTGCAACCCAGATCATATTTCGGAGAGAACCTAGCTTGAAAGCGCGGAGAATTACGGGCTCCATCATCTCAACAGGACACGACGATGGAAAGATGGAGGCTAGTTGGAGCAGATCTGACATCGATTCATTGAATGAGAAAGGATTCGAAAATATGATGGCTGAGGTGGGTCTATATTCTCCCTGAACGCAACCTTGAATGCAAAATTAAGCTTGTCCTAAGGTTCACGTGGCGATGGGCCTATCAACCTCAGTGGAAGACAACCACCTGCCCACATTTTCTCCTGATGTTCTTCGGTTGGAGATAAATGGACCTCATGAGGATCATCTTAGTGTCATCGATGTTCCTGGAATTTTCAAAACCACAACACCTGGTGTGACTTCAAAGTCAGACATCGCCCTTGTGAGGGACATGGTGCTCAACTACATGCGCAATCCTCGATCAATACAGTAATATTCGAAATCGGATTTACCCCCACACTCTCACATGTTAATTCTGAATCCCTATTTGAAAACACGCTAACCTTGATCCGGTATGGTGGTCGATCCCTAATTTCCCAGAATAGAACTTGTATTTTACATAACGCTGGTGGGACGTAGACTGACGTATTTTACACGAAATCGCCATACGCATGCCATCTCTGTGCCCCTCTTCTCTCGTGCAACAGGCTTCTTCATCTCTGAATTACTCTTGAGCGTTACCCCGCGCAAGGCCTTGCAATATGGCTCCAAGACTTCCCCTGTCAAAGCTACATCTCATCCGTGATATGATAGAGAGCCAGTCACTAAGCACGTCTCAAATGGCTGAAGAAGCTGAATGCAGCAAGGTTACGATCATCAATATTCGCAGGAACTTACGGCAGTTCGGAAATGTCCACGCACCACCAAATCGAATAGGCCGGAGACGGACCGTAACGCCGCCGATGATCGAGGCCCTCTGCGACCACCTGTCTGAAAAGCCTGGTCTCTACCTAGATGAGATGGCTGTCTTTCTCTGGGATGAGTTCCACACACTAGCCACAACCTCCAGCATCAGAAGAGCCCTTGTCGCTAGAGGTTGGTCGAAAAAGACTGCTCGGCAGCAAGCCAGGGAGCGAAATGGTGACTTATGAGAGTATTATTTGCACAATTTATCAGACTTCCAATCATATCACCTAGTGTACGTTGATGAATCTGGGTGCGATAAAAGGGTTGGATTCAGGCGAACAGGCTGGTCACCCCTTGGCGTGGCGCCCATACAAGTATCGCAGTTCCACCGCGACCAGCGATATCAGATACTGCCTGCGTATGCCCAAGACGGGATCGTGCTCTCGCGTGTCTTTCGCGGTTCAACGGATGCTACTATGTTTGAAGACTTCATAGCCCAGCTTCTTCACCGAGCCTAAATCTGTTGTGATTATGGACAATGCATCGTTTCATCATTCAGAACGGATTGCGCAGATGTGTGCGGACGCGGGGGTGATATTGATTTATCTACCGCCCTACTCGCCCGACTTAAATCCGATTGAGGAGTTTTTCGCTGAGCTAAAAGCTTTCATTAAACGTAACTGGAGCTACTATGAAGCAGATCCTGATCAAGGATTTGATGCCTTCCTCGCATGGTGTATTGATATTGTCGGTGCAAAAGAAGAAAGCGCTAAAGGTCATTTTCGACACGCAGACTTGAAGATTGAAGAAATATTACAAAGGTCCTAGATGCAGCCTTGGTTGAAACCGAGTTCCCGCGACCCTGTCGACTTTAGGATTTGGAGCACCCTATCGTTTTGGGCCGATTTGCGAGACATGCCTGCAAATTCTCCCAACACACCGCGATTCAGAGAAAGTCCTGGTAGGTTGGACGCCCGGCGGTGATGTGCCAGCCCATCCAGAAACTGGTTCGCAGCAGCATAGCTAAACTGGCCTGCAAGTCCGAGGACACTCGACAAGGACGAAATCAGGACAAAGAAGTCCAGATCCATGTGTTGTGTAGCGAGGTGCATGTTCCACGCACCCAAGGCCTTAGGCGCGAACACTTGCCAGAAACTGTTCATCGTTGTGTCATGAGCATAGGAGTCTCCCAAGACGCCTGCACAGTGCACAACTCCCACTATGGGGGGCCATTCTGCTGTAGGACAGAAGAGCGACATCACTATCTCAAGACTGCTGATATCTGCCCGTTCAACTCTCACGTTGGCCCCGCAACGCCGCAAATCCAAAAGAATCGCGTGATCTTCCGGAGACTTTGGTCCTGATCGGCTTACAAGCACGATATGTCGAGCCCCTCGCTCGACCAGGTGTCTAGCCAAGTGTAGGCCTAGCCCACTTGTACCGCCAGTGATGAGATAAGTTCGATCCCCTCCCAACTTCAGCGCGTTTTGTGGGGCTGCATAAACATGGCTATTTTCCACTCCCTAGTGTCGATTCAAATCGCACTGACCTGCGTCCACACTGGAGTGCTTTTTTGGCGTTCTGGTTGTCGGATTATTGTTACGACACTTGCCCGGGCGCTCTAGCCGAACAGGCCAAAACAAGAACGTTATGTTCTAGCATGCCCGGGACCAAGATAAGTAGCCCGCGTCGTTAGGCTATGGGGGATCATTGCCTGGGCCCTAACATTCCTAAGCCCCAACATTATTTCTCATAGAATAAATGATCCAACACGGCCGGAAACAAGTAACAAGCCCCCTGGATCCCACGATGAAACGCTTTAGGACCTCAAGGTAATAACAATAGAGGAACTACAGGTCCTCTCGAAATCAGTTTCACCACCTTATTCTCTTTGGTTCTTCTTAAATCTTGACCAGATCCACTTTGGTCTACATTTGGCATAGGTCATTTTTGACTGTCGATTAAGAAAAGGGCGATGAGCATCGACTAGCTACATTAGGCCTGGCGTCAATAAAAATAGAGTTTAAGAAACAATCAAAGAGAACAAAATGGTGAAACTGATTTCGATCCGCCCAATATGAACAAAGAATCAAAAGGCATTTACCAGAATGCAAAGCATCTAACCTCTAGGCTCTCTCTGTTATCCCGTTCCTCTTGGCCTTCAAGCTCAAATGAGCTGTGAAAGGCACCGCAAGCTGCTATTCCTGGGGACGTATCCGTGATATCCTGTGGCGCTCGGACAGTAGCTTCCATCTCGTTGTCAAAGAATTGTATAATGAGGACTTCAGAAGGATTCTGGTCAGATATGAAATGCCAATTGTGTGTTTTCCCTTCTATATCGCGCGGTCCGTACGCTGAATAAGCCCAAGTTTGAAAAGGTCCCAATTTGCATTCATCTTCCACGGTTTCGTTTTGGATTGGCTTTTCCGGATCTTGAGGGCTTTGTTGGGCAGGACGAATTGTTTTGAAAAGTTGAGAAGGGATCTCACTGTCGAGGCACCTGTCCAAGACTCCGACAGGGACGTAGTCAGACTTTGGAAACGTATAAGATGGTGCAACGCCAAGGGGGTCTCGAGTGACAGTCTTGAGAGGGCGCCAGACGGAGAAGTAAGCAAAGCGTGGAATCTGCTCCTCCTCGCTATCCTTTCCTCTATAATGATTTTTGAGATCATTCCAGTCAACACCAGCACTGAGCAATTTGTTCTCAGCTTCAATCACTGCTTCTGCTGCCAAAGCCAAGTCTCTATGATGCTTTCGAATATAAAGCCGGGCGCCCAAAGGCGTCACGTCAATGTGTACCTTTGGGGCCGGGGACGCGGAGTTGCCAGGTTTCGTTCCAAATACACCTGCACAAGGCTCTCGAGGAAGGTTCAAAGGAACTTCGCCTTCGTTTTGTTGACAAGATTTCTCCTCTGTCCGAGGGGCCACAGACTCGGAGTACAGCTCGCTTCTGAGGACCACCCCTGTTGTCACAACAGTTTTACAACCTGTAACGCTTTTGAGAAGATGCTCGACTTCTGGGATGTATATCTCCCTCAGTAACTTTTCATCGTTCCAACTTGAACGGTCGTATGGGGCTGAATTAAGTCTCGAGACATGATGACGAGCAGTGAAACAATGACTGGAAAGCTTATAGGGAGAATCATCGCCAAGCTCTAAAGAAGGCCGAAGGTCTGTCACAGATAGAAAACCAGATTCATTGAAGTTTGATAGAGCAGGCAGAGCCAAAGGTGATGCTGCTGGGATTGGGGTGGTGCCTCGTGGGACATAATTGAATTTTCCGCGCCTTGGGGCAGCTGTTGGTATAGAGCCCATCTTGAGATAAGGTGATCGTTGGATGAAAATAAAAACTGAATCAGAATCGGTCGAAGTTGAGCCATAGCTTTATAATCACCTTGATTAATTTGTAAGGCGGTGATATGTTCCACGAGGCTTTAGACGATATTATACCATGTGAGTATTGTGACAAGTCCGTTACCAAGTCATGTTCGGAATTTTGATGATCATTTTTGAATTGTACGGAGTACAGAAAGGTGTTAACCCTTAGTAGGTAGTTTCGCGTAGTGCTTACTGAATATTGATAACTCGATATCCTGGTTTTCGATCTGATGATAAACCTGTTCTGCTTACGGAATATATTGGTGGTATCTGTTTATGAAATATTTTATCAGAAATACCTAGCAAAAACGATCTTTACAGTCTATCTCGCTGTCTGTTCATACCAGTCAGTGGATGGTTAGTATTGAGGGGGTCCCCTCGGGGTCGAATCACAGAGGTGAGTATGTATTTTAACTAGAATATGCTGCCGCTACAGAGTACAGGCAGGTATTATATACACATCCGTAACGGTAAACTATACTCCGTAAATAGGACATAATACCTCTCCTCACTATACTGCATAGCCGATCTCACATCCCTTGTTGCACTGCAGATGCTGGTTACACAGCAGATACAGCTTCATGGTAGCACAGCATATACAGGTAGCACAGCATATACAGGTAGCACAGCATATTCAGACAAAGATAAAGTAAATTTTCATAGCAGGGTGCCTGTGGACCTTGCATCATCATTTCTGCAATAGCATCTAGTAAGCTATCTCCTCTGGGAAGATCTTTTATACACATTGAGTCATATATTAGGTGCAAAAGAATAATACCTCTAGTTGCGAGTAAAAGAATACATTATCCTATGTACAGGCTTTTTGATTTATAAAAGTCTAATCAGCATTGTTTCCTCAGCGTTTTACAGTATATACTCTCAAGCTAATTAAAAAGGCTAATTACGCCTTGACTGGTGGCTGCAGAGCCAATGACACCTGTTTTGGGATTTGTATCAGACGATTTTCCAGAGACTTGGAAATTATACTCATGAGCGAATACCTTGATTTGGTGTCACGATCGCCGAAAATATCTCACTGTAAGTGTAGGTGGAAATATTGGTTCATTGACCCGAATATATGCAATTTTATAGGACGTTCAGTCTTCTCATTCTTGGACATTCTCCAGTAGTTCATACCCTTGACCGAAAGTGTGCTACAATGGCTGTGCCCGGCGGGCCATGCATCTGCTTCAAGTTGATATCCCACAGCTTTCTACTATATCGAGCGCCTGGAAGATAACCGCCGCTCTGATCTACAAATCTGATTGACGCGACATATACGTGATACCGCTTACTGGCTCGGATTCTGAGAGCTGAACATTAAGAACAGAAACTCAATATGCATTCTCAAAGCTAAATTCCATGCGAAAGCATCGTAGCGAAAGCCGGGACCCAAAAGGGTATCGCAAGGGCAAACAGAGCCAGTGCTATACCATGTAAAATGGCAAGTATGGCGCCTTGACGGGCAGCTGCTTCTCTGACACTTGAATAACGCAAACATGTAAAGCTAACTCGAGAGTACTGGGTAGCCCAGCCCAAGAATGGCACATACTTATCAAGCTTCTCTTCTATAGACTTTCGCCAAACGTAGAAGATGGAGTTCACATGAAGCCGCATCTCATCGTAGTTCTGACGCGACATATCGTGAATGGCATGAGCATCCGGCTTCCTGAACTCGGTGTACGCAGTGAGCGCACGTTCCCGAGCTTCTTCTCGATCACTGTCAGATTCGAATTTGTTATAAAGTCCGTGCTTATCGAATATTTCAAATAGCACGCGAATGTCCTCAAGTCCAGAATTGAGGCCTTGGCCATAGAAGGGCAGCATCACATGAGCGGCATCCCCAACCAAAACGACACTACCTCGAAAATGATAAGGGCTACACTTGACACCAAATAGAGGCAAATGCGAAGCCCCCTGGAACTGACTGAGCATACTTTCCCTAGAGATGAGACCGGGACACACCCCGGGGAAGTGACGGTTGAAGAAAGGGACGATGAGCTCCGGCAGTTTTCCCAATTCATGGAAAGTAGTTGGCGTCGCGAACAAAGTACACATGAACGAGCCATCAGAATTCGGAAGGGCAATAAACATCGAATCATCACTGGGCCAAATATGGAGATGGTTGGGTGATAGACGATACTGCTCTTTCGTCAAGGGGGCAATTCGAAACTCGCACCATTCCAAATCGATGTAAGTTTGCTGATAATTCATTTGCGCAAACTTAACCATACAAGACCTGGTTGCAGAATGTGCTCCGTCGGCACCGATCAGAAGATCAAATAGTGCATTTTTTTGAGACGAGTCTGCGTTGTTGACCCCTCGTGGAGACATAAAACTGGCTGTTTTGGTCTCCACATCAATGCTGGTCAGCTTATGATTGAAGAAAAGATCTACTTGCGCGATTTTTTCGACCTCATCAAGGAGAATATTGTTGAGTACAGCGCGGCAGAGAGAGTTGATTGCCTATCTAGTATTAGTGTCTGATTGAAAAAAAAGGATGGCTCATTAATTACTCTTCCGTGGCTGTCATAATCCTGTGACTTTTCCCATAGCTTACCGTCCGTATTCTGGCCATGTATCATGCGCCCAAACATAGGAATTGCGTTTGCAATTATTCCATCCACAAGATCCGAGTTTCCGGCGGTTCTCAGGGAGCTTATGCCGCGTTCTGAAAGCGCAAGATTGATAGATTTGTTGCCAATGTTTGCGGGACATACGACCCGTGGATCTTAAGACCGGAATTAAATCAATGCATTTCTGACGAAAAAGACAGAGAGTGTGATTACCAGCTCGTTTGTCATATATTTCCACGCGATCACCGCGCTTTGCAGCATAAAGAGCAGCTAGGCAGCCTACAGGGCCGGCGCCTACAATGACAATCCTTTGCTCCTTGGTGCTGTCCATGACCAAAATGCGAGAGTTGGGCAATAAGTGATTTCGAAACCAAGAAAACTGTTGGGATACTGTATATAAGCAATTGAAGGCATAGTCATAAATTTCGTTGATATTGAAGCGGGATTAGGGAGCACCTGCATGGAGTATGTCGTGTACTGATGCCTATAAACTGTGAACCGATATTCAGTTGTAGACCGCTGTTTGGTAGAAAAATTAGTGCGAATGCTAGACATTAGACCGCTAGAGATCATCTCAGGGGCTAAATGTCCTAAACACAGCTGGTCTTTTCGACTGATGATGGATCAGATTTACCCTCTTAGGAAGCTCGAGCTCATGTAGACTTCATCACTGTTATGCAGGACCGTGGAGCAGCTGTAATATAGAATAGAGTTCGGACCAAGTGGCTGACGCCTGCCAAGAAGCATCATTAATCTGATCTATCTGATCGACCCATTTTGTGGGTCTGTGGAACCATTGAAATTTTTTTCCGAGCAGGTTCTGGTTCGATTTGACAATAATTGAGATATAGGGCACGCCATACTGGTATATATATGCACTTTGTTTATTATACAGGTTGCTATTGGATTAATTAGGGCACATGATCATATAAACCCGAAATTTTGAATTAACTCACTATGTAGTTCTAGTTATCCGAATCGGCCCGGTCACCTATGGATTTTCATATTTTATGGTACACTAGATGCCCAAAAGCGATTCCCTGTCGTAGTAACTAGGGCCTGGCTGGTATTATCTCGGGTTTGCTTGAGAAAAGGAATGAGCTGCGTCCCACCTGTCCCGCAAGGGCCTCTCCCTCTTTTGAGATCAAAAGGTTTTCCGAAAGGGACACTGGCTGGTACTATTGGGCTGACCGCTCTTTCGCGTTCCCCGAGACCATTCCGGTGGCTTTCTTTGTCATTTGACTGCATGATTATGTATCGCCATACTATTTTCATGTGCTGGTCTCGCATTCGACGTAGTCCCATGATGCATGATGCATATGCTTCTTGCAGTGCGATGTCTGAGGTTCTCGCTCCGACAAAGGATTTGATGTTGGCCACGTTAGAGATGTCTTCTAAGAAACGACGGTGTGACCCCGGCATGTATGCACGCATCTCCTCAATGAAGCCTGGAGCCTTCACGGACTCACACTCTCGACACTTTGTAGTCTTATCCCTCGCCCCCGGTGGACCGTGCTTGACCCCCAAAATGATATCGATAAGTTGGATGAGGGAGCTCTGTGCGTTACTGCCACCCCGGTATGATTGATATTGAGCGCGTCCAGATCCATCTTCATACAGTAGGCCATCCACCATTTGGAATTCTTCCATTCGGGCGCTTCCTGCGAGGAAAGGGCGAATTGAGTTGTAAAATGTGCTCGGCTTGCACTTTTCATACATTCGATCGAGTAGAATCCCAACCTCGGTGATCACTTCTGAGATCTCGATCAGATAGCCTTTCACGGTGTGAGAATCGCCGGAATAGGCGGCCTTGATTGCTTGAATTGCTTTCCCAATCACAGGGGCCCCTAAGGCTTCGATAGCGACAGATATCGTGTAGAACCATTCTTCGTCGCGTGATCCGGTGAAAGAATTTATGCACCTCAAGTTTTCAGGCCGGTACAGAGGCTCTGTCTGGGATATGCGTTGATAGTTCCACAAACATAGACCCGCAAATGTTGCTATTGGCGGGATTTCCAGATTCTCACAAATCTGAAGCAAAGGAACTGCGATGCTAGGTGGAACAATCTATTTTTGCCATAAGTCAACTAATATATAAGACGTGGGTGAAGACTGTTGCAACATGTTCACACATACATTCAAAGGGGTTTTGCCACACCAGACATAGCCGTTAGCTAAGAAGACAAGGCAGACATATGCTCTATGCCATTGCGAGGTAGTTCTCAAAGGCTCTGTTGATAGAACTTCAAGTCTATCGATTCGATTTCGGAGCTCCCCAGTTTTGATCAGGATAGATAAATTCTGGACTAAGACCTCCCAAGTGCTGAGGTATGGCTCAGAAAGGCATTGAGTTGGCTCTTCGTTAGGCAGAAATCCAGATTCAAGACCTATTCCATAGTCGGCGGGATCAGGAATATGAGGTGTCATTGTGTGGTGCTATTGAAGTAGGGCTGTCTTTCATTCCAGGTAACTATATCTAAGGCCATCTCTTTATTTGAAGTATCGATCACATTCAATGCCGCCAACAGCCTGACAAAAGATGCTCCATAGAGCTGCTCATCTCATGCATTCCATCTGTATTGACCTTGCATGATGATAAAAATGGATTTTACTATTTATTGATAGATGTCGATGATTTTCTTTTGCTCTGATGATCCAATTAAAAGACTCCGCTAATGCACGCGGTTTTGCATTATTTATAATACTGTCACGTAACATTACTATAATTGCAGGTGTCCTGGCTTACTGTTACACAAACCTGCACTCCTATGCACTGCTATGCAAATATCGTGCACACCGCTACGAGAATCTTTCTTCCTGGCCGCTTTTAAAATGCAGTCATAGAAGTCTGCGAAAGCATGCCAATATCTCATGGCCTCATCTAGGTCGCCATGGGACCCAATCAGACTACCTGCTCAGGTTACGTTTCCAGGCTTAGCTTAATAGTATTGTATAGAATGTATAGATGATTTAGATCTATAAATGTGTGTGGTATCTCAAAATCTGAAGGATTCTCGATTCAACCGTTGCTCGATTATCAATTTACCATAAATCTGCTTGCGATAAAGGCCGGGCTATATTCTTTCATCCGCCGATCAAAATCAGGACACATGCAGCCATAAATATGGCAGTCCTGCAGAAATTTCCAGAAGAGAACACTGTCACTCGGTTGCAACTTGGCAGACTTACAACTACAATGGCCTGGTCGAAACACGACTGGCCTAAGCCACCGTCGATTATTAAGGCTGCTTGGGCGATTGTTCTTCGACAATTCACTCCTTCTGATGACGTCTCTTTTCTGTTTGCATATTCCAATACTCAAAACGATGGAAGGATGTACTGCGAGGAATTCTATGAATTTCATATCCCTCGTTCGACCACGGCCAGTGAACTTCTGGTTCAGGCAAAAAGATTAGGATTGAAAAGCACCGGGGAAAATCAATTTATGTCAAATGTGAACCCTCTTCAGCGCATGAGAGATCAAGGGTTGAGAAGCCTGGTCTACTGGTGTGATAAGGAAGGTGCTGTGGGTGCAGAATGGCCGTCACACGAGAAAGGTCAGCTCACAGATTTTACAGAGGTAAGAGCAATCTGCGGGAAATGATACCTGATCTCCGGGTTGTAAAAGCATATTCCCGGCATAGGCCTGCTCAATACAACTTACTAACCTGGATCTTCCCTATAGTTGGACATCATCTTATTGTTGTGGATTGCAGAGAATGGCTCATTATGCATCACAGCTAAGGGACCGAAAGCCAATTCACTTGGGGTACATATCTCCAGGATATCAGGCACAATGGAGAAAGTTATGCGTGAAATTATCACGAAACCCGACCAAGCCGTCGGTGAATTGGAGGTTTGCAGCGATGAGGATTTTGAATGCATCCAGTCATGGAACATCAGGGCCACGCAATGGGAGGCGATACCGAAGTGTGTCCATGAAGAGATTTCTCGAAAATGCTCTCAGCAACCGAATCAACCTGCAATTATAGACTGGGAAGGGCAAATTACGTATCTTGAACTCGATCGGTATTCCAGCATTGTGGGATCCAGGCTACTTCAACTGGGAGTTGGACCGGATCTGTTCGTTTCCCTTTGCTACCACAAATCCAGATGGGCCACCGTGGCGGCCCTCGGTGTTTTGAAGGCCGGAGGAGCTTATGTCTTTCTGGACCCTTCATATCCATTGCGAAGGAACAAGAGTATCTGTGACGCTACAGCCTCGAGAATCGCGCTTTGCTCATCTGAACTCGCGCCGCTAATGGAAAGCTTGAACCAATATGCTGTCATTATTGATTCATCTTGGGTATCGAACTTCGGATGCGACGTGAATCAAGCGATTACGGCTCGTGCATGCAACCCAAGCAGCGCGATGTACGCTGTCTTTACATCAGGAAGTACTGGGGAGCCGAAGGGAATTGTGACTGAACATGGTGCTTTCTTCAGTAAGGCACAAGCGAATGGCCGTGCGCTTTCCCTAGGGCCCCAAACCAAGATGCTGCAGTTTGCCTCCTACACATTCGATGTGAGCAATCGAGACGTTTTCACGACACTTCTGTTCGGTGGCTGTATCTATGTCCCGTCTGAGTCAGAGCGTGTCGACAGCCTTGCTGGCTTCATTTCTCGCTTCAGGGTCAATTGCGCCAGCTTGACCCCATCTATTGCTAGTACCCTTTCTCCGGATGAAATACAGCTGGATACCTTGATCCTTGGAGGTGAGCCTTTGAGCCAAAATATCATTAGCACCTGGGCCGATAGAGTGCGCCTCGTGAACGCTTATGGTGTTAGTGAGAGTGCTGGAATAGTGAGCCTCGCATCTTCTGTTAGTCCTAAAAGTTCGCCCCGGAACATTGGACTCGGTTGTGGGTCCGCCATTTGGATAGTCGATATAGAGACTACCGAGAGACTGTTACCCATCGGGGCAGCTGGAGAGATTGTCATACAAGGAGCAGGGTTGGCTCGTGGATACTTGTCTGGAAGTGAGCGAACTGCCCACCATTTCCTGGACAGGGCGACGTGGCAGCTGCGTGTCAAGTCCGGCGAACCTTCCATCGATCAAAGGTACTATCGAACGGGAGATCTAGGCCGCTATAACCTGGACGGATCGATCGAATATATCGGTCGGAAGGACGATCAGATCAAGTTCAATGGCCAGCGGCTAGAGCCAACAGAAATCGAGCACCAAATTTTGTCATGGAAAGGTGCACGCGAATGGAAAATCCAGAACGCTGCTGTCATTGCAACGCCACGTCCAATTCAGTTGCTTTCATTCCTCGGCTTAAGATCATCATTTGAAAATGGCCATCAGGCGGGGCTAGTACAGCCAGCTGAAGCACAGAAAATCATCACTGATCTCGTTGCTCACTTAAGCTTGTGTATACCACAACACATGGTACCAGTGAAGTTTGCTTTCCTTCCAAAGTTGCCTCTAAGCAAATCTGGCAAGATCGATCGCTTTCGGCTTCGTGAGATGTATCAGGAACTTATAAAGAATCATCAAGGTGACTTGTTCTACCTGCGAGATGATAATGCCGACACGGACTTGACCCACGCCTCTCACACGGCCGGCCACATAAGCCTGCTCCGAAATTTGTGGCGTGAAGCCCTAGAAAGCCTTTCCGGGGAGTTCCAGCTACATGACAATTTCTTTCGACGAGGTGGGAACTCCATCACAGCAATCAAACTAGTTGCACTGCTTCGCAGGAAAGGGTACCATCTCCGTGTTGTTGATATTTTCAAGTTCCCAACATTGTCGCGTATGGCATCCATGCTGAGAGAAATCCCTCATTCCGAACTCGAACAAAAGTCTTCTTTACCCCCATTTTCGCTAGTCAAGGATGATTCCTCGATCCTTACCTCAGTACTGATGCACTTGGGTTTACCGCCAGAGCAAGTTGAGGATTTGTATCCGTGTACTCCCATACAGGAAGGGATTGTCGCACTGTCCACCCAGTCCACAGGCGCATACATTGGTCGCTACTCATGGAGGTTACCAACCGATATCGACCTTCCGCGGTTTCAAGCTGCCTGGGAATCGGTTTGGCTGATGAATCCAATACTTCGAACTCGGATCGTAGAGACATCAAATGGCGCATACCAGGTGGTTTTGCGCGGAACTCTTCCATGGCAGACGGTTGCAAATGACGAGCCTGAAAGGCCCACTATCCAGGCAGGGCAGCTGTTGCGTTGTATCATCCTACAGAGCTCTCAAAGTTCCGAAGCCTCTCGTTTCTCCTTCATACTTGATATTCATCATGCATTGTTTGATGATTGGTCGCTCCATATCATCCTGGAGCAGGTTGAGCAAGCCTACAGCGGCCAAATACTTGAACCTCGACCGTTCAATACATTCGTCAAGTATGTTCACGAAGTTATTGAGCAGTATAGCGCAGATTTCTGGCGTCATGAGCATATTGGCCTTAAGGCCGAGCACTTTCCGGCTCTGTCGGCGGAACGTGGCAATGAGGATGGCACGAAAAACGTGTTGGAACACACCATTGACTGGGACCCGCTGTCCAATACTGAATTCACCACTGCCTCAATGTTGAGACTCAGTTGGGCTTTAGTTCTGCGTCAAGAAACAGGGTGTGACGATGTTATTTTTGGTTCGACAGTCACAGGGCGTAATGCATCAATGCCAGAGATCGATCGCGTCAGTGGCCCAACTCTTGCCACCAATCCTGTCCGAGTGACTCTAGACTTCAATTTGGCAGTCAATGGCGCGCTAGAAAAGATACAAGACCAATTCAGTCGCATGATTCCGCATGAGCAGATTGGTTTGCAGCGCATTCGTCAAACAGGACCCGAGTCCGCTGTTGCCTGTGGCTTCCAGAACCTATTGCTTGTGCAGCCCGACTACCCGGCCCATTATAGGCTTTTTTCAGAACGGAATACATTCTCAAATATCACAAACTTCACCGGATATCCGCTATTGCTTGTTTGCAACCTCGAAAAGGACTCAATTCACCTCCAGGCATCTTTTGATGAGAGTCGGGTCATGGCCGATACCGTAAGACGCATGCTTCGCCAAATGGATCATATCTGTCAACAGATCCGACACGCAGGCGGTCTTCGGCTTATTGAGCTTGATTGGATGACCTCGAGTGACAAAGTGGTGCTCCAGAACTGGAACAGTCTCATTCCAGAAACGACAGATGCCTGCATTCATGATCTCATACAGATTCAATGCCAAACGCACCCAGAGAGGATAGCAGTGGAAGCACATGACATCACGTTGACATTTGGCGAAGTTGAAGATCTTGCTTCCCATTTTGCATCTCGTCTGCGTGAGGCTGGTGTCAAAAGCGGCACCTTTGTGCCCCTCTTATCCGAAAAGTCAGGATGGGCGACCATTGCCTTACTTGGTATTCTCAAATCTGGCGCCGCACTGGTGATGCTCGAACCAACCTACCCAATGCAGCGCCTCAAAGCAATCTGCTCCGAAGTCCAGGCAGAAGTGATTGTCTCCTCTGAAGCTTGTGCCGATACCAGTAGTCAAGTTCATCCACGGGTTGTAGTTATTGGACCCCTCACTGGCAGGCACGGTGGCACAGAAAAGCCACTACCACCATCTTCGGTTTCTCCCAAAGACCCAGCATTTGTTGTCTTTACCTCTGGTACTACTGGACAGCCGAAAGGCATAGTGGTGCATCACAGTGCCATCAGCAGCAGCGCGCGACTTTGCTGTAAGCGCATGCTTATCGGCACTGATTCCCGAGTCTACCAATTTTCTTCTTACGCTTTTGATGCGAGCGTTGGTGAAACTTTGTTTTCTTTGCTCGCAGGCGCATGTCTCTGCGTCCCTAGTGACCGTGACCGGAAGACGGATCCAGCCAAGGCCGCTCGGGATCTCAGAGTAAACTGGGCTTTCCTCACACCTTCGGTGATCAGTTTGATGGACCCTCTGCAGATCCCAACCCTCAGAACATTGTGTTCTGGTGGTGAGCCGATAACGGCGCATATTGTTCGAGAGTGGGCCAACCACTTGAATCTTATAAACGGCTACGGTCCCGCTGAATGCTCCGTCTTCTCTAATGCACAGGGACCGTTACGGCAAAATTCCGATATCGGGCAGATTGGAAGAGGCTTTGGCGCCGTATGTTGGATCGTCGATCGAAGTGATCACACCAAACTTGTGCCCCTGGGTACTGTGGGGGAGTTGCTTCTAGAAGGCCCGATTGTTGGAATGGGCTATCTCAAAGATCCAGTGAAGACTGAAGCATCCTTCATCAGGAGTCCATCATGGCTCTGTGAGTTCCGGGCTCCGCTTTCTCCGGGAAGGCTCTACAAGACAGGGGACTTGGTCTCCTACTCCTCCGAAGGATCCCTTCGTCTTCACGGACGAAAGGATCTTCAGGTGAAGTTGAGTGGTCAACGACTTGATCTCGGTGAAGTTGAATCTCAACTCAATTCATCGTCCAAGATCCTTGATTCAGTTGTTGAGGTTGTCAAGGTAGAGGAGCGCTCCCTTCTCATGGCGTTCATTCGCCCTGTCTCAATTGAGGCCTGGACTGGTCCTATCATGGACGACTTGACGATCATTGAGGACCCAAATGAGGCTTTCTTTCACGATAGCATGGATGTCGCTACAATGTTGCAAGAAACGCTGCCGCCGTACATGACTCCGTCAGTATATATTCCTATCGCTGAATTTCCTCTCACGTTGACCGGGAAGTTGAATCGGCGACTCCTTCGGGACCATGTTATGAAGTGGACGCCGTCAAAATTCCAGAAATATAACCGAGGCCTTCGAGAGAACGATGACAACCATGCTCCCCAAACAGATAGGCAGCGGCACTTCCTACAACTTGTTGCTGATATTCTGGGTCTAGATCAGAGGAGAGTACGAATGAACAGCAACTTTTTTGCACTGGGTGGGGATTCAATCACAGCGATGCGCCTGGCAGTTTTAGCAAGACAAGAAGGGATACAGTTAAATGTCCCGGATATCTTTTCCCAGCCGACATTATCTGGTCTAGCTGACCAACTGGAAACCGACGTAGTTCTCAGCAAGAGAAGCATGTGCAAGGACCATGACCACTTTTTGCTTGAGACTTCGAAAAAGTACCGCGACGTCCGAAGCAGTCTCTCTATGGGAATATCGGAAAATTTGGTCGGCATACTTCCTGCAAATGAATTCCAACAAATGACCATGGCCAGCTTCTACAATCGCTACATTTGTATTCCACTGTCCCCTGCAGTTGACCAAGCACGTCTGCTAGACGCCTTGCAGGCAGTTGTGGGAGCCCACTCGATGCTACGGACTGGGTTTGTCAGGCACAGCCGTGCGGGTCTGATGCAGATAATTGCCCGTTCAGTCCAGATCCGATTTGAGCAGCACAATGATGTCCGGGACCTAGACGAGTTCTGCGCGAATGACTCTATTACAATGCCCTGTCCGACCGATGGCACCGTTGGCTTTCAACCGTTGCTAGTAACATTGAAAGTCTCATCGTGCTTTCTTGTACTACGCCTACCCCATGCATATTTTGACCCACTTTCACTATCGGTTCTCTGTCAAGACCTATCAACTGCATATGATGGAAAACCATTACCTCCTACCCCTCAATTCTCTGAGCATTTGCAGTCCATTGCCACAAGCCCAAGAGATAGCGCATATCGCCTTTGGAGATCCACTTTATCAGATGTCTCAATGACAAGCTTAAAGGACTTCCAGAAACAGCACACGGGCGATTTACTGACTAGCAATGGCCACCAAGCTTCTGGAAAACCGCTGCTAATAACAGCAACAGAGAATCTACTTTTATTTGCCCCTCCACCTGGCATAACACTGGCCACAGTGGTAAAGGCAGCATGGGGAATTACGCTGATGCAGCGTATCACATCGAATAGTGACGTTAAGGATGTCGTATTCGGGCAAGTCAGCCATGCGCGGAATCTAGGTCTCCCAAATGAAGAACGAATCATTGGACCCTGCGGCAACATCATTCCAGTGCGTGTTCGCTTCTCCGAGTCTCCAAGCCTGCAAGACGTTTTGTGTCAAGTACAGGAACAGCATATAGCTTTGATGCAGGCTGAGAATCTGGGATACAAAGAGATTGTTCGGGAATGCACCTCATGGCCGGCAGAGACACCTCTAGGCAGCTTTGTGCGGGTTCTGACCTTTGATGCAACACCTCCTTGTGTCTTTGGTGGAGTGAAACATAAGCCTTCTGTTTTCAGCCTCCCGAATCTCCCATCAAGCACAGCTAATGTCTTAGCTGTGCCTCATGATGGTTTGCTGTCTATCACCATGACCATCTCCGATCGGGTAATGGATCAAGACGCCGCAAACGATCTCCTTCGCCATTTTGGTGTCACTTTGCGGAAGTTCGCCGAGAAAGGGAGATTATCAGAACAGGCTTGACTGAGTGCAAGACGCAGGGCATTTGGACTCCTCCATACTGCGTCGGTATTGATGTCAAGGAAAGTGGGACAATGTTGGAATATTTCAGTTTCATTCTTCGCAAGCTTCTCTATTTGTACTGTACGAGGGAACTCTTGACACTGCGAGAATCGTGCGCTTTCCACATCCCCTCCCGATTTCTACTCATATAAGCAGGGATCACCTCACCTGTCCTCACGTCATTCCCCCTTTCCATATTTTTTTCACTACAATTCAACCTATCTTTTCGGATTAGCTCGCTTAAACTACTTAAGCCGCATTCTTGCTTGCACTGTAAATGTATCAGCTCGCTGGGAGAATTGGCTCTCATAAACAATGTGTCATAGCTATTCGTCTCTCGGTAGATCTAACCTTATTCGTCGTGAAGATTCTAGATTTGGGTTCAGCAGCAGCTTGTCCTTACTTTAATCTCAAATTATGGCGCAGATGGTTTGGCGTAGCTGAGACTCTTTCTGCAACAGGTGCTGTTGGTCTTTTACTCTGCCGAGCGACGGCTTAGTCATTCTCGAAATCGGCTTGACCGATACGCACTGAGTAACTCTTCCTGGCCCCGCCGCCAAGGCTTTGGCGCAGTGAGTTTATTGAGCAAGCCGTATCAAAGTGAGGGCCGCAGTATTCTGCCATCTAGATTATGACGCCTTATAGTACAGAGACCGTGAAGTTTACTGATAAACGTTCAAAGAATAGAATGTACCCACACATAGCAGAATACAGGTCTTTAAAGAACCATTCTCCTCTTACCCATCATTTTTTTAATGCGGCTTGCTGAATATTTTATCCGAGCTAAAGTCCTGGCGGTGGGTCCAGGGAAGAGTTATTCAGTGTATATTGGTCAAGCCGATTTCGAGAACGGCTGTAACGCTTCGTAGTGTTTTGTTCAGTAACTTGGTAGGCATTACGTCTGTCGATCCTCTTTTTTTCCTTATCATATAAAAAGTAATTCAGCCTGCCGCATGGCATTCGTTTGTTCTTTAATCAATCGACCTGGTCGCCTCTAATTGATCCCGCTTGCTTCTACCTCGCTGCATATGTGCCCAAGATCATTATTATCCTGCTAAGTCAGCTTGCCTCGATAATATTAGACATCAAGAGATTTTTCGTAAGACTCTCATAGTATCATTTGCTGGACTACCTGAAGTCACGTAGAATAATATCACGAAATGTAATTTGAGTACTCCAATTACGAGGCACGTGTAAATGTAACGTCTTATTTTTGACAGATTATGCTTCTACTTCCATCCTCCAGAATCTTACAGACCATGACACGTTCCTTAGAAGACCTATCCTCGTCGGTATCCTGAGATCACAAGAAAAGCTTGGAAACCACAGCAATACTACAATACAGAAGACCTAGGAGCATGAGTAAAGGAATTCCTGCGATTTTGGATGACTTACTGCATGTCCAACTCATATACTTATAACCAAGTGACTTTGTTAAAAGACCACCTAGCATTGGCCCAATGGCCATCCCCACGGAAGCAGCAGTGTCCATCATGGCGAACACACGCAGCAGGGATCCTTTTGACCCAGCATTGCTTTGTGCCCTTTCTTGCGTTGCTCTGCCAGCAGCTATAAGATATGCTCAGTTTCGTGATGTTCATGTCCTAAAATGGGGTTGAACTTACCGGCCAATTCGGCTGCTGCGATGTTAACAGCAAATGGCCGCAAGAGGCCAGTAGCGAGAATGGAAGAAACATAAATGGTTTTTCCTCCGATTTGGGCACTCACATAGGGAGAGAAATCGCTCCCGGCTATACCAAGAGAGAAGAAGGACATTGCCTGGAGAATAGAGGCGATGGTCAGAACAGGTTGGCCCCCGTACTTATCACGGGCCCAACCAGCGATGGGTCCAACAATAACACCGGGGGCAACAAGGCCTGCAAATAGGAAGCCAGCAGTGCTTGGGCCCCATCCAAACGTCTGCTGGACATGTTGAGGAAGTGTCGAATGAAAGCTGTTCAAAATCGTGGTACCTGTGACCATCAAGAATAGATTGATCAGGACACGGTGATTGCACACTATATCACGCCAGAAGCTATCACCTGATGAACTCTCCTCATGTTTTCGTGCGCACAAAGGAGTTGCAGAGTTTGCAATATCTTCGCTGCGACTTGGTACGGAAGTTTCAGATCGATTGTCGATCATCACAACGCGCGCAGCTAAGTCTATAATTAGGATCGAGAGCGGCACCGACCATGTCTTCCAGTACCCCACGGTCTCAAAAAGCAACCCAGAGAGTGCCGGACCGCAGATAGTTCCTGCACTGGCCAGAGAGAACGTAAATCCTATCGCCGTCCCTATGTTGTCTGAGCTAACGGTCTCAGTAACGGTTGCAAAACCGATAATCCACACAGTAGAGCCTGCAATTCCTTGCATTGCCCGACCTAGGTACAGGATCGGTGTTGAAGTGGCAGCAGCAATCATATAAGTGCCGATAATACAGAAAGCAAGGGACAACAACAGCGGGGTCTTGCGGTCTGAGGTACATTCTGCAAAATACCCTATAATGGGGCTACATATGGCAGCAAGAGCTCCATGAAGGGCAAGAACTTTGGAAATGACATCTTGGGTTCGAGAGGGCTCAACATGTAGGCGGATGCGGAGCATATAGTCGAGTATGGGGGCCAGAAAGCCATAAAGGAATGTTTCTATTCCTCTTAGCACTTGGTAGATTATCAGGTATCCATACGAACCAGAAAATACCGCGATTGAGATGGTCAAAAGGACAAACCATTTTGAGCCACGCCATTTTAATCCAATGGTCCTAGGCATCACGCACATGCGGCTCATAGTCATAAGGCTGTCTAAAAAGTAAACAAGTCAACATGCAGTACAATCTGTAGCTGAACTTGCACAGCAGTTTATATAGTTTCATTTCAACTCAACTTCAGGGCGATAGAGTTCAGAAATTGTTTTGCATACGGAGTACTCCGTACGCAACCTTGTATTTCCTGAGTGATCTCCAGACTTCGATCCACTTACGGGAAAAAGTAAAGACGATTGCATATCCTTCCCTGGGCACACATGATTACCAATGCAGGTCAAGCAAGGAGTGATCAAGTGGGGGGGCCGAAGGGGACAAAAAGGGGCTATTGAGGTAAGTCAAAGCGGGGGCCCATATTGCTTATTCGCCCTGGAATATATGCCAGCCTGTCTCAAACCCAAGAACAGTTTGGGCTAGTAATTCTATCAGGCGAGGGTGAGACCAAGCGGAAGTTATTTTTATTGAGAAGGTTGATTTTTCAAAAAGAAAGATGCGCTAAGTTACCGCTCCATATCTCGACACTGCTTGGCGGTGGTATCAGCTGAAGGTGGAGAAAGATCTATGATATCTGGTCACAACTTTCTGCTTTGGAAGCGTCTGGTTCGTAGCATGGTGATTTTGAGAGGGAAGGGAAAGTCCAATGATACACCATTTCATTTACCCATCCGCGCTAGTAATGGGGAATTTCCGCAAAGGGTGGCAGCTGGAAGTCACATTTATCTTAGGATTGGCGGAGTATGCAGAAACAGGGAGTCGCTTCCAGGGTGTCTTGGAATTGCCTTGACCAGTCGGGAGCACAAACTGAGATTTTCTTTCTCAGCCCCGCCGCAGCCTCGTCCATCGCTGATCATCAATTGGGCTGGTTGCGCGATGTTGAGGGCCCCACGTAATAAAATATTGGACGCTATTATATCTCTCCCTCTGGAAGAATACCCTTGCACCCATCGCACCTCATCAGCGCTTCAGTGCAATCGGTCATCAACGGTCGACAAGGATTCGTTACTGAATAATACAATACAGTTGATGATGATGATGACTTCATTCACCCTGACCCTTAGCGACCGACATATACAATTCCGCATTTATGTATATTCTTGAAGGCGGGTGCCACGTACAGCCCAAGTGCATCCTAAGCGAAATTAACGCCTTGCCGAGGCCTGTCGTAGCTCAGCCATATCCCTCGAGCCGTTTTTCGTTGAATTGTTGCCTTTATTGGGCTCAGCTTTGAAACCTCTGTGATGTTTCCGCAAAGTCCATGACAGCCTCCACTATCTTTAGCCCCCGAAAAACTGTGAGTCTCACCTATTCCCTGTTCATAGGTCGGCTGAACAAGGCTGATATTTTACTCAACGCCTCACCAACTTTCACTCGCAGCTTTGGTCGTAATTCGCCGGCTCCGAACAGTAAGCTGTGGGATGTGGCGCTTATGATAATGCCCTCCACAAGCGCCAGCATCTTTTCCAGCTGTTCCATCTTGGATCAGGGTATTGCGCTTGAGTGTCATTGGAGTAAGAGACTATACGTGTCAAAAAGGGTTTTATTGTGAGTATCGGCAGCTGAGTGGAGAACGTGTTGATTGTCGTGGTATGCGCAGAAGCTGGGCATCTTCGAGGCAGCTTCTCTCTATATACAAAAAGAAAGCCCCAAGAGCATCCATCAGGCCATATGACAAAGTATGGGCGTAGAGCTCAGTCAGCTTCCCAGATTGACTGAGGGACTTGTGAAGCTGGCCTGAGAATTTGATACTTGCATATTCTGGGGCCCGACTCCTGTTCTTCGATTTTTATCCGAACGACGAACTCCAGGTTTGTGATTGATCCATCCAATGTCTCCATCTTCAAGTTGCCGAATAAGACCATATCTGTACCATTTGCGTCGTTCACGTAGCTTTTCAAGATTGAATGCTGTCTAGCTTTCACCGTCTCTCCCGCGCCGTCTCTGCAGTGACTTATCTCTAGACGCGGGTTTTAGCGGACAAAATCGAGAAATGAAGGCAAAAGGCTCAGGAGTTGTCTTACCACTAGCGCCTCTGAACGTAGAGGTCGACGTTATTAACACAGCGTCCTGGGTAAAGATCTCATCGACAAGGATCTGTCCAACATCTGGCGGATTGGTGTCTACCAGAGCGAAGAAACGGTATATAAGTTGTTTCACCTCTTGTGAAGGCTGGGAAAGAGGCCACGTCGCTAAATTGCTTGAAGACTCCATGGCCCTTACTTTAAATATCAACAATCTGAAAAGAATCAATCTGAACAGGGAAAGAGAGAATTTTGAATCACCTCTAACGGTGGTTGTACTGAAAGCCCGCAATTTATGCCTTTGGAAGAGTGGACCGTAATTAAGAAGGTGAGTATTTTTACATGTCCGTTACGGGAGCCTGGTACGGTATTTCCTAGATTCTCTTTTTTTTTCCAGACTATTGGCCCCACCCAAACGTGACCTGACCTTTAGGTGATAACGTTACAACCTACTCCGTACAGCATGGAGTATCCCGATTATAAACTATTGGAAAATCTAATATACGCTTGTTCCACTGGCATTAGTGAAATTTATGTATTTCATTATAATTGTTGTTTCACAGCCATGTATCGTATCTGTTTGCTTTGATGCCACCTGCTTATATCGATTGGTAGCTACGCGGCCGATCTGACAATTGAGACTGTACAGCAGATCAGGTTACACAGTAGGTCGGGTTACACAGCAGATCCGGATTACATCATGGGCACAATACATCTCGGAACACGGTATCCTGCTTCCTCACTCCCAATATACAGCGGTCAGGTCCATTAACAATGTTAGCGAGGTAACTTACTTCGGTCCCCTCGTTGATGACTAAGTTTCTGCCAGTTCTTTTTAGAACCGGATTTAATGAAACCGTTAAAATACACTGTGATGCTCGTAGGGTGGGTTGAATAATTTCTGTTTCAGACCTGGGGGTCCCAAACTATGGCCTACGCCTGATGTGGAGGAGGTCGTTTCAGGGCCACAGCGTGCGCAGCGCGCGTCACCAGTTCTAATGCCCTGAAACGAACGAAATGAGAGGAAGGGATTCTCCGCCCGCGGGAATACCCCTGTTCCAAAAACTTTATTTTTTTTGCTGTTGTTAGCCAAATTATGGCTTCTAATTCGCTAGTCTGATCCACTGCTCGGTTCTGATTCGCTACTTTCTCATTTCTTCGTATTCCACGCCCTCTTCTGATTGCTTTTCAAGAATTCATCATCTTGGGTTAGTGTTGGCGTTTTTTATACTGGCCTACTGGCTCTTTCCTCCATAACCCTAACAGCTGGCTCTCTAACCCTAGTGTCCGTGCTTCATACTTCCTGCTTATTTGTTGTACGCTCACGTTCATTGCTTGCATGCTTTTGCTACGCACTTCTTTCATGTCTTCTTTTGATTGGGTTCCGCCAGTATGCCCTTCGTGTTGGATCTGACGTACCGCATTAATGGCGAGCTGAAAAGGAAGCGGGGTTAGGCAGCAATGCGTCAAAATCTCATTCTCTGAATATGGAGCAAAATCAACGGTCCCCAGAACAACCTACTTATTTTGGCCCGCCGATCCGGGTTTATGATCTGCCAGCTCTGATTACATTTTCGCTTCTTCCATTACGCCTAACCATGAAAAAGAAAAAGAACAAGTCCTCTTGTTACTCCACGTTTGAGTATAGCGACGTTTACCCCGAGGAATCCAACCCTCCACCACCAGAGGCACACGATAGGGAGGATCAAGAGACCATTCTCGGGCTCATTGCGAGGTGAGAAATATCCAGCTCATCTACCCCAGCATTAGTACAATTAATGCCAGTTCACTAACATGGCGTAGCTTGCATCTCAATTCGGATTACAGCGATTTGACCATTATTTGCAAGGATAAGATTCTCTCGGCCCATAAGCTTGTTGTTTGTCCCAGATCAAAGTACTTCCAAAAAGCTTGCTATAGCGGGTTTAAGGTGTTACAAGTTCTGTCTGTTAACTACTATTGGACCTACACTGATAAGCGACGATGTCTTGCAGGAAACCGAACATCCGATTCGCCTAACCGAGAAAGACCCAATCCTCATTGAGAAAATGCTGGAATTCCTATATACAGGAAATTACACCGCTCCATCCCCTACGAAAACCTCAGAAACCACACAGGCTGATGGTGGAGACGTACCCGTGATGGATAGGTGGCCCGCAGAAGAGCCGTCGTGGGAGCACCAACCAGAAAATGATGTCACTGATGAAGTTGAGGCGCATTTAGATGAGCACTTCACTGAAACAGTTACGAGAACCCTGGAGAACACACCAGAGACCCTTGTACCTGGGCTACAGATGAATGAGAACCCAGCTTCAATTGACGAATTTCACCCAGAATACGCAAGCAAGGAAGGGGATAAAGGGGGCCTTGCAGAGCCAATCGTGGATTCATTAGCCGACTGTCATCCATGTTACTTCCACGTGCGCATGTATGGCGAAGCGGACTACTTCATGATCGACGACCTAAAAAGCAAAGCAGCAGTGCATTTCTGCGCGTCATTCATGAGTTCTCCCGAAAGAGAGTCCTTTGCAGACACCGTCGAGGAACTGTATTCGACACGAGCCAATTACCAGGAGCTGAGGCAACTGGCGATCGAAATGCTAGTTGCTAATCTGCCGAATCTCCGAAACGGACCCACGCCGGTAATTACTTCAGAACTGATGAAGTCGATTCCCAATTTCACATACGATTTATTTCAAGCCACTCTAGATAAGTATGTGCGCGAGCCGTCCGATATGGAAGGAAATCCGTCTTATATGGAATCTGATTACTGGAGCCGCTCAAAGAGGTACTAGTTCGCATTTTTGGGTTGGGATGTGTTTTCATATTTTTCGCACCACAAATCCACAAGATAGTTGCCGTGTCAATAAATATCTCTGCGCCCTTTTACCTGAACTTCCAGAACTTCCACATCGTCGTTTCAGGGCTTACAGCGTGCGTCAGCGCGCGTCCCCCAGTCAACGTGGATGTACGTGTGCGAGACTGGAAAAAAGAAGTGGCTTAACTATATACGGTTCGTTCCGCCACGCACCCTCGTGATTCGTTCCTTGCATTTCCTTTTTGAGTCTGGTGTATCTAGGCTTTAGGGTTCGCCATCTATATCTGCATGGTATCTGCATGCTGTCCCACTTTGATTGCTTCGCTTCTATTTCTTGCTGCATCTTTTAATCGTACGCTTAGGGCTATACTGCCACCAGCGCGTTTATCTACGGCCCACTTTGAGATATCTTGTATCTCTTTAGTGCTGCATCGCTATGTTAACGTATCGCTCTTGTGTTACTTGCGGTCGCAATGTTCGTCTATCTAAAACGCGTCCTTGTCAACGCTGCCATCTTCCGCTTCCAGTCACTTCGCCTGCTCTTTGCTGCGCAGCTTGTTAAGCAAGGCAAACTTATGATACATCGTGCTTAGACTGTAGGAACTACTTTGCTGCGCGGCGTCGAATTATCCGTTGCCCGGACTGCAGGTCGAAGATCGACTGCTCCACGACTGCCTGTTAACTCTAGCCGCTTCTAAGCCTCCTTTGATCCCTTTACGAATTAGTTCTAACAGCCTAATAATCTCCCTGCCACATCATTGTAGACCTCCGCGTTGGCGAATAAGACTTATATCTCCATCATCCCCACGGTCACATATACAGCCTATAGACTGTGACCCTAGCTTTGTCGCTGTCAACCAAGCTATCGCATTTCTATGCCAAAAACATGAATCTCGCGTACAGGCCTCGGAGACGTTCACTTCTCCAATCCGCAGTTCTTATATTCGTTCCTTGTTTATTCGTTTCGATGATGAGGTAGAAATTGCGAGCCGAGATCTGATATGTTCCTTTGACTCTCATGGGCAATCAGGCAAATCGAGACTGGGATAAGATTATCAGTGTGGTCTTCCAATTTTTCATGAAACAAAAACCTATCTGATCAACAACACACCTACATTCCTCACTGATCTGGGAAATACCCATCGCCTCTTATTTCGCAGATTCTAAGTGATCCAGAACAATGACATCTACACTAGTATTTTTGGCCGTCATTATATCTTTCTTCAAGATAAGGTGTCTTGGTTTGAGGTCCCAGAAAATTATAGGGCAGACAGGTGGGATGAGTCGGGTTCTAAAGACAACACGTAGAAAGCCTTGATTGAAACCGATCTTATTAGATCAATAGGCAGTCGAAATGTGGCCGCATATGTGTAGAAGTCGTAGACGATTTGACTACGAGAAGAGTTACACGTTCCCATCCCCCTAACTCCAGCCAATCTAGTTCCAGTTGGGGCTATCACGTGGCCAGACTCGGCCGTGCTATTCCGCGCTAATGTAGCCGCCAGTTATATGTGCAACACATCTGATCTTCGCTGGACCTTACTTTTCTCACTTTGTAGTGATTGGACAAGTGCAGCCGCTAGCCTCTGCCTCTACGAGACTTGAAAAAGTACCCACTTGACCGGGAGAATATTACTAGCAAAAGAAGGTGATGAAATCCAAAAAAACCCGAAAGAGTGTATATTGAGCATCTCGGCGGTTCAAGCTATCGTCCAACTTCCTTCAACCTGCCTAACCAGTCAGGAGAGAGTAGAGATACGGAATCCCCAGATCGAGGTGCAAAGGCTGAAATGGTCGAAATAGTCACCAACATAATCAATGGGCTGAATTGGACTAAATTTAAAAACACCCTCTGTAGCGGAAAGCAAAGCTGACGCATATAGTATTTTGAAATCTCGAGCCTCTTGGCCAGGGAAGCGGTTTGTGGCTGGGGCTTCGGCAGCTCGATCGTGAATGTTATAGCGCCATTTGCATCACGCTCAAACGGTTTCACATATCGATGACCACAGTAACTAAACATGAATGTTACTATGGCTTGCTGATTTGAGAGGAATGTGATCCTACCTCCAATGGGCAAGTCCCATCGCAACATCCTGACATCCCTGTATAAAGGCCCGCGAGACGGCCTTCGACCTCACGTGGGATTTCTTGCGAAGATGCGATTCTGCATCACGTAGCCCCATTGCTTCATTCATGGCAAATGCATAGCTTTGTTGCATTGCCGTATTGCAGTCAATTCCGCGATTAAGCATCAGCACGGGAATTAAATTTTCAATCTGACCATCAATCTGCAATCCTTAGCGCCGTTCATATTCTGGAGCTATAGGGAACCAAACCATTTCTTTCCGCATTGAAAACATGTCATTGGTGCTGGAATCGTTGTTAACATTTTTTGGGAATTAATTAAGAGGTCATCGAGGATATTAAACTCACATATGAACAAAGTATGAGGTATGTCTCCACAGATCCTTCATGGATTGATCTCGGATATCCTCTCTGGTAACATCTAGTCCATAGATAAAGCTTCAATCATTAGTCGTTCTGTGTTGAAAAGTGGAAGAGTAAGATAGCCATACGGAATTGTAGCTACTACACAATATGCAGCAGCCGTGGCCTCACGGCGGTCCCAGTATTGTCTACATGTGCGGTTAGCAGGCGGACGGTGACAACGGCACGAGGAAATGAAGATCTCACTCTAGGGAGGGAATGCAGCAGTCATCAAAAATACTATCCACATTGTTCAGGCTTCCAACATATCGTAGCATTTCATCGCATAGAATTTCACGAGTCTCTAGACCTTCTTTAACATCATGCTCAATCAAGTGGTTGCAGAGCACGGTCAAAATATCCACGTACCTTTCGAACAGATCTGGTGGATATGCAAACCAACTTCATCCCAGCACTGTAGGCTTTTCTGTAGTTCCATGTCAAAGCTGGAAAGGTCTGGCGCCTCTCCTTCGTCAATGAGAGTGAACTTGAAATATTGTAGGCTGGCTTCTCTGTAGGCTCCAACGACGTACGTATCGTACTTTAAAGCACCACAGTCAAAGACTAGTTACCTCACAGCGCTGTTAGATAGGTTCTAGTATCCCTATTATATCCTAATATGCTATCAAGGAAACCCACTGTCATCGTACATAAAATACTTTGAAGTGTAACGTTGCGATCATGTCAGCCATGCAAAGTTCGAAAAATTATTCCTGAGAGGAACAAACCCAAGCAAAATATTTAGCTGCTGTGCAAAGTACATCAAAAGATGCACTTTTTCCCCACACGGCAGCAAATACACCAAAGTCGGCTGCCTTGAGCTTTCGCGCTGTACCCTTGTCGTCCACCCACCTTCGAGCAGTATCAGCCATATGAATAGGTTGGTGCAATTTAAATCTTTAGGACGAAAAGACACAACATACCTTTCAATCCAAGGATTAAGAATGTCATCTCTTGCCCTTTCGTATTCTTTGTGCAGCCTAGGATTCCACCCGGGAATTAGCTGATAGATATTTGGTATGGTGATTGTCTGACCTTCCAGAGACTCTCGGAAGGCCGTGTGGGAAGTAGCTGTGGTCGTAAAGTTCATGATATGTTGATATATAAATGTAAAGGGATGTAACTGATTCGAGGTTACATAAAATTTTAATTTTGAACGAGAGACCTAATTTATATTATAGAAGCCTCTTAGGAAGACGACTATCTAGGTCCCACTGCGTGGGATCAAGATATTACATCTCCTAGCTAAGTCTATCCCTAAGAATTAGCCCTTGTATTTGCGGTGAGGAAAGATTTCCCTTCCAAGGATGTTTCGTATGCAGTCGTGAGCTGTACAGCGTCAAGCCCGCATAACTCATTAGATGTATCTCACTGTAAGAGGCTTTGACTTTAGGAAGGAGATGCGTGACGAAGTGGTCGCCAGAGAGAGGAGACACAGCACATAGCTGTTGATATATTTCCGTCGATATATTGTTTTTTATTTTCTTAAGTATCTAAAGGTTGATATGTACCTTAATCATGGTTCTTGCTTAGATCAAGTTGACGTCTTAATATCTCTATGAATCAACATCGGGTTTAACAGACATGAACACATGCAGATTGTTGTATGTTAATCCGAAAAGGTTTCCTTAGACCATATGGAGAGTCCTATGAACTTGGGCAGAGCTACGGGCACTTGACCGGGACCATGCCAAATACGAAGATAGATCAGCAGTGGATCGATCGCCTGACAGGTGCGACGACCCGAGTACGTGCATATTTTGGTTCATCTTGGCCGATCTGGGTAATTCGCAATTAGACCTCGCCACGGCTCATTCATGGGTTGGCGGGGCCCTTCCAAACCGCCCACCAAGGGCCCAAATACAGTATTACATACAGATTTTACTTTTTTTTTGTGTATTCAAATTGCACGTAAACAGTGTATTTACCAGTAATTTATATACTGATGGGCGGGTTTAGGCTTGGGCACAGCTGGGCCGCCCAAAAAAGCAATATGGCGAGGTCTATTCGCAATGCAGGCAAGGATCAGGCCGAATAGACCTGTTGTGAGTCATTTAAATGCCTGAAACCATATCATATGTACGTGGGTAAAGATCTGTATCGGGTAGCGGTGCATGAGGTTTCCTGTTAGCGTTGGAGTTAACCTGCGCTGCATGTTGAATGTCTACGTGGTCCTGCTCACGGAGTTTTGAATCTATCCACCAGCTGTCTCGATCCTCTCGAAAATTTTCAATCCCTAGACAGGAAACCTAGACCGCCTATTCACTTTTTGCGTAGATCGTGCTCTTCTATTGCCCGGATTAACCGTATTGAGCCGACATTGCATCAATTGTGAAGTTTGTAGATGTATCGACAAATTACGGAAAGGGGGGAAAGGTATTGGTCTGTATATATATACACTATGGTATACTCCATGGCCTATACTTTGCGCTATTAAAAATTTTATTGCTAGAATTTTGTTGGCTGCTATGAACAAAGTGAACATGCAAACAATGGATGCATACTATGTTCCAGGTTGGGTTACGGACTTGTCCACCACTATGATGGTGAAGCTTGAGAATTCGCCCTTGATGCTGCCCATAATTTTCACAATTTCTTTAGGGTTAGTCTTATTCTTCACGACCATCTATCGCTTGTTCTTCCATCCACTGAGGAAGTTCCCTGGACCTCGTTTGGCCGCTATCACGCAATGGTACCAATTCTACCACGATGTTATCCTTGGTGGGAAATATCTCTCCATGATTCCAGGATTTGAAGCAACATATGGTGAGCAGCAAGTGACCTGTCCCTCCGTGATAGTGTTTGTTAACCACTTTCTCAACCATAGATTCCAAAATTATCCGCATTGGTCCTAACACTTTGCACATAAATAATCCAGATTATTACATGGAGTATGGTTATTCATCCTGTTAAAGCATGTTGTATGGTTTGACTCATTGGAATGACAGAGCTTTCACCGAGTCCTCTTATCACAAAACACCTTCTTGGGAAAGTCTTCCGTGGCCAAACGCATTGTCAAACATAACCGACCCCAAAAAGCACGCCATTGAACGTAGGATATTTGCTCCGCTGCTAAATTGGTCTTCTATTGAGATACTCTTGCCTAGCCTGGCTACTAAGCTCGAAGAGCTGGGTGAAGTGCTGGATAAATGTGCACAAGCCGGCGACACAATTGAACTACTGAAGTATATCACTCTCTTAGCAGTGCGTCGCCTTCTTGTTGCTAAATTCTTTAAATATTTTTGATGGTATTGGTACTTAGTCCACAGCTAACAAGTTGACAGGCTGGTATGACTTCGGAAGCAATTTTCGGGTTCTCAGAAAATTTGAGTACCGACAAAAATGTGCTTGAGGAAACAGCCGATCTTTACCGATCTTTCCTTATTCATTCAATTTTGTGTATGGCAGTATTTCTCTCAACAGATGTACAGTTTCAAGCTAACGACTGTTGTATAGTTCAATATTTCCCGTACCTCAATAAACTTCTCGACATACTTCCTGACGTCGTCGTGAATATGCTTATTCCGCCTTACATTAAGTTTCGAAAGGTAAGCATGCAGTGTATATCCGTTTAATTCAATAGTGGCTTATGCGGCGGTGATTAGCAATGCAGGCAGAAAATTGAATATATTCGAAAGCGAAGAAACGAAGGAAAATTCATCTCGCATCGAGGCCAGCCAACTTTATGCGATGCCATTCTTGACTGCCCACCAGAAAGGCACTGGCAGCCCGTCAATGATGATTACATCATAAATACCGCCATTATGTTCTCCGTTGCCGGCTCTACTAGTCTGGCCTATGTCGTAGAAGGCGCAGCCTTCCATCTACTCACCCATCCACCGGTCCTCGCAAAATTGAAACTCGAGCTCAAAGAGTCAGAGTTCCATCTAAAGAACTGGAATTTTAAAAAAGTACAGGAGTTAGAATATCTGGTACGTTTGTCAACTGACCCACGAGTTTTTCTAAAGAACTAACAAAGAAAGACCGCCGTTATTCGCGAAACATTGCGCATCACAGCTCCTACTCCTGGATTCTTTTCAAGGGTCGTTCCAAATACAGGCGCTACGGTGGCAGGTCAATTCATTCCGGGAGGGGTAAGCAGTGCAGCAAATGAATCCCTATTATGTATTCTAATTGGAATTAGACATGGTTTTCCGTCACCCAGCAGAGTGTCAATATGGATCCTGGCCTCTTCCCCGATCCGCATTTATTCAGGCCAGAAAGATGGCTGGGAGAATCGGGGCGGGCACTAAGCAAGTGGTCTATTGCGTTTGGCAAAGGGCGACATACCTGTGTTGCGCAAAAGTAAGCTCACCTAATGCTCTACTAATCAACGGTACAATTAATGCTCATCATCCCGTCATCAGGTTGGCATATCCTCAAATTTATGGTTGTATTGCATACATTTTTTCTGAGTTTGAGCTTGAATTAGCTGATCCACAGAGTGCTACCATGCAGTCGGACTGTTACCTTACCAGCGTAACCCGAGAAATCATCAAACTCACGGTCAGAGGCAGGAGTCTCAGTTGATGGAAGTTTTATCATCGAGGAATGCTGCAACTTTGTTTGCTGGTAGCATTGATTAGTAAATGTTCTCTGAGGATTAACAATATCATGAGAAACACATATGGGTTGGGCGATAGTTTCAGTTGCGCTTTAACCCAACTCTTAAGACAACAGCTCAACTCATCTGCTTTCCATATTCTTTACTTGGGTTAACGGGATATTTCATCGCATTATAGAGTTGGAGTCGAAAACACATTGCCCTTGAAAACACTCAATAATTGTATCCTGAAATGTTATTGAACGGCGAACTTAAAATATAGTGTCTAGAAGTGTGCATGAGAAATCCTATGGGTAACATGGTAGCCTCATGTCTGTTCCCACCGAGGTGGACACTTTCACAAAGCATGTCTAATGCACACCTGCGATCGATGATACAAGCGGTCAGATAGCGTATATCAGTTGTAGCAGATGTAGCAGTGGCTCAATGTGATGAAATGATCGACAAGAAGTGTTACGAGTCCAAAAGGTGTTGCTGTTCTCCTCTACTTAGTGGTGGGTCTGTCCGTCACCATGCAGATTTTCAGCGCACGTAGGTGGAACGACGAACAAAATTGTGGCACACAAGAAGATGATAGGGTCAGTGAGATGCCTGACCGCCATTTCAAAGACTGCTGATATTATATATCTAATTGATTCGTGTATAAAAGGGGTCCCTGAATATCCCATCAAGAGATTTTGATATCCCTCACCTTACGTCTTTTTTATTGTGCTAGGAAGTCTCATTTCTTCGTCACCAAAGATCATCATTCCGTGTTTCCTCCGCCAAAGTGAAAACATACCCATTAGTGCCATGTCTGCCTTACCCACCCCGCAAGGTCTTACCGAACGTGCCAAGAAGCTTGTTCATCGAATTGCCACTGCCGTCGATACGGACCATGGGTTTTCCTCTATGGCACACTCCATTTACGATACAGCGTGGGTATCAATGATCGTCAAGAAGGACGGACAAGGTTCCAGATGGTTATTTCCGGAATGCTTCGGCTTCCTCTTGAAGGAACAAAGCAACAGTGGCGAATGGTCTTCCTTCAAATCGACTGACCCAGCACGCACCCCTTCCGCTGATATTTTGGTTCCAGACACCATTATCCATACACTAGCGGGGCTTCTTGCTCTGTGCATTCATGCCAGAGTTAGGGATTGCACAAATGGCACCTTGCCATATAACATGTCATGCCGTATTTCTCGTGCAAAGCGATGGCTCAACGCCGCCTTGCAGCAATGGAAGGTTTCTGAGACTACGCACTTCGGTTTCCAGCTACTTATCCCGGTCCTTCTTCACCGACTGAAGGACGAGGAAGATATCTCATTTACCTTTCCTGGCGAAGAAGAACTTTGGTCTATGTACAACACTGCAGCAAATATGGATATTGAGTGGTTATATACCGAAAAGTGCAAAGTGCCATTGCTTTGCTATGAGGGTCTTTTAGGGAAGTTGGACTTTGCACGGATTGGGCATCAGGTATCATCTGAAGGCCTCGGTGCATTGCCTGCATCGACAGCGGCATATTTGATGTATGCGCCAACTTGGAGTAACATGTGCGAGGAATACCTACGCAACGTTATAAACAACGGAAGTGGCCGAGGCACGGGAGGTGTGGCTTCGATCTTCCCTCTTACCACATTTGAGTCTAGTTGGGTAGGTTTAATTGTTGATGTTTTGCTGCGTTCCATGAGCTAAATATAGCTAGGTTTTAACCACCCTGCTGGAAAATGGATTCAGTACCGAGGAACTGGGCGAAGGGAATGTGGATAAGATTGTCCAATTCCTCAAAAAGCAGCTGGAGTCGAATGGGGGTCGTGTTGGTGCGAGTAAGTTGTATTCTGTTTCTCCTTAGCCGCTACTATTTCAAAACAACAACACTGACTTTCCTCAGCAACTATTTGGGTACCTGACGCCGATGATACCGGTAGGGCACTCACTGCGCTCTTCTTGCACGGCCACAGCCCTAGCCTAGACAGTTTGATCACAAACCACGAAGTCGATACGTACTTCCAAACGTTTTTCGGTCGCATTCCTAATGCAGTCCCTAGCATCAGCGTCAACTCTAATGTTCTCAATGCACTCCTCTCCAGCCCAGATCCCCCAAAAGCACAAATCATTAAATGCATCAAGTATTTGTGCAATACCTGGAAGAACGATAGCGTCCCTGGGGATCACTGGGTAAGTCCTTTACTCCAGCTGTGATGAAAATATACCAATTTGACCCTAGAACACTTCAGAATACTATGCGATCCTACACATGACCTTCAGTTTAGCCAAATTTCGCATTGCCAACTCACGGGGCCTTCTCTGTACAGACCGTAACATGATGGACCTCGTGGATTCTACACTTTCAAAGTCGAGGGAATACACGTTGAAAACCCAAAACGAGAACGGATCTTGGGGCAAACGACACTCATTCGAAGAGTCAGCGTACGCAGTCTTGATTTTGGCCAACCTCCTGACCATCAACGAAACAACTAAAGATCAACTTGCCATTCGTTGTAGCATTGAGGGCGGTAAACGGTATTTGGCGAAATGGAAAGGGCCTGATCCGACCGATCTAGTGTGGACGGGAAAGATATGGCTAGCAGATCTATATATTCAAGAAGCGTACGTTCTAGCAGCGTTGAAAGTTGACATCGGCCGATTTGCAGCCGGTGGTTGGACAAGCAAACTGTAACTTTCGGAATGTTGGTTTCTGTGCCTTCACTGAGAGAAGTCAAAGCTCAGAGAAACGTTGGTCAAATTCTTATTTCTGGAGGGATAGAAGTGGCTATAAACATAACACGAAGTCCAAAACTTGAATTTTTTTGTCTAGATAGTGCAGGAATTCTTTCCGGTGGCTTTCTTCTGGATCGAGGTCTCATCTCACAACAATTGAGAAAGGAGAGACTGGCGAGTTTTGTACACAATGCAGACGCTGCAAGGAAGAGCTTTGAGAGGAGTGGTAATTGAAATCAAGTCACAGTATCACAGCACCTGCAGGGGGATAGATCAGTACCCCTCGATGCCATATTGATCATTCCGACTTGAGGTGATGCTTAAAATACATGGTGGACATCAATAACCTGAGAGAACATATCGAGAGTCAACATATTCCAAATATTAATTGGCCCCTTTCAAAACCACTGTGTGGATGTATCCAAACATTTGACAGTGAACGCCAGTTGCGATATCACTTGCACGACAAGCACGGGCTTCACCAAGCCATTTGGAAATCCCCAAAACTACCGAGAAAGAGGAAGCGCTCCAGCGGAACTATAGAGGAAACTTATTTAACGGAGCCAATTGAGGAGCAGCCTAAGAAAATCCGGTTTTGTCCCTATTCATCTCCAACTCAGCAGTTTGATGACCGAATATTCAGCAAGAAATTCTTGCCTGCCCCGCATCTTGAGTCGTTTGTCACAGAGGACCCTCAAAAGGATTTGTCCAAAAAGTCCGACAGTCTCTGCTCGAGTAGCCGAAGCAGCTTTAAATCGGGCTTCTCCGCGGCCAATTCTCCTCTAAGCTCTCGACCAACAACCCCTGGGCTTGAGGCGATTGATCCAAAAATACTTGAGCCCATTGGCTACAGCAATGGAATTGAGCAACAGGCTTGTGCTGAAGCTGCCGCCGGGTTGAACTCACTAAGTCTCTCTACCACCGGTTTCGACACCAAAAAGATGCCGCTTAGTTACACAATGCGATCGAATTCCCCTGCGTCAGACCTTGTCCCCGAGCAGCCTGGTTGTGACATTGACGAAGAAGCAAGACAGAGCAAGAAGTCCTCCCGAGAGGAACCGCCCACTTCAATGCCTCCCAACGTTGAGAACACCCTAGAAAATTCCCCAGAAAAAGATGGGGCCAAACACGATGAGGGCGAATATGAAGGCAGTCTCCAAGAGAAGGCAAGCGATCGAAAACCGCGTTGTGATATTCCAATTCATCTCACCAAGACGAGATCACAACAGCCTCGGCATCATTTGGATGAACCGAGCCCTCAAAAACTGCGACAGAAACTCTATGCAAAGGAGAGAAGAAAGATGCTTGAATTCAAGAGCCAGAATCTGACCTTAAGGCAGATTGGACCCCACTTCGCAGACATAGATACGGCCTTTCTGCGAGAGGCCTGGCAGGATTTAGAGCTTCCCCAGCGATGCACCAGATCAGGGGCTAATCGGACGGCCCGTCAGAGGTATGCTCGCTAAGTCGTTCATACAAGTCGAGCGCAATGTTGTGTGTCAATCATGTCTATTTGTACATAATTTATTTTTAACAAACATCCATCTGCCTTCAATGTTATAATGTCACTAGCCAAGACTCCAGCGACAGGCACTCTCGCTGCAGCGAAATAATGAATGAAAGATCTTGTAACATTCTCCAGAGCTAGCATTTCTAAGAAACTCTTTTATCAGGATGTTAGCCGTCATTCGTGCTAAAATTTGAATCTGAAGAGGTTCGCTGCGTAAAATCGTTACGATGGCGAGTGTGAACGCAGTATTCTGACGAAAACTGATTACAGCCGGCTTGTCACAAATCAAAATACCGTTACATTACTATTACACGGTTGCACCGCCACATTTGTCAGGGCTATGCTCAGTAGGTACTTATTGGGTGTAATGTAACGTAATTGTTATGTTTTTGTTTGTATGATACGACATAACCTTGGGCGTGATCTACTTACTGCCTCGGAGCTTTTCATATTCTTGATATTTCTGATTGACCGGGACCACGTAAACGAATAGCCGTCGTCATCATTTTTACTTAGCCATATCAGTAGCTGCATTATTCAAGTAAAAATATTTCCTTCCAGATCCCCGCGGTTACTATGATAGAATCAGAGGAGCTAGAGGAAAGCTTCTTATCCAAGATCCGACAAAAACATATTGGTCAGTGCCAGCCTGTCCCGAATATTCTTTGATATTTCCTAGTGGGGTTATTCAAGAGTCGGTTCCTGGGAGCAAAGGATGAGTTGTGGGGCTAAGTCTGATAAACTACCCCGCTGCGAGCTCATCGCGGATCTACTGATTATCCGCATTTTTACCGGAGCATACGACCAAAATTTACAAACGGGGTGGATCTAGCTGAGTATTACCTATATCTCTGCCTGCCTGGTGGTTACGATCTGTGCGGTAGGAGGTTCTATCTAGGCCCTCACATTCCGCCTGGTCTAAAAGCGTTGTCGCGCTAATTTGACCCTCAGTTTCTGCCCTGCTCTTGAAGTTTGTTGCGGGAATATCACTTTCGTTTTATTACCATGAGCCCTTTCGACAACTAACAAAGTCAGGCTATTCCTTAATACGGGTGTAATGTAGCAGAATACATATAATGGCTAAACTGCTTAGCATTTCATCTAATCGCCTCTGAGGCTTCATATTATGGTTAAAATGTTTCTGCTGTCCCTCAAGAAAATAGTTTCGATGCTCCGTGTGCCAACGTATACTCTGGTGCATACAGCTCATACTTAAAGCCGCGCAGTGTGTTTTAACTCTGTCCATCCAAGTCAAGGCAGCCTGTCGTTCCTTAAAGTCTTTCGAATATGCATTCTTTATTAATTGCAATTCTAGCCATTATTCAGGCAGGGATTTCCCAAGCCGGAACTCTTGAGGTCATAGATCACGATGGGCAATGTCTGATGTGGTCTAACGATAATTATGGCTGCACGGGTTACTCTGCGTCTTTTGGTCTTCTTGATGGAGTTGATTGTTCAGGTAGGCACCCTCCATTGAAATATTAACCGCTGTTAACAATTTGTTAGAGCTCAGCGAGGTCGTCAATGGCAACCGTCATGGTTTAAATGTGCTCAAGGTCAATGTATGCGGTACAGAAGACGGTTCGCCTGCTGCCTGGATTCAGGTGAACCACACGGGACTTGTCACTTTTTCCAATAAAAATGGAAATCATGTGTCCTGTATGCTCAATTCTGGATTAAAGGCTGGTAGCTGGTGTGTTGCAACTGGAAAATGGAACAAAACCAATTCGCCCTCCTACTCATCTACCAGTAAACTATCTACCGCCACTCCATCTGCTAGGACTCCATCTACCAGCACTTCATCTACCAGTACTCCATCTACCAGTACTCCATCTACCAGTACTCCATCTACCAGTACTCCATCTACCAGTACTCCAGCTACCAGTACTCCATCTACCAGTACTCCATCTACCAGCACTCCGTCTACCAGCACTCTGTCTACTAGCATGCTATCTACGACCACTATGGAAGATAATCTCGTCACGAGTACTAGTGTTGTTTGGGTCCATAACGAGGTAACTATTCTATAGTAAAACTCTTATGCGAACGTGATTCAAAAAATAAGGTCAGAGGTTTAAATTCTTTCGCATCGTGGCAGCTACAGTATGAAGAGAAGGTCAGGATTCAATGAAGCTCATAATCGCAGCGGCGAGCACGTAGTCTCAAGATATATCCGACTCAAATACCGATACATTGGGCCGAATCGGGCAACACTCTGTTGTGATCGCTTGCCTCCGTGAAGTTCGGCTAAAAAGGCTTTTGCTGATAGCTCTTGTGTCACGCCTATAGCTGATCCAACTACGAAAGTCTATAGAGTATAGTAGCGACCGCTTTCGCTCTTTCTATCGGACGTAGAGGAGCTATTTCAAACGCTAATCATATGGTGCGCTAAGCTATTCCTATATTTAAGGATCTGTTACAAGGCTAAATACAGTAGGATAATACTGAACGAGGAAAAAGACTCAGTAAGGTATCCATCACGTATTGCTACGGTACCAAATACACATCCACTATCCGTCACTGCAACTTATACAGAAATATAGTCCTAGCCCACTGAAAGATGACCTGAAAGCTTGATCCCTGGTGGAATCGGGGTACATATGACACAATAGTAGCGGTAGAGCACAACTAGATCCAATAAGCGAAAATGGCGAAGTCCAGTGAGTGCTCATTATACATGAATCGGGAGGGAGTGATGAATTGGGAGTGAGTGATGAATTGGGAGTGAGTGATGAATTGGGAGTGAGTGATGAATTGGAAGAGCGATGAATTGGCAGAGTGACGTTATCGGATATTCCTCGGGCACACTAGTAAGTCGCGACAGTCGGCCCTCAATTTCTTCCCTCTTCGCGTCTTAATACTGTCCTCAGTCTTCAAACTCCTATCTCCACAGAATACTCATTGCAGGATGACCGAGACTCAGATTCATATTCTAGATCTTTCATTTGATATGCTCCTTCAATTGTTCAATTGGCTCAATGATATTGACGATGTCTTGCATTTTGTACGCTGTTGCAGACTCGTGAATTTTGTCTTTGAACTCCCGGGCTTTCGTTTGGCTGTGTTCAGATCAATTATTGTGTGATTTCCATGCCTGCTTATTTGTGCCTGGCTAATGAAAATACATTCGAGAAATAGACGCACTCTCCACAACACGAGTATGACGTCGTGCTGAGCAAAAATATTGCTTTTTATGGCGCATTCTCTCAAGAGTTCTACGAGACTAAACATGTCCCCGAAGATCGGCTTTCCGGACGTGGTAACCACCTGGCTTCAAGGCTTTTGAGCACTGTCGACAGTCATACCAAGATACCTGCTGAGATTATTTGGGATGTGGTTTGTCGGTGGCAGGGAATGCGTCTCTTATTCGATCTCTACTGTGATTCTGCGATTGAGTATACCAATTGCACCACCCCAATTGCGTGCGATTTGGGACGGAGCCCGTCCAGCAATCAAGCCATCAGAGTCAACTTTTCTCGTGGTCTTCCAGCAAATCCCTCTAGTCTATTGAGCAACGCTGCCAGCGAACACACCTCAAGAGAACGACAACAAGCTTATAGAAGATTTTACAAGGCTTTGACAACGCATTGGCTTGCAGTCGAAACAACATGGCGGGTCGTCACTCAATCACACAATAAAGTCGGTGAATTTGGGACAGCAATAGACATAGTTCGTACAATGTGGATGGAAGACTTTGTGGGGACAGTACCAGAAAAGCTTGATGTTATCACGATTGTGGATTTTGTGTGGGATTTTCTTGGACGCAGCGTCTCTCAAAATCGAACGTACTTTCCCGAACGTGACCCAAGGGAATGTCAAGGTGAAGACCCAGTCTATGGGTTGGAGTTTTACTCGTTGAATACTCTGCTATGTGCGCGCCCGCCTGATGTTATCGAATTGTTTCTGGTCTCCTTGGCTGGCTGTAGGTGGAGGTTTGACCATCCGCGTTTTCTGTGCCGCCTCGTGTATTTTGATGCTAAGGTCAAAATATATCCTATGCAACAGGAAATATCGGATACAGGTTCGTTGGGAGAAATTCGGAGGAACGAAATGAGTTGGAGCGGGATGCGACGCAAGCTTTGAGGAGTTGGTCTCATTATAGACAGGTGCAAGGTCGTGGTGATGCAAGGACAAGGGCTCTTTTCTAAAGCCCAATCTTAGAAACATGCGATGAAGACCTCGGATGTGGCCATTCCCCATGGTGAAGTTAAAGGCACGAGTGTGTTACAGCAGCAACGGGCGGTCGAGCAAAACGATTCGTTTCACCGATAGACGCCATATCCTGCGTTTCTGCGGCCGCTTTGGTGGAATGTAGCTGGCCTGGTTCCCCATTCGAAATAAGATTCGTCTCGCAGACGTGGCTTTGTTCAGGTGCCAGTATAGCAATGCATCCTCCATACATAGAGAGAACAAGTTTGTTCGCAATACTGTATCCCAATTATCGCACATTTAAACACGACTGTATTCATGATGGTGGCACATCTCCAATTCATGGTGCTCGCTGCTTTGTGGGGAGGCCTAGACAGAATATACGTCGAAAATGAAACCCCCAAATATTTCTAGCCGCCACGGATATATCTTACAGAATGCTCCACGCGCAGTTGTTCTGGCAGATAATGAGTGTTATTCACATCCAAAAAATAAGGGTGGTCTTCGCCGCTGGGCAAATAAAAACGGCTCAAATCTATAGATGATGAAGAAAGGGACCCGCCGATTTGAACCGTTACGGGTCGTATCGAGAGAAGCAGGCCTAGTAGTCCTCAACATTAACCGCAACTGGTTCTTAATCTGGTATGAGAAACCGATCCTCAAACTGCGTATGCTATTCTACATGTACATGATGTACAATCTATGTGCAAGGAGAGAGCCACTTTCGGCCTGCGACTTACCACTTCAGTGTTTGTGATTTGTTTTTGTTTTACCATCAGGCCAATTTGAACAGTAAGGCAATGGTCGAATATCGGCGGTAGTCAGTTGAACTCTGTTTCTCGGCCATGAAAGTGTTTTTCGAAGTGGCGGACAGGGGATGTGGTCTCTGATATGGATTAACACAGCCTTCCAATTCATCATTCTCTCTTAACTCACCACTGACTCATCGGAAGAGAGCAGTTGATCCTGGATGAGACCAAATAGATCGGCTGCACCCCCGGAGCTGCCTGGCATATGATTAATGAAATGCCGGACATGAGTTTTCTGGAATCATCATTTAGTTTGCCCCCAAGTCCTCAATCAAACTGTTATTCAGTTGCCATTGCATTAATATCGGGATTCGGACTGTGTGTTGGGATGCGTGGCAGATCGGTCTCCATATATTGGTTGTCTCCCCGTCTGGAAGTACAACCCTTGTTACCTCTACTTTGTGCAAAGCTCAACGAGAGAACCGAAATAAATTATATCTCATAATGGCCGATAGTGCGCTCCCAAATCTCTACCGGCATTATTCTGGCAATAACGACGACGACAACACCTCGTTCCCCTCCACAGAAAATGACCCCGACGAGCCGCCACCAGTCGTCAATGAGTTTTGCTGTGATCTAGTCACATTGCAATGCATATCAGGACGTTCACATGCTGCGCTCAGAAGTGATACCTCGAACATTCACATCGCTTCTATACAGGAGCCACCTCAGGTGGTGATCCAGGTGGGAGGTACTGATGTGTGGTACATCGATACTCCACCCAAGTTTGAATGCCCGGTGCATCGGACTACGGGTCTGGATTTCTTAGTCCAGATCCTGGGAGAGATGGAGGTTACTCATTTCACGGGCGAGCAACAAATCATCCGCCCTGGCGATTTAACCATCCAGGGGTCCACTTTTACCAAGTGGCGCAATCCAAGCAGGAATCAATGGTCTCGGATGATGGGATTTATGTCTACGGCCCTTTCTATTGGGGAAGAAGATCCACCGTCTAGAGCAGGGTTTCCCAAGCAGTGAAAAAGTCTGTTACTTCTACATTTCACAATGATTTAGTAATACTTTAGACTGTTTTCACAGAGTTGCATGGACGTACTGTATGTGTACATGGATATGTATATATGTTGTATCCTGCATATCACTTCTGAAGTTCGATTCTAAATCACAACCCACTAGGCGGGTTACGGATTCGTATTTTAGTCTAGTTGGGAAATCAACTTCTAAGGGGTCAGGTAAATGAGACCATCGATCCTGTATTCTTTTGAGTCCTCCAATGATCCCTGGGCGCTGTGTAAACTCAGCTCTGATCCTTGATGAAATCTCAAGTGATGAACAATCATTTTCATTGTACATGTAGCATTTCCTCTCGCCTTCCTGTGGCCTTCCATCAGATGTCCCTTCCAATCTCGAATCGTCTTCCGAAGTATCGACAATTGCCCGTATCTCTCATCTTTAGCGACCCATCAGTTAAGCATGTGATCTCGTCTCTCAAATGGCGCATACGCTTTGTAGTTTCATTTCGACCCCTTTCTGTGAATTGGATCCTCTCCACCTTTATATGTAGCCCTAGCAGCGCCCGTGTAGTCCGTTCATCCAAATTGCCTTCAATCTTCAGATTGATGCGGAATATCCATGTGTTGTACCACACCTCGTTCAAAAGGTTGATTCCCTTTTCCCCTGCACATGCATAAACGAGTTCCCTTCGGAGCCAGGATGGGTGGGGTCGTATGCGATCCTGATGATAGCAGATTCCGTGGCACTGAGCATTCTCCCCGAAATTGTGCTTGATAGCCTGCTCTAGAAGTCGAATATGTTGGTGCGCAGTATCCGTGGTAATTCCATGCTGTCTGCCATAAATTTGGACATAGCGAACCATTCTTGGTGATTTTGCTGGGACGGCAACCCCCGTGATCTCGTGGAATTGGCTGAATTCATATAATTCGATTATAGCAAGTATATAATTACAAAATTAATTTAATTTCGGTTCTAGCACCGATATTGGCACATCAATTCAACAAGAAATCCTCGAATCCAGTTGAGCCGCTTGCAAAGGGGAAGAGTGCATTTTTATTGTGGATGGTCTTGGAGCCCTTTCGACAATAGAAATTATCTTTGTTCTATAACAATTTGATCTTCGGTTATTGGAGGGTGAACACTTAGTCGATAAACAGATTATGTGAGGGTTGTGGTAAACACGCCGTGAAGGGGGAATTACTCAGGCAATCTACATGCTCTACATGGATGAGAGACTTTGTCAAGGAACCCGTGTAATTTTGTAGTTTGTTTCGTTTGGTGGGGAGGGTGGCCGCCAGCTCAAAATGCCCCTCTGACCTGAACGACAAATATTCCACTTAGTGCCAGGACACTGCGCACCAACAAGTCATCATCGTAAGCAATTTGCACGACCATTGAAACAAATGGGCCCTTTTACGCTAGTGCGGTGGCTAGCAGTGGATGGTATTCTTGAAGTAATGAGACAGCAACAACGGTTAGGCGAAGATTAACATCCCAACTCGTCTTGGACTCAAGTATGTGCTCAGTCCCTTGGACCAAGCAATCCCCTCGCTCGGGGTTCGAATTGAAAAACAGTTGTTTGTTTTTAGTCCTTTTAGGCGCCAAATACAGCGATTTTCGAAAACAGTTTACCCATCAGACACTCAAACTTCGTTTCTGGGCCCGTACCCGAAACAAGCTAAACTCTTATTGGGGCAAGTGGTAAGACATTGTCCACTTATAGATCAGTTCCATGTATGAGCTAGCCTTATCTGGCCTAGCGTTGTCTCGGGTACGGGCCGAGAAACAAAGTATGAGTGTCTGAGGGGTAAACTGTTTTCGAAAATCGCTGTACTTTAAAGATCTCAAGATGACCATATAAATCAAATTGTGAGGCCAGACCGGTAATGTGGAAAATGAACGTTTGCCTAGAAATTAATTGATCAGACTGTCTACTACGTCGTATTCACTTCACGCTCCCCCATGCAGTTTGTTCATAAACATTTTCAAGGGTTATTCAAAGGGCAAATGTATGAATCATGATTAACTCATTACACCTGATAGATCAGTTGAGGGAGTCTCTTCGAGTCTCTTCGAGTCTCTTCGAGTAGACAACAACAGTAATGAGGCCAGATTAAACTTTTGATAACTAGTTGAAGGTAGGAGAAAAGCAAAAAAGGCTAGGGGTTCAACAAGGGAATGTAGTAAATTGAGGGAGAATGGCGTATTGAGAGGTTTATATATACTGAAGGAATCATTGTCTAATTGCTTGTTCGGCGACTTATTGCAGCGCATGTACGATGCTAAACTGACAAAAGCATAGGGCTTACATATAACTACGGTGTTAAGGAGCAAGAAAGATAGTTTTGCATCTCCTCTGCACAACGAACAAGTCAATCGATTTTGCGTGTCCCTCCATTTAACATCTAGACCCAGGATGTCACCTAAGAAGCCTCTCCAGAAGGCAACTGTCATCAGAACTGCTTGCGAGCATCAAAGTCAGGCTCCGGCTCGAGCCGACAAGAGTGTTCTAGAAAAAATCCAAAAATGTCTGAATCGTGCATATCACGCCAAGGCATCGGAAGCAGAAGCCAAAACCGCGCTCTTCATATCTCAGAAACTCATGAGTGAGCATAATGTGGCTCAAGCAGATCTCATTGCTCACGATGATAGAAGCAACAAAGTGTGCTACGGTGGGCGGAGTATCGTTCGCATTGAAAAAGTGGCTCATCGCGGAGGGTCATGAGAGAGGCTTTTGTTGAGGGGGTAGCGACGGCAATGTGCACCTTTTTTGACTGCAAAAGCTTTTCGACCGATTTTGGTATCTCTGTGGAATGGTCATTCTTCGGAATTGCTAGCAACACGGTTGCCGCAGCAATAGCCTTTGAAATGGCACACAATCTGATCTTGGAATGGGGATGTGTCTACAAAGGGGGTGCACCTACTTTCAGCTACCGTCTCGGCGTGGCAGACGGACTTCAGACTATGGCCAATCGCGAAAAGCAAAATGAGCTTGCGGAAGTCCAGCGCAATGAACTAGATTCGGTCGCAGCAAGAAGTCTCGAGGAAGAAAAAGAGCTCCAGCGAGAGTTGGACATGGTAGCGGAACTCTCTGCCGAAGCCAAGAGCACATCAGACCAAGACGACGAGGATATGGCCTCATTGAAATTTGAATCTGACAACGAGAACAACAGCGATTCCAATGACATTGATGGATGGAACATCAAAGCCGATTTCAGCACGGACGATTTGCAAACTATCGATCTATGTGATGACGTGGACGAGAACATTGAGACGTATATGAAGCGGGAGCCGACCAAGCCACCAAATCCCAACGAAATCCCCGAATCTCTGGCTGAGCTTGCTAGAAAGGTGGAACCCGAGACTAAGCCTCCAACGCCAATGGCATCTTGTTGGAAATCTCAGATGCAGCTCGTTCGCTTTCGGGCAACATCAGAGCAGGTTGCGGATGATTATCTAGCGCAGCATAAGATTAAGCTACGCAGTGGAAGGAAACGGAAATCAACCATTCGAGATAAAGATTCCTATCATCGGGGACAGCAGGACAGTTCAAAAATTAATGTCCGCCAAACAGCGCTGGCATGATGGCTTTTGCTGGGTTCACGACTGACATTTCGTTCAGAGGACTAGCCGCAGTCTCTAAGATGGTTAAAAGCTGCGGACTAGAATCCTCTGCGGATCATTGTTCCTTCAGGGAAAAAGGTCTGGTGGTGAATTGTACAGTTAAATGGATAACATAAATGTTTCAATATTGATTGGTTACTGCGAACTGATGAGGCATGGATAGCTTTTTCTTCTATTTAGTTGCTGATGCAGGGTGGTGGGGTGGGGGGAGGGTTCTCTACTTTGATGGGACGAGGAGAAAATATATCACGGTATCTCGATAGAATTCTAATATAAGTTGCAATTGAGAAGTGGGCCAAGTAGCGCTACATTATGAATACACCGCCCGCCCAGTCATCTTTTTCTCTGGTTTGCCAAGCGCCTTGATCGCCTATTCCCAGAATAGTCCTCTCCTCCATGTCCCCTTTTGCGTCTACCGGACCCGTGCTGACAGGGCGGATCATAATTCTTCGGTTGGCTGGTCTCAATAGATGATTCCATTTCATCGCCTTGACGGGACCACGAATGGTAGCGTTCACTACAAGACGCCGTGTGGGTCCCTGCCGTCCGATAACAGCTCTTGTCTTGCGAGGCTCCTGCGGTAAATGTCGTTAGCAAAACGAATTTTTAAGGAGTTAACATCCCCTGTTCGATTCGTACTTTCTTCGCCCTTGGCTGACTTGGCGGCTTCGGGTCCTTCATCCTCTAGATGGCCACAGGAGATTGATTCAAGGGAGCAATTACACTCAGAGCTTTTACCACATATTAACCGGCATGGTGCCAAATCACAAGTTGAATCCGTCAGCATGGCCTCGTTCTGTGCAATGTGGTAGCCTCTGTCGCGCAAATGTGCCCGCGATTCTCGTGTGCTCAAAGGATTTGTGTTCCCGGCAAAATTATGCTGCTCTGGTGTGTGCTGTTCGTCACAGTTGTCGTCGTCATTTATAACGATAGGATTGGCTTCCGATCCCAATTCATCAGGTACATCACTCCATACTCTGGTAATGCCCATGCTGCCTTGTGTTGCGACAGATGATGATATACTGTTGGACGAGTCTGAGGCGTCAGAAGCAGAGTTGTCCTATATTTGCTGAATTAACAAGTTGTCTTTCCCATCGAGTTATCTTTCCGTACCTTGAGCTTCTACGATGGGCCCGTGCAAGCTTTGTTGAATGGGCTACTCACGTTTTAATGATTATATCGATGTATTTATATGCAACAATCTGGGAAGCTAGGTGAACTGAGCTAGGAAAAATAGAAGCTCCCAGGAGATATGTCAGGTACTGTTCTCCAAGAGAAGGTATGATGAGGCCCTTCTTGATCTTTATTGCCCATTTACTCCTGGGAATTGCGCGAGTAGATTAGCCGAGACGCCGAAGCTCGGAAATACATTGGTAAAAGGTTGATCTGCTCCTCGGAAATCGCCGCGCGCTCCTAGGAGCTAACACGTGGCTGGCGAGGCGGATATTATGGGTAACCAGGTGTCTCCTTTACATGTAACCTTGCGATGCGCCTCATGGAAGGAAACCTAGCCGAAAATTGGGGTCTAGTCTACATAATGCGAGCATCTTTCTCCCCATGAGTGCATCTTAATATGGATTGATTCAGAAAATGAGCATTCATGGAGCGGATCGTGTGAAAGTCACTTAGGTATCGGTTTGTAATATGACTTATTGTCTAAGATTGCTTCCATGCTTTTTGTGACTTGCTGGATTGGGAGCAGCCTACTCACATTGGGAGAAACAATCCCAAGAAGAAAATGCAATGGTGGTGTTATCTATTCACTCTTTTATTTGATTTTCTTTTTCATCTATTTCGTGGGCAATCCTGGGTTGTTCCACAACCGGTGACAGGTAAACGGGGGCGTGTTATAACATGAGGTGGTTCCATTCACAGCGTAATAGGTCTGCCAAAAATTGCTACAGGACGAGCTTTCATAAGACAATTGGTCCTTGTTCGAGAACCAAGAGGTGACGTTATCCGTAATGGATATATCCAGCTGCTCCTGCTGTATCAATGTACGATTGAGTCGAAAACTGCGGGAAACAATTGCGTTGGAGATATTACGTGCCAGGACCGAGTCGGTGAATTCCGTGACACCAAAATCTCCAATACAGTTAAGCTTTTCCCAGGCAATGAGCCGAATGGGAGCAGAAAGCATCTAGATCTCGTCAGCGGAGCCGTGAGAAAGGAATATTGAATCTATTACGTTGATGGCAGGCTGAACATTAAGAACGGGTCTTGGCGTAGCTGTTACAGCGGTAGCTAGAGCCAGAGTGAGCATCGCTGCTAGTATCACGGTTTGCATAATTAACAAATGATGTCATTCTGGACTACTGGGTAAGGGAACTGCCCGCTTTATATCTGGACTGTAATGACATTGGTGAGGACAATGACCGGTCGTGAGGAACAGTGGTCATCAACTCCCTCAAAAAATTGTACCAACTTCTTTCCATCGGGCCAAAAACGCCGAGGGACTATAGCGGAGTAATTTGGTTGATGCAACACTATATTGATGGGATATATTTAGTTGTTGTAACCTGTTTATCGCTTCGGCGAGAGGTTGGGGTAAATGAAATCATCCACCCATCCATGCATCCGTCTATAATAGACATATGTTGCTCCTACTCTGCCAACTAAAGTCACCGGAAGCGACGTATTCAGCTTCAGCGGTAAATAGTTCAGTTACGGGAACGTGAAAAACCAGTTTTCGATATTTACATTTCCAATGATAGTCTCGTGCTCCGAATATCATCTCTGGGCCCAGCACATGATACAGTACCACACATGTCTTGGTTCCCTGAACGCGAGGAAGCCGCCTCTTTTTTGGTTTTTCGCCCTATGACTTATACATGTATCTAAGGTCAACTGTAGTTGTTCTTTAAATAGATCATTATTTCAAGACACTATCCATCTTCATGTATACAGTCATTCTCGAGACTGGCTTGACAGGAATACGCTTGGTACATTTTTTCTGGACCCACCGTTAAGGCCTTGGCATGGATCATTTCATTGGGCCGCATTAATTCAAGGGATACCGTAATTTGCGACTCGCACAGTACAGCAACTGTTAGGTTTTATCCTTTATAACGGTGAGCGGCGACCGAGGCACGTAACGTAACAAAACGTAGCAATATACAATACTATACAAGTTGCATCTTATTGCGGTCCTTAATTTAACGCGGCGCGCTCACTCATTGTTTAATCTGCGCTAAGGTTTGGGCAGTGGATCCAGAGAGAGTAGTTATCGAGTGTGTATTGGTCAAGCTGAATTCAAGAACGACCGTGAGACGATCACAGACTCCCTATTCTTCTCTAGTGAAAGCACGATAGGCCCCAGCGATACCAATATAGCTACGGGGAATGACGCCGGTGGCCGATCAGTGGGGTCAAACGTCGGAAGATTTTCCAACCGAAAAAGAACTTTACATCTGTTCTGGTCCTCTTGAGCACGAAATCCAGGGGGGCATGAAGGATCCCTGGAACTAACCAATGACTTCCAGGGGTAGGGCACGAGGGATACAGGAATGCCAGTCGATATCCCAAAAGTACCTAGGGACAGGGGATCATGCCATGTGTTTCCAGGAGCTTGCAAAGTGATCCATTATACCTTCAGTATCTTCGATAGCATTGTGACGCATTATGGGTTCTAAGATTGTACATTTACGCCAGATGGCCAAAACGACACAAGATTTGGTCTACAACCAGGTCCAACTGCGATCCTTAGCACTGCGTCGCCGGGCCGCGGTTGACCGAACCCCGGTTCTGGGTTGCATGCCAAAGACGGTTTGGGCGGTCGGTAGGAACGCGCTTCGGCTCGGACGTTGACATAATGGTCGTAAGCGACCCGTCTTGAAACACGGACCGAGGTGTCTAATATCTACGCGATTGTTCGGGTGTCAAACCCGTGCGCGCAGTGAAAGCGAACGGAGGTGGGAACCCTTGGGTGCACCATCGACCGATCCTGATGTCTTCGGATGGATTTGAGTAAGAGCGTAACTTAGTTGTTGGGACCCTAAACTTGATGAACTATGCCTGAATAGGGGCTTAGCTCAAGCAACGGGTTTCGGATAATCCTTTCGCCGGAATCTGGATCAGCTGATAAGCCAGCTAGCTCAAGCACCGGTATCCCTAATCACTCTCTTCCTTTTGACAACCCAATGGCCAATACCAGCCCCACCGACTACAAGAAACTATTTTTGCAGGCCGAAGAGCGTCAGAGACAGGAAGAGGAGAGACGGAAGCAGGCCGAAGAGCGAGAAAACCAACAAAGGGAGCGCAATCGACGAACGACATTTGCAGAACTCCTGCGCTTCTGCCACAGCTTACTTTCCCGACCGTTGAGAGTCGAAACACCATCTCGCTCGACTACAGGGAATATACCCCCTCCCACCGGAAAATATTGTCCCACACGACTAGCACTCTGGACCGATTGCTCAGCTCGACAGCAGAAAATATACAGCTCTGTGTGCAACTACCTCCGGCCAAGCGAGGAAGCCCGAGCACGATTGTTTACCCCCTTGATTGCGCTTGAGGAGGATGCCAGACGATTCGGTCTCCGTCCAATTAGCAGTGAACAAGGTCTCGAGAACTACGAACGAATCGCCGTGGAAGATCACGTCCGTGATATAATTGCAGAGCTATGCAAAATCGACGCTGCCCGGGACGAGTTCGGACTTGGAGACGGAATCTGGTTCGACAATCACACCAACTCTTTCAATCCACGCGGCGGTAGCGAGACAAATGCAAACCAACCGTCAGGCATACATCACCCCCGACCCGATCAGTTCTGTATCCACCGAGTCGACGGCGACACTAACACCCTCCTCACTACGGTCGAATACAAGCCGCCCCACAAGCTTTCCGTCGAAGCCCTTCGCGTGGGGCTAAGGGAAATGGACTTATGGAAATGCATGGTCAGATCAAACAAAATCCCGACGGATCACGCAGAGAAATTGAAATACAACGCAGAGCGGCTCGTGTGCTCCGCCATTGTCCAGGAATACCATGTGATGATCCAGGAGGGACTCGAGTACTCTTATGTCACTAATGGGGTCGCTCGTATCCTTCTCCGCGTTCGATACGATGATCCTAGCACATTGTACTACTTTCTCTGTGATCCCAACAGCGAACAAAGACTCCAAGAGCCGACGACCTCCATCGCCAGGGTTCTGTGTCTGTGTTTGATGGCGTTCCATTCCCCTGTTCGTGACCAGGAATGGAGAAATACTGCACAGTCGCGGCTTCCTTTGTGGACAACTAGCTTCGACCACGCTCGTTCCCAGATACCTAAGGAAGTCTTGCAGCAAATCGCTCCGCACTCCGACAGTACCAACTCGGAGTATGTAAGTCCAGGAACGAGTTCAGACTACCAACCATCATCGCCTCCACTGGAATCCCCAACAGCGGGTCGCCGAGTGCCTACGAGGTCTCAAGCCAGCTGTGCGCCCTCGGATGTCCGACACCGGACGCAGTCGCCAGAATCGTCAGGCTCCGACTCGAATCAAGCGACCGGGCGCAAACGAGGCTTCAGCCAGGTCACATCTTCGCCTTCCGCGCAACGAGCGGCTCGTCAACGCGAGGCTGGGAGAGATCAAGGCGGCCATTCTAAACGCCATGATGCGCAATTTTGCACCCAGCGATGTTTATTGGGGCTGCAGACGGGAGGTATCCTGGATGACTACTGTCCAAACGTGAAGCTCCATCGGCGGGGTCAAGATTTCATCGAACACCCCGTCACGTCGGAGGATTTGATGCGTTTACTAAAAGCACAATTAGACGAAAACATTGACCGATGCATGCCCCTTGGAAAATGCGGGGCATACGGTGCGCCGTTTAAACTCATTTGTGCTAAATATGGGTATGTTGTCGTTGGCAAAGGGACCACATCGGGCCTCTGGAAAGAAGTCTCCCGCGAAGCGCAGGTATATCAAATCCTCCGGAAGGCTCAAGCATCTGCTGTGCCTGTTTTCCTCGGTACAATCGACTTGGCAAAAATTTATTTTCTTCATGGGGCTGGAGAGATTCGTCATATGCTCGTCATGGGCTGGGGGGGCGATAGCACCGAGACTATGGAGCTGACACCGGGGCTTCTCAAACATATTCACAAATCGAATAAGGAAATCAAAGCCTTGGGAATCGTCCACGAGGACCTTCGGCCTGACAATGTCCTTTGGAATGAAGAGCTCGGGCGGGCGTTAATCATCGACTTTCACCGTTCTACATTGAGATTTCGGCCAGTTCCAAAGCGACCACGAGCAAAGCGACAATTGTTGCGAACAGAGTCAGGAGATGCAAAGCGTTTACGTGTTCTATGAGAGGCAGTCTTTTAGCTTGTATTTCAATAGCGATCGCATACTACATGATAATGAAACGTTTCTACCACTATCCTGCGCATTCCAAACCCCGTCAGAACAGACAAGTCTTTCACAATGCCATCTATCGTCAGCACCGGATTGCCAGAATTCAAGTGCATTATTCAAGAAGACATGAGAGGCAGCAGAAGAATAACGTGAAACACTGTGGCGGACCCACGATGTCAGTATGCCAAGACAGAGAAATTGGCGGCGATGGTAAAGGAGCGTCTACGACCAACATCTATCTACAGGTATCAAGTTAGGAAAGCAGAGTTATATAGCCCTGTCCAAATGGATACCCTCAGATATATTATCATTTTCATGTCTTCTTTGCAAATCTGTCATCTTTAACCCCTGTATTCCGACGGCCCTCTCTTAATAACCACCTTACAATTTTTATGTCCGCTCTTACTCCATCGCCTCCTCTTTGCCAACCTGGAAGGACAGATTCCTCATCTAAATAATGATAGTCGCCTAACGATCCTCCCGGCTGAGCACTAAAGATCTTCATTTTCGAGTATGGCATGGCAACTTTCAAAACATTACATCTTTCTGTTTTACTTTGTAATTGGGAGTGTTGATTATTAAGCGATGCTTCAGTGTTCATGTTATTGAGGGGAGTTGATTGTTTGTTGTGTTGCATGTTGTCTAAGATACAAGTAGGCTGGTGAACAGGTATATATGTATGCACGTGATCCCAGCCTCATTATTATCTCAGTAACCGGGATATTTCAACAGGGAGAGTGGCGAATTGGGAGAGTGGTGAATTGGGAGAGTGGTGAATTGGGAGAGTGGTGAATTGGGAGAGTGGTGAATTGGGAGAGTGGTGAATTGGGAGAGTGGTGAATTGGGAGAGTGGTGAATTGGACAGAGCTTAATAGCGTCTTTGTCGAAACAGTCAGACTAACTGTAGACCCAGCTGTATTGCCTGCAAAGATGCACTTTTGCCTTGGAAGGAGGTATAAAAATGGGCTTCCCACAGTATTCTGACTCCAAATTTGATCTATCCATAACATATATTTCACCCAAACATCTGAGTCATGCGATTTGACACCCCTTTCGTCCTTGGACTTGCCACATCAGCATCTGCTCTGTGGTCAGTTACTTACTATACCACGACCGATTGTTCAGGCGCGGGAAAAGAGGTCGGAGGGTTTGAAGCTGGGTGTCAGACTCTGGAAACCGACACGGAATCGGTCATGGTCTCTACAGACAGCGGCAACAACATCACCCTAAGCACCAGTAGCAGCTGCAACACTCCTTATGAGGACGCCATTCCAAGCGAAGTGACCGACCGCTGTGTCAATGCCGCTATCCGTTCCTTTTTATCTTCTTAATGGTAAGTCGTGTGCTTTATACTACCTCCCGCATCTCAAAATTAACTCTGCAAGCTTAATTAAAGTCCTGAAAATAGGCTGAAGGAGCATTGGCAAAGATCCGGCCATGGGATCAAGATAAGCTGCGAGAATGAATTTTCTTGTTTTCACTATATGTATATACCAGAAAGACCTTAAATATTGAGATTGGAGGAGGAGCCAAACAGAAACTCTCAGAAAACATCCAATTGTCCCCATTCTCGTTGGCATACTCGTGCTTTACACCGAAGAGTCCGTTCTTGTACGGGACACGTATCGAGAGTGTAGGAGCTTAAAATCCACAACAGGAGAATATGAAGATTGTAATTCATCTGCCATAGCATGCCGCAGTTTAAGAATGCGAAGTCTCTCATCTCAGTATTCTCACTCGGTAAAAGGCGGCTACAAAGCGGAAAACATAAACTATAGTAACGCAGGAGGAACCATAATGATTTCCACAGGTTTCAGGAAGTAATAATTATCAGACACCAAGCCACCTTATGAAAATCCCAATATATTCTAAACATATCTGAGTGTGCGCCCACGCGACATCCGCTCAACGTAGTTAAAGCATATGTAGCAAAGGCTCACTATGCACAGCGGGTCACAAGCTCACCTGGGTAGTGCCTGTATAGGCGACTATACTGTGACTTGTATAACTCATTGTAGTGTTGAAAATCTCCAGACAGAGTATATGTACCACTTATAAATGGATTCTGATCATCACAGATAAACCATGTCACCTTCGGGCACAAGAGATAGAAATGACGACAACGTCTGCAGCCGAATAAAGGTGGATGTCAAACATTGATAGAATTATTGAAATTTGCCAAGCAGGAGGCAGAATTTAGATACACAATGGAAGCCAAGTTGATTGAACAACTTGGCTTTTCGTATACAAGTGTAGGGAGCTTTCCGACGATGAGGCATTGTTCCTGTTCTGGGCCAGCCTCTTAACACAACCGGCTTCCACCAAAAGTTGCAATTGCAACCAAAGGACCTGGGGGTTTCGCAAGGCATGTAAGAATATCTCCATGGCATCTTGGTATTACGGACAGGAGAGAATATGGACGACTAGCGCAACAAGATGAGTACACTGCTTCTCCAGTCATCTTTTCCCCCCGTTTACTAGGCGCTTTGATCGCCTATATCCTGAATTGTCCTGACGTTCGTGTCCTCTTTTCCGTTTACCGGACCCTTGTTGACAGGGCGGATGGTCATTGTTGGGCTGGCGAGGTTTGATAGATGTTTCCAATTCATCACCTGTCTTGGACCTCAAAAAGTAGAATTTACCACAAGATGCCGGACCCTCTGCTGTCCAATAACAGCTTCCATTCCTGTCTTGTGAGGCTCCTGAGGTAAAACTCGTTAGCGAAACATATTTACAGGGGGTTTCTATTAGCGCTTCAAACAAACGTACTTCCATCACCTGCGGCAGTTTTAGCGGATTCAGGTCTTTCCTCTTTTACATGAGTGCAAGTAGTCAGGTCAGACACAGGGAAATCAAAGCCTTGATTATGTGTAAGTTTGTTTGGAGCCAGCACAGAAGTCGGTTCCGTCACTGGGCATTCAGAGTTGCCCTGTGGAAGGTGGAACCGTCTATCACTGAAATACGCCTCGAATTCTGGCGTAGTCAACGGCTCAGTGTCCCCATCAGAATCATCTGGCTTTGATATGCACTGCTGGAAAGACCATTCGTCGTCGTCGATAATAATAGGGTTGTCGATTGAGCTCCCTTCTTTGGATTCATCACACAACGTCCTAGCATCGGCCATGGTGCCTCGTCCTGTTATAGTATGAGAAGAATATTATTTGGCTAGTCAAAAGGTTAGAGAAAATGGGCTCTGCTGTATTCCTCTCTCGCAAGGTAATCTCATACCTCAAGTTTCGGGCGATGCGTTGGTCGTGAACACAAAAATATCAGGGCTCATATCAATACTTATATACTTGAATCCAGCAATATGAGTAAGCTGACATCGACGGCCGCACGCAAACTTGTAATGTTGATGCCTTCGGTAGATATAAGCTCCTAGGAGATACGGTTGGCTCTGTCGAGGATATACATGAGGAGTACACACGAGAAATGGAGGAGAGATGACATGCGGGACATACATAGCGTATCTGATTCCCCTGAATGCGAGGAAGCCGCTTTATTTTGGTTCCTCGCACTAATTTCTATCTAGAGTCAACTGTAGTTCTCAACATTAATCATTTATCTCAAGACACTATGCATCTCTGTATACGTGAGGCCGTTCCCAAATGGAAGCACGACAGACCCCAGCAATAATGATTTGCCGATAGGCTCCTGGGACTCAGGCAAGTGGATAGCCCAAGAGAGGGCCAGATACCTCTTGTATTGCCACCATTGTCTGCAGGGTATCTCTATCAGTTTTAGTTTCCCGCTTGAGAGGTTGTGTATGGCAGCTAATTGGAAGTGTTTCTTGTCTTTCTAGACTCTTCACTCGCACCTAGAATGTTATTCTGACCAGTCAAATTACTACACGCGCCTGAAGGTGCCTGTGCTTTGGCATGTTTCTGGATGCATGTGACAATAGGAATCCTTTTTATTTTTGCGAATCCTTGATGATAGCAATTTCAAGTGGGAGGTTGTCCAAGGCCTGCTTATAAGTGACACGCCAACATCTTGAGGGACGCGTGCAGCAAATATTTGCAGTTGCTAATCCTTGAGAATATGAATAATACAGCGGACCCCGAAACGCACGAATTGCGATATTTCATTCGGCCACATGTTTCGTACCCCGGAACTTTCCAACGCTGGGTTGACGAGATGGCGACAGTTACAACGTACATTTCGGTTGAACGTAGCAGAAACTGCCCTACTCTTTGGAGACACAAACTACAGTAGGATTTGCGGATAAAGGAGTCTTTTTCATAAATGCAATCTTGAGTATACCAACGGCTCTGAGCTGTTTCGTACACCAACCACTTGACCTGCTTCTTGTCAACTTGTTAGTCCCCAGCCCAATTCAGGTTGATGCACTGCTGTCGGTATTTCTCTCAGATAGTTCAAAGCGCTTGAAATTGGCCTTGACCCCGTTTGGTGAGGCATAGACCATGTGATATGTAAACTTGACTCGCAGCCAGGCTGTATTGACATCTCATTTTTGCGTCAAAGCAATATATACGGTTCCCGGATACGAACCACCGAGATCGGCGATCGGCGGCAGGATCAGGGCTCAGTAGGCATCAACGACCTAGGCTGGCTCAATGATCGCTGATCCCTGGCAGTGGTGCTTTCAATCACCGGGTCAAACTAGCTGGCCAGGAGGAGACGTAAAGGCGGTGCCATTCGCAGTGAGCAGGTTACCTGTTGAATCGTTGTTGGTTTTCCGATGGAAATACCTTAATTATAGGAGAGAGTTTACACCCCAAGAAATGAAGCGTAAGTTTCCAAAGATATATTCAATTTGATGCCTTGGAAACACCACCTTTCTGCTCTTGAGAATCCTTATTCAATAAGTATCTCAATATTTACTTGTCTGTATAGTCTAAATAGCAGTGAGGTGGGAGATGTAAGAGAAAGCCCGAGGAATCAGCGTTCTGTGACCTGTCTGTCATCATCATCGTTTACTCTCACCAGCCTTTTTAATCCCCGCTCAGCAAATGTTATCCCAGCAGAACGACGCTATAAACTACACTGTCTCCGCTCAAAAGCTGTTGTCCATCACAGTAGAATGTAAAAAGGAGAAAAGTTCACTCTGGCTTCAAAAGCATATGCTACGTATGGCTTCCTCCTGAATGTCCTTCAACGTCGGAACGAAAGGCGACACGACACGGGTTCACCCGCATTGGCTCGCATCAGATATCTCAGCTCAAAAATGAGCTGCGATAGCCATAGCTGCCTGCGAACATATTTACTAGCAAGTGCAATTGAATCCCTTCATTGGGATGTAAGATATCCAACGACCGCACTGTAATTCATTAGCATTTTTTTACGTCCGTAGCCCCAAATTAGTTATGATCCAAGCCAGGAAAACCTACCATTGCTATCCGCACACCTAGCCAGAGGCACCTGTGTCTTCTTATCTTCACCTCAGTGTCCACTTCGTCGATCGAAATGCTGTACTCTGATCCATATTTGAAAAAATCTTTTGGGTAATATGATTGACTCCAAGCTTGGCCACGTATCAGGAAATCTTCTGGAAGCTGTGGAGCTACTCCATCGTCCGCAGCTGGGAAAGACGCGTCTTCAATCTTCGGAAAAGTAGCATTGAGTGTGATCAGTCTATTGAGGAATCTAGTGATTGCTGTCCAAGGAACTCCCCCCTCCAAACTTTCCATGAAAGGGCGATAAAAGGTGACGCACCAGAGGAAAGCTAGAGAGATATGGATTGCTGGGACGGAGTTGTGGCTGTTACCATACTGAAGAAGAACCGAGAGTGTTTGAAAAGTTAAATGGACTCCCTAGATGGCTTGTTTAGTTGGATATGTAGGTTGGTTAATCAGACAATTGCTTACATATGCTTGCTTCTGGTTGGCTAGACCCAGTTGATTTGTCTGGGGAGTATGCCCACTCCGGCTTTGAGAGGATACCATAGCCATGAATGCAGGATCGCCGTAATTAAATACAGACGCCAAATTGCAGGACATGATATACGCTGTGTGTTGTCCTTGGTGACCATGGTGTTGCAAGTACAATGGTAAGAGAGACAAGAAGTCATTTGTCAAAGTCATAAACCGCTGAATAGAGTCACCAGCAAGTAGCACACAATGCGCAGCGATGAAGGAAGTGGTCATGGTGATTTTTCGAGGTGCCGAATTAGCCCAGTCATTGAAGAAACGGCCAAATGTCACCCGAGTGTCTGGAAATGGCTGCACGCTGATCAATGCTTTGGTAAGATAAAAGAGTGTCCGAAGGGGATCAGATTGTGACAAAACCGCAACATGATGTTGGAATTTTCCGCTACCAGGATGTCGGTCCGCAGCCTTTTGGTACCAATACTGCGACATAAATTTCCAATGTCTGCTATCCATCTTTGCCGCAAACATACCATATCGTGCCACATCACCCAGTTGTTCGAACAATGAGTCCCCAAGTGCTGAATTCGACAGAACTAACCGCTTTAGAACCAATGAGACCATTTCGATGAAGCAGAGCATGTGCTTCGAAGTCTCTGGGAGGTTCCGTTGTAGGATCTCCAACAACGAATGGATCCCATACCGCCACATCCGATCAGACATGGCGTATTTTTTAGGAACATTTCTGATACTTAGGCTGGCTGATGGATGCTGGCACATAACGAAAAATTGTTCATGCTCGTGAAGCAAATTCAAGTGTAGGGAGATAAGGCCTTGCCATCGCTCGCTAGGCAGGTGTACTGTGGATGGTGCTTGATATTGCTCGAACCACTGGCACCTACTCTCACGTTCTACAAGCCTTTCGTATTGTTCTTCGATGGTAAGGATGAGCTTTGTTTGATCCAAATCCTTAGTGGTCAGACTCACCTCGAAGTTCGGATGACAGCGAGCGTGAACCCATTTGCGCCGAGATCTGGTTTTCGATAGGACTCCAGGAGCCACGCATGGAACAAATCTGGCTGTAGCCGTTCTCGAAGGTTGAAGTGAATATTGTCCTAAAGGCATTTAGCTGACTGCCCACTATTCAAATCATGTTGTTGAGCAAAAAAAGAAGCCGTACCAAAGATTCAAAATTCGCCTTAGAGCGATTATTAGATGGAGACAAAAGGTTTTCCTAACTGCAACCGACCGAATGGAAAGAAAATGAGGTAGGGATTCGTCCAATGGGTTGGTGAAAAGTGAAGATCGCATTAAACCGGATTAAATCACGGTCTGCTGTGCCCGAAGCTTTGACCCTTTCAGGGGTTCTACTTATAGGTTATGCAATGTGATAGTACTAGACTTTTAGTGGATGATTGCTATAAGCGTACTTTACATTGGTATTAGGGTTACTCCTAGGAATATAGCCCCGGTCATACACCTAAGTGGAGCTTTTCTAGGGGAAATCCGGCTGACCTCGCCTGGCCAAGACCTAGATCTTTTGGTCATTGCGTTAGTGGTCAGAAATATGTCACATTGGTGCAGATCAGTTTCAAAATGCGACAGATAGTTCGGCACTAGCACCAGCTTGGTCCGTACCAGTATTGGGAACTTCATCTGGTTATTTTATGTATTTGAACTGTACTCCAAATGTGACACGTGCATCGAGAGGCCTTACGCTCTCTGGATAAGAAAGCCCACGGGTCAAGTTTCAGCCAGGCCTACTGTTACCCCAAAGCAAACTTGAACCATCCTTTTAACAGTCAACATCCCCTTTCCCAGCTGCCCTTAATTTCTTACAACATATCCTGTTCCTGTTCCCTTCTGGAAGATGGATTTATTTCACAGTACCTGCGGTGGGCGGATCTAGTCCGGGCTCGAACATGCAGCTATTTCTTCGGTGGACTGAGTGTTGCGTAAGATCCGCTCTGCTTTATCCAGGTAAGTAGGTACAGACTGCAGATGTTAGCTCAATGCCACGGTGATTTACAAAGGAAAAGCATCATCCTCCGCCGGAAAATTCATCAAGTCCAAGAAGGGGTACGCCTCGTGATAATCGATTGGGAAAATTTTGGATAGTATCCAATGTATTGGGAATATTGCTTAGCTGTATGTGCTTTGCTGGGACTGGCCCCTTTGGATTGACAGTATTCTATCGCCATTTGTCTACAGGGCCGCATGGTTTCAGTCTCTGTGCCTGAAATTACGGTCATAGAGGTTGAATAGACACGAGTCTTAATAACACTCGTAGACACTTTGAGTATTGAGTTGGCAGTACATTCTTTTGGTATCTTTACGCTGCCTGAGAGATCAATCAGGATTGTTTTGTTTCGGCTGATATGGATTAATCTTCAACATTTAGTGTAGACCCCTTGGTGGCGAATATATATGCAGGCCATAGAATATAAGTGAGTTCACCTTTACAACTAGTTTGCAGATGCAGACAGAAGTTTCTGTCACTATGATCTGAATTCTACGTAAGTCCATACGGTACAGGTACCGACGGGAGTGTTCTGGATTGGTTAATGGTGGGATGAACTCGAAGGCCACCAGTCTTGGAGGCTGGGGGAGTTAGCTCGATATGTATAGACAGGAGGTGAGATCCTTACGTATTCATGAAGGACGCCGACATGCGACAGTCCGGCTGATCCTCATGTGGGGTGAAAAGAAGACCTAGGCTCTCAATCTTTAAACACCAGGTCGTCAATTTCTCCTGTCTTGATACATCGTCATTTTCCACAAGCTTGGATTATCACTGAACTAAAATCTGGCAGTATCCCAGACACAAACCCAGTAGCTAGGCAATTCACCAGGTTCCAATGGGAAACTGGCAGTCATAGCAATCGAACTGGTAGTCAAGATCCATTTACTTGAAAGCACTCAAAATAATAAGTGAAGCGAGAATAGGAAAAAAGCATAAGGCAAGCAAGGTTACTCCATAAGCAGGATGCACAATCTGACGTGAAAGAGATGTCAGTTGTAAAGCCTACTTACGTGGACTTACTTGTATTTTTGAGATTGACTTGTAATGACGCTTAAGCTAATGTATAGAACATGAGGATCGTTGTCTAAGGGGTACAGTTGTACATTGCTATTAGCCATCACTAAACGACAACTCCTCACAGATCTATGGTGGTCAGAGCCATGGATCACGGTCCTCGGATCTTGGCAAAAAATATCAAGAACTGAAATGCACCTCATTTTTGATACTGTTTCAGTGGCTAGAACGACCATTATGACTTGGATTTTCCTACAGCTGATCCGTTTGGATGCAGTCCACCCTATCTTGGGCCTGAGATTTCTCCTCACCATTTTGCTTTCGCCACATGCCGGCATAACGGCCTTCCATATCCACCAGTTCCTCATGGGTGCCGCTCTCGGCTACCAGGCCGTTTTCTAAAAACAGAAAGCGGTCTGCTGACATGATGGTGCTCAGTCGATGGGCAATTACGAGCGTAGTTCGGCCATTGGAGAGAGCTGCTGGGGATTTCTGGACATGTTCTTCCGTTTGACTGTCGAGCGCGGAAGTAGCACTAGATAACTACGTTACTGTTGTATGCCTGGTTTTACAAGGTATCAAATCCGGCGAGCTAGATAGATCAGCTAGGCAGCATCGGCTAAGCAGTATATGTAGCAAGAACTAGTTTGATTACTAGACAGCTTCTACGTAATTCCAACTAGGCGATCCACACAGTATCTCATCCACGTCAAGTGGAAGTCAAGTGCCAAACATCACTGCTACCGCGTCGCCGATATAATCCAACCCGGGAGACCCTCTTTTGCCCTGCCGGTATCCTATAAACCAGAGGCAATAAAGATCCATAATTTGCCGGGCCTCTGGCAGTTCCAGCCTGTGGCGGCTCCATTTTGGCTCGAAGGCTTTTATCGTCTTCCGAGAACAGCAGAAAGCAGCTATGTTTCTACTGCACATAAACACCATTATGCTGATAACTCCGACATATCCACCGTGATAAGTTCCTGACCGGCCTATTATTCCAAATGTCTTGGCAATATTTCGCGTATTGAAACGTCGCTACCCTGGCTTCTATCATCAGGCTTACTATTGTTACGTAAGCATAATTTGAAGTTAAGTTAGTTATCTGTCCAGGTAAGACTAGTAAACAACTAACGATTGTCTAGTCACGTGCTATTTGGGCAACACCAGTCATACCACCCCACCTGGCTCGGTTGGAAAGTTCTGCCCCTCCAAGTGACGTGACTTGGTCACCTATATCACTGCTGTGGAATATATTCGGGCATCAGCTAAGTGAGGCCAAGAGTTTCACAGAAGTTCCGTCTTTCAGTCCGGTCATCATTTGACCAAGCGTGAGTCAAAAGAACATATTTGCGACAATCCTTTGCCTCGGCTGACTTACGACGTCGATTTTAGGGCGCCCCCTAGGCTCTGCATGACCGAAGTCGACAATACTGAATTGAAAGAAGGAGATATAATTGTTCTACTGCGATACCCATTTCTGCTGTGTTGAGCGGGCTGGAAATCATTCTTGGGTTGCTGGCCAACAATGTGACTCTGTCCTCCCTGACAAGCACTATCGTCCCACTGACGGTCCTTCCAGATCACTTTTGAAGCGGATAATTCCTTTGTGGACTATACTCATTCTTACCCGGCAACTTGACTGAGAGTCCGACCATGAGCGAAGAAGTAGGTGTTTCTGTTGGACTACATGGGTCATAAGCTGAGACAAGTCTGAAATAGAGCACAACGTGGAAAGTGGGCGAAGATCAACTGGAGTACGTGCCAGGAATGATTTTCTCTGCAGAAGAATACCCAAGAGAAATAAGATGCGCGTCGTGCGCATTGATCAGAATATTGGACCCGAGAGCATCAAATGGCACAGAACCACTTGTTAAGAAAAACGATATCACAAAACTCGAAACATTCTCAGTCCCTGCCGGTTTCACGGTTGAAGTGATTGACGGCTGGATAAAGATGACCAGGTCCGCTCCATTCTCAGAGCGCTAAGCAAAGCAAGCCCGTCGTGTCGGCCTACCCACAAATTAAGTGAGATGTCTTCATTCTCCCCTTCAGGAATTATTGTCGTCAGGCAATCCGTGGCTGTTTCGTTGCGAAGCCTTTCTCCTTTCCACAAATTACTCTGTTTAACTGCGTGAGATAGCAAATACCCGAGATTTTTTATTTGGTTTCGCTGCCCCCTTGAGAACATATATTGAACCTCTGAGACAATGCTTTAGCAACAATCCGAGTAAATGGTATCTTTATACTCACGCCGTCGTTTGCTTGAACCTTCATTCTCCTGTTGATCAATGACTTCTTCGAAGCCTCGCTTTCTTTGTACATGTGTCTGGTCGTTGTACAACCTGGAAACATCCGAAGGTACGGATCGAGTAGCATATACCAGCTTGTTTGGGGACGCATGATGTACAGCGTCTTCCACAAATGATTAGCATGCGTTTATAGCCTGCGAAATTAATCCAATCGTGTGCAACGAACCCAATATGCATTTCCCCATTTCGTCATCTCCACAAGTTTCCTTGATAATGGTGACCATTTTGTCAATCAATGCTGACGTGAGGTCGGTCCTGCCGATAACTCGTCGAAGCAGGTGAGGGAATAATTCGCTCAGCCCATGCTTCTCGATTTGTTGGAAATGGTGCTCGGATAGTGAGAAACATGCCAGCATAAAGAGATCAAAACGAGCGCCTTCCGCATTTTCTTTGTCCAAAAATGCTATCAGTATTTGGCTTCCTGGACATTGTCGAGCTGCTCTGTTGATATTCTTGTTGAATAGTTTTCTCTTCGTACTGCGGCTAAAATCGCTCGCCGAGAACGTCTTTAACTTCATGTTGTCTTGCTCAAGGTGAGCTCGGAGACCCGAAAAACAGTTTGCCTTCTCCAAAATATCTTTGTGCTCATGAAGTCCGATGTCTAGCCCGAACATGATTGTAGTGTCTCGGAAGAAAGGATACGAGTGTGGGCCTTGCGACATGATGAAAAAAGGAGGATGAGAAGGGAGAAGAGTAGTGATTCGACAAGTGAGATGACAACAGAAACTACAAGTGAGTGAAGAAATGAATTAACAATCGACACAAGACGTGCGATGAGAAGCGAGACGATAAGTGGGACGACAAGTGAGACGACAAGTGAGACGACAAGTGAGACGACAAGTGAGACGACAAGTGAGACGACAAGTGAGACGACAAGTGAGACGACAAGTGAGACAAGAAGTGAGTGGACAGGTAAGTCAACAGTGAGTCGACAGGGGAGTCGACAGGTGGGTTGACAGGCGACTCGACAGGCGAGCCGGGAAGTGAATCGAGAGATGACCGAGGGATGAGGCGAGAAGCCTGCAAAAGGCCTGTTAACCAATCGGGGAAATGGAAAGTTCTCCGTATTGAGAAACGGAAAATGAGGGGAAGTGACACTATTGTTGACTTATGACCAATCTTTGCATGATTAGCGTCGTGGTAGGATGTGAGTGAAGTGCTCTCATTTAGATTTGCCACGCGAGGCCTATAACATGGGGGTTCTTTAACTCTCGGGAAGACCGAAATGGTGTATTGGCTTATGGGAGTTAGCAGGTGCAGTTGTCCGCAACCATCGCTCAGAGTACTTATCATTGGCCAATACAGTACCCCAATTTTAGACCGCATGCTAGTTAGTAAACAGAGGCTAATTTTCTTTGCTTATTAGCTAGTCTGCTACTCCTAGGAACCAGCTAGATGGATCCGTGTCCCTGGATCTCATCCGCTAGGCGCTTGGATCCTATCCTGGCATCAATTTATGTGCCGCAGGGAAGTAATGGCCGCGACCAGTTTGCAGGATCGGATAAAGCTTGCCACATGTCTTTCTTGTGGAAAAATTTATTTATTATTTAACCGAATAACATTAGCGGTATAAACAACGCAACATCAACCTGATCGACTCACGTCGGCTCTTAATCGTTCTCCTGCTTGAGCAGGTAAATTTATTTATTTGATTCCATTATAGGTTCATTTTGCTCGCCATACACGGACAACTCTTTAACTTCCTCCATGTTTTGAGGGAAACTTGAAACTTGTTGTCTTCAGAATTTGCCTGCCTTTTTTTTTTTTTTTTTTCAATGAAAATATAAATACTTCTTATTCCGTTTTCGATATCCCCGTAGCAAGAAATAGACGTTAGAGCTATTCATAAACCACCATATCATCCTCATACAAACTTTTCCAAAACACAGATTCATGTGGCCTGACCCTACGGTGGACTTCCCCGGCCGTTCTCAGGCCAAAGAAGCCAGCCATCTCCCAATCAATGAGCCCCACGATCTTGTCGTTGTCAACTATCAAGTTGGACTCGGTAAGATCGTTGTGCATGAAGCTCAGGTCTGGGTCGGTATTGGCACCCGAAAACAGGATATTGTACTCCAAGGGTTGGATACGGCCATTGTTCTGAATGTTTGGATCAGATACGATGTGGGCGCGGACCTGGGAATTGGTGGGCTTCACTGATTGCAGCTGTCGAAGGATTCCTCGTGCTTGCTGTTTGAAGGACTGTTTTTGGTCTTGCGACAAATACGGCCATGCCACGGCCAATGCAACGCCTGGGAGCCTTTCCTGGATCAACACCTGGCGACCGTTTATCTTAAATCTGGTAAGCGATAGAAAAAGTCGACGAGCAAGGGATAACGGATACCTTGCCGGCAAAGTAAATCTCGGGTACTTTGACACCTTCTAAAACATTTTTCGCAACAGCAATAGCCTCGACTTCATTGGCATCCGCATATGAGTAGTCGATCTCGGCATAGCTTCGCGTATGCAGATGGCTCGACTTGATAATGATGCTGCCAAGGGCAAACACATCGCGACCACCCTCATCAGCCGGGTAGATTCTAATAGATTCATTGCAAAGATCAACCACTGAAGCCCAGTATTTCAATGAGTCCGCAGAGTGGGATCTGACATGCTGGATATCAATGCCAAAGTCCTCCGGTTTGGGAAAGTAGCGACCATAGAGCGGCAGATCCGCGTATAGGTCGGAGGTTGGTATCTCTTCTGGGTCTGTCATATATGGATTCATTGGTACAGCAGGAAAAGCGATGAGTGAAAACTTCTAGATGAGACAATACGAAATGTATCGTACGCTCTTCCGTCTTGAACCTGACCTAATAAATGATATCAGCGACTGCCTCGTTGATTTTGCGGTTCGAGTGCTGAGCTGAATTGGCGGTGTGGATGCGAACTATTTCAAGGTCTTAGACAATGCGGTCCTAGCGCGAGCTGCTGACTCTTTCTTGGCCTAGACCTGCCAGATGATACTTTCGTCCCACCTACCTCCCCTCTTTCTGCGTCTTATGCAGCCGATTTTGGCCTAAGGCAGACAGACGACGAAACATATATTAACGAACATGTCGGCATGTTCTTCGAAAATATGCGAACCAAAAAAGGCCTCTCTTACCTCAAGTCAATATTCCTGCTCTAGAACTCTATCATACCAGATTATCATGGCTCAACGATGCTCTGTCTGTCAAGCATGGATCAAGACTGCTGGTGGAACTCATGTCTGTCCTGGCAAACCTCCTTCCAGCAACGCCCACGTTGAAATTCCATCATTGTCCGACTTCGACGAGATCTTTCAGAGAAGAAACATCCTGCCTTACCTTGTTGCTCCAGCTTAGGGCGCCAAGCAATTGTGAGTCTAAGAGCCAGCAAAATGACCCTTCCGTGTTAATGCTGATAGTATCAAAGCCTCTGGGCCCTGGGACGCCTCTGTCGAAGGCTGTGCACCTGGTTCCATTTTGAGCACCATTTTTTATGTAGACAGCTGCAAAGAGATGTGGTATCTAGGATTTACAGAAGGATACCACTGAGGATGAGTGGACCAGAGCACATAGTTGCGTAGGCATTATATGATTTTAAATAAAATTGAGGTATCTGAAAAATTCGAAAATAGCAGTTAAGATAGAAATCTCTAGATGTAAAAGAAAATTTCAGCGTCATCTGGTAAGAACAAGACCGCTGAGGGAGACGATAAGTCAAGCTCCGGGTGAAAAGGCAAGATAGAGACCGCAGCATGGCGAGTCAAGACGTGGGATAAGAAATGACTAGGGAAGTGAGATAGAAGCGAGTCGGAAAGTAATTCGTGAAGTGAGACGACAAGTGAGTCGAAAAGTAAGTCCAGAAGTGGGGATGGGAAGTGAGATAAGAAGTCTTTCGACAGCTGAGTCGATAAGTGAGTCGAGAAGCAAGATGGAAGTGATTAGACAAGTGAGCCGACAAGTGAGCCGACAAGTGAGCCGCCAAGTGAGTTGAGAAAGCGATTGCGCTCGACAATCGCACTTTGACCTACTTTGGCTTGCATCAATTAGTAGATACTAATTCTGTGCCTATTTAAAATCTTGCATCCTAAGCGCGCAACGACCGCTACGATGGCTGATTCAGCTTTTGTTTCTAGACCTGGTACGTCAAGTGTCTTTCTAACAAGAGTCTGATCGGCCTTATGCAGGAAATAACAAGGATGCGAGAGCAATTCCTAAATTTTGAAACTATAGCCAACGATGACTGTCTTGGTAACGTACGAAATATTGGTACGGGGGGATTGGAAATGGACGGGGGTTAGAAATGGACGGGGGGTGGAAAACGGGATCGTCAACAAGATAGGGGGTCGGCAGAAAGAGAGGGGTCGTCGACAAAGCATTAGAAACTGGCCTCATGCAGTTATTCCCGCTCTCCAATCAAACCGGGAACTCAATCTGCACCATGCTATCTGTTGCCGACAGACGCCCACCCCCCTCCCCCCACCAACCAAGTTCCTGATGGGCTGCGGAGAAGATAGCAGTTCCCAGGAACGATGAACTCCATCCACACAACGCGTGACACTACCAAGTCCAGACTTACTCCGCACGTACCTCGGTCGCAGGCAAGGACATGCTGTGGAATTATCTCCTCGAGGAATAATGACGTATGTTTGCTTTGGGCAAATGCCTTTGTATCTTATGCACGACATGTACTCTTCAAACAGCGCAAACATGGACAATATTTGCGTAACGCCTTACCCTTGGAATGGTGGTTTGCTTTCTCATTCGATTAAAAAAGAGAAGTAGCATCAGAGGATGCCTGCCAAGTATGTTATTTCGGAGCTGCGTGCTATTATTACGTATCCATCTTTGTGACCGATTTTGTTTGAAAATCTATTCAAGAATCACGAGAACATATCATACGCAAACTGTGATCAATTATATAAATTTCTTTTGCAAACGAATTTGCCCGGGTGCTGTTTCCCCTATGAACCACAGCATTGCCTCCTTTCTGTGGTCAGTTTGACTTGGATTTTCGTACACCTGATCTGATTGGATGCAGTTCACCCTGCCTTGGGCTTAAGATTTGTCCTCGCCATTTTGCTTCTGCCACATGCGGGCATAACGGCCTTCCATATTCACCAGCTGCTCATGGGAGCCACTCTCTGCCACCCGGCCGTTTTCTAAAAACAAGATGCGATCTGCTGACTTGATGGTACTTAGTCGATGGGCAATGACGAGCGTAGTTCGGCCATTGGAGAGAGCTGATAGGGATTGCTGAACATGTTCTTCCGTTTGAGTGTCGAGCGCGGAAGTAGCTTCATCCAGCAGTATGATTTGAGGATTTTTGAGAATAGTACGAGCTATGGCCACACGCTGTTTCTCACCGCCGCTAAGGCGTAGTCCACGCTCTCCAACTTTGGTATTGTAGCCATCTGGGAAGCTCTCGATCTTGGTATGAATATCGGCCATGCGACAGGCCCGGCGGACGTCTTCATCACAGGCATCGGGTTTCGCGTACTTGAGGTTGTACATCAGAGTTTCGTTGAAAAGCATCGTATCCTGCGGCACAACACCGACATGTCTTCGAAGAGAATCGATAGCAATATTCTGCACGTCATGTCCGTCGACGAGAATTTTGCCTTTCTTAGGGTTGTAGTATCGGAAGAGGAGACGGAAAACCGTGGATTTGCCCCCACCAGACTCTCCAACCAGGGCCGTAGTGGACCCAGGTTGACAACTAAACGAAAGACCATTCAATACAGGCTTGCGTGCATCATACGAGAAGCCAACATCCTGAAACTCGATCATTCCCTGACAAGTTGCCAGTGGGGTAGCACAAGGGCTATCAGTGACTGTCGGCTGCTCTCTGAAAAGCTCCAACATGCGCTCTGCATTGATTAAAGCAGACTGTATAGAAACATAGAATGCACCGAAATAGCTCAATGGGCCTTGGAGCTGGTTCATGTACATCAACAATGTCACAAATCGACCCACAGGCTGCTGGAGAGTTGAAACCTGGTATACAGCGATGAAGCATGTGAACAACAAAGAGGTCATCAAGACAGTTTTTTGACTGGTGCTCATCATGGCTCCGCAGAGGAATGAGTAGTACTCAGTAGTTTGGAAATCGCACACAGCACGGCGGTAGCGCTCAAACTCGTGTTGCTCCGCATTGAAATATTTCACCGTTTCATACGACATCATTGAATCGTTTCTGTGTGTGCATGTCAGCGTTGTTGTAATTCAGACTGCAGATAACTTTTAAAACTTACTTCACCGCATCTTCATGTCTCGAGGCATTGACCATCTGTCTTCTGGTCTTCGCACTCCACTGGGCCATGCGAATGGTGACATAAAGATAAACAAATGCCGAGATCCCAACCACAAGAGCATAGTAGACATCAAATGCAACCATAAAGTACCCAATTGCGATGAGCAGGTCAGCTAATGTAGGAACGAACTGGAAGGTGACTTGTTCTAGGAATGAATTGACCGATTTGCCTTTGTTCAGAGCTGATAGGAGTTCACCCGTCTGTTTTTCTAGGTGAAAGTCCAAACTGAGGCTGTGAACATGTTCGAAAACGGCAGCAGAAAGCTCCAGGTAGGAATACTGGCCCATCGGAATCCAAAGGCCAGTGCGTAGAGAACCCAGAACTTCCTGTAGCCACAGGCAGAAAACATACATGCATATCTCGAACCATGGGGTGTAGAATGTGTTTCCGGCTTGCTGGTCCGCCAGAACCGTAGTTATCGCCCCAACCTGAACGGGTGTCATCACATTGACAATTCGCTGAAGTATGACAAGAACGAAGCAAGCCACAGCTACAACCTGCAAGCGTGGGGACTTGGATGGCCACATGTAAGGGAAGAACCGTGAGAAACCACCTAAATAATCGAAGAAGCTCATGGATGGCAACTCTTCTGGTCGGACCCAGGATCTTGGTGGTTTGGGCTCTGCGGGTCTCGCAGCTCCGCCTGTTGAACCATAGGCGTGACCTTTACCACCACAGCCCTTTGTGCGCGGAGACTTCAGCAATCCAGTTGCCTCAGTAGCATGATCTGGCTCTCCCTCTAAGTTTTCATCATGATCTATAGGAGCACCGGACTTGGTGTAGTAGAGTAGAACGAGAGTGATCAGAATCAAGATACGGACACCGTTGGGGACCAGTTCCATGCACTCCCAAAAGGTGATCCCTTGGCGTATCGGGCCTCCGCTGGGGTTACCGACTACTGGCTCACGATAGACGGAGGTGTAAAGCGAGAGGGTCGTGGTAAAAATGATGAGCTCGACGAGAATGGCGAAGGACCAACATGTGAGCTGAGTGGCCGTCGGGGAAGGTGTGGTATCGACTATGCTGACAAGAATAACTGCGTAGGCAAAAATAGAGCCGACGATATAAATCTGTGGGTATTAGATATACTGTATCATAGCAAGGTTTAACAAAGAACATAGAGACGCACCACTACTGACTGTCCGCGCCACCGATACTCGGAACGGGCCATTAACATATGGGTGATATAGACCGTGGCATCAACAAGGAACGTCACAAGCACACCAGCAGAGAGCCAGTTGAAGCAGTGTTTGACGGTGCCAGAGAAAGGCTTAGTCTGACCAGAAGCCATCGGGTTCCAGGTCCGCCTGGGAAGCTGACCATCTTTGTTCTGTGACCTTTTTTGCTCGGTCTTGCTCTTGACGACCATCCTGCTCACACAGACCACGACGAACAGCAGCATGAGCAAGATTGGGTAGCATGCAAGGAGATACTCCAGCAGCGTTTGAGGATTCACAATCGCAGTTCGTTCAAGAACATGAGAATAAAGAGATCTCCGGCGATTGTCTTGGGCCATTTGTGGCGGATATTCGGATAAGCAACGATGAGGATGGGCTTAATGGCGGCCAAGAAAGGAACTATTATAGATTGGACTGAGTGATTAGCAAAGTGGTGATTCTGATATGTCCTAGCAAAAGGTGACGATGGATATGAAAGATAATACCTGTTGCAATGTTGTCTCCGTATACGATGGGGGAAATATCAGATATAAGCGTTTTGAATGAGCATCGAAATATGGAGGTGCAAGTTATATATTTAGCCTGGGCTAATACCGTCCTGTTGTTACTAGTATACAAAACTCGAAGAGGGGGTGGAATAGGTCTATTACCCGGAGGCCCGCCATACCGCACTAGAGTATGCATGGCGCCTCCAGACCTCTGTTCCTGTCCCAGGCCTGCATTTGTGGAGCCAACGCCCGGATTCGTAGGCCATGTTCCAGGTTTCCCGGAGTGCGGAGCTTCTGTGATCGACTACCACATACCCCAGGAGGTTTCGTAAGCCTTTCTGGTTGCCAAATAGTAGGGACAAGGCGCCAGGATTGGCTGCAGGGTAGGCAAATCGCTTGGAAATTGTTCTTCATGTGCGTAGTACCTTGTCTTGTGATGCTGCGAAGACAAAAGCTGTTGGTAGAAAGCTTGGAGGTAAGCTGGAAAAAAAGAGATGATTTCTCCTGATCTTCACCGATCTTCCCGGCCATGTCTGTTTTAGGCTCCAATCTTTTGCCAGCCTTCCTCCACTCGTGGTGAGTGCGAAAGCACCACAGAGCGGCCACAGATCCAAGCCTATCTGGCAGTACGTAAGAGTGTCTGCAGCCCTGAGCGCAGGTCGAATTCTGGGAAGCTTGCCCCCAAATTCGGAGCTTAAGGACCTTTCATGTTCTCAGCGCTCTTCAGGCCTCTCATCCTGAAAAGCTGCACAAATAAAGCATGCATTGTGGTTGGGGCGGGTGGGGCTCAATACTTTGATTAGTTTATCCAACTGACAATGCCGAACAGGGCTCCGTAATGCGATTCCCCGGAGTCTTGGTATCAGCCGCTGTAATTACAAAAATTTCAATACAGCATAATTCACTGAATTAAATCTTGAAGGAAACCGTGAGAAAAGACCCTTTTGCAGAGGAGACACCGCTTGTGAGGCCTGGAACACTGCTGAAATAAGAGGACCCGCAACTAAGCCACCTCGTCCTCTCACACGCTTCCCCCCCCCCCGCTGAGGGTTCGGTCAAGTACATCATTTCGACGACGAGGTCATGCAACCGCATATCACACATCTATTCCCATCTGGCCATATGATAATCTCCCTATGTGACTACATAAATGTGCATTATCCAATCCAGCCTGCGCATTGATCGTTCACTTGATCTCAAATAAATATTTGTACATCGTCTCGGTCACTCATTTTTCTCTTCAATGGGACAACCTCTAGTAGCTCTTCCAACTAGACAGATCGAAATTAAATTGGAATGTTTCAACTTCGGGTTCGGGAATGAATTTGAGAGAGTATAGAGGTAAAATTTATTTCAAATATTACTGTGCTTGTAGTCAAAATAGCTGCCTCCCCTATTGCCTAGCGCAGTAGCAGCCTATTACGCTGCCACTTGGACCGAACTATACACCACGTGATCTGGGATCCAGACGTGCGCTCCAGGTATTCGCAGAGGACATCGCAGGATCATTTATTGAGTATGAGGAATAAGGGCTCTATCAATTGACGAGCGGTCTTCCTCTCCCCAGGGAGCCAGGTAAGCATTCCACGGACAAAAGAGAGGAAGCAATTTCGCTCATTCTCTTCTAGAGATGGGAGTGAAGCTTCACCTGCTCCCCATATTCCCGAAAGTAACGAGGCAATACCGAAGGTTGATAAGGGCCGAGGGCGGGTGACACTGGTATGGCGAAAGTTAAGGTATGATCACTACCAAATGTCCAAATTCCGTGCACCCTTTCGCTGGATGCTGGAAAGGAGATCAATGCTAAGATTAGTGCTTACTGGTCACGTTCGTGGAGGATGAACATTCATGTTTATCAATTATGAATTCTCTCCAAATGTCATAAACAATCTCAATTAAAAGGCTCGAAAATCCAAAGAGGAAACTGAGATATTAAAGACCGGTCCGAGCATAAACAAGCGTGGCATAGAATTCACAGCCATTAAAAATCAGATATAGTAAAATCTTCAACAGAGCTTCTCATAACAGGAATCACTTAGAAGAGCCAGACCCCTTGGCGGCTTCATTGCTGCGGGCAATCTTCACCTGGCCATAGATCAGAAGCATCCCGGCAAGGTGTGCTGTCGCGATCTTTTCCAAATTCTGCACGAAGGTGATTAGGAGCTCAAATTCAATCTCTGTCCTTGATCGATGGTGGTGGATATCCTCGTATGCCAGAAACTTCACAATATTCGTCTTCAGGTAGCATCTTCCTAAAGCTGTAGCATCTTAGGGCTCACTAGATCCGAAGAATCAAGTCCACATCCACGGTCCAGAGTCACTCCATTCCTTGGGATTCGAATATCTAGCTATTCAAATGTATCCCTAATAGAAGCCAAATGCTTCTGCCATTTGGGACAAGGAAAGGTCTCCCTGAACATACCCCAGTCACTCTCCTGGTAGTGATGTCTGCTTCAATTACCCCTACGGATTAGGATCAACGTCGACCACCTGATCCTGTCCCCAGGGATAGAAAGCATCAGAAAATGGGCGAATCTTGCATAAAAGGCTGTCCCGCACCATTTTGCGGCGATAAGGAACTATGCGTCTAAGGCAAGTCATCAGTTTTTGCTCCTCACAGTTCGCCGGATAGCACGTTATCTCACATCTCATTTTGTATTTTCATGACACGATAGATTTCATGAGGAAAAGTCTGCTGGATAGCACCCGAATGACCGACTTTATCGATGTCGATAACGATATGAAACCTTGAGTCTGCTTTACCATTCGAAGGTTGGAAGTGCCAAAAATGCTTCCCTTCGAGTGCCTCCTCAGCAGGGCGTTCAGTGAAGACTAAATATGCCTTCACACATGCAACAATCCCTGTGTATGATATGTCTGGAAAGTCATCTTCCCGAAGTCGCAGTATCACTCTCTTAGAGCACATTGGAAAGTTTAATTTGCAAGCCAACATGAGAGAAAGACTGTTATGATTGGGGTTCCACTCCCATTTATAACCGTCGCAAAGCTCAGCTGACCTGACCGCTGACCTGATCATCAACCCCTTGCATCAATTGTCGTTTTAGATCAGGTGACCTCACCGCTAGACGAAAAGGGTGGCATTTTCGGGACTGAGATAGCAACCACTGAAAGCGCACCTTTACTAGATTAGGTTAAACGCAAAAGCCATATCAACAAACTATAAAATACGACATATAGGGATATCCCCGCCTTAGCTTGATCTAGTAGGGAGTGTCCTTTTAACTGTCACCGACTGGGATGTCTGATTTTTTGCAAGGTTGAAATCTCAGAAGGCGCTCATGGCCGTCCTAGCCAGCTGCGCAGGGTTTGAAATAACTTACATATCTGCCATTCGTACCACTTGGACAATTGTGGCGGTATATGAGCTTGACTATGGGCGTACTTGAACTGCCAAGAAGGGGAGACTAGTGCATGGGGAAGTCGAACCTGACGGACCAAGACAAAAGGTGTTGGTATCCACTATCAACGCTTTCCCGACTATGTGGCAAAATATTGAAAGTGCTTCTGTAATGGCCATTCATGCTGTGTTTATCTACGAAGTTGAGGCGGTCAAGGCATGAACAATCCGTTTGGTTCTATGGTCGTGTTTAAAATTAAGGACTCGTACGTTTTCCGAGGTGCTACATTCCATTTTAAGGTTGTTCATACATTGAAAGTCTGAACACTGGCTTCTATAAGTCTTTCATGGAAATATATCCAGTAGTCGAGACGAGTACAGATTTTGGACGACGACAAACGAGCACATAAGTTACATCATGCCACCAACTTTAGGGTCCAGAATCAGGTAGTGGCAGAATGGAAAATAATTGGCAGATGAGGCTTTCCAAACCATACGCAGAACACTGATGTAACTTCCTCGTCTCAATCATTCTCCAAATTCTGAAAATTCGGAGCTGCTGGGAGTAATGCCAAGGCATACTGGGCATTTACCAGGGTGCCCTTTGTCTGCATCAGGGTATAATCGAGGAAGATCTCGTATTTTGCCGCTTTGCGGTTCGCAGTAGGCTTGATCGTGACGCTGCTCAGACATAGGGCAGCGCAGGACCGTAATGAAGAAGGTGCAGCCGCAGCCATTTGGACCGTCGAATGTCCTATACCGTAACCAACACATCTAATCGAAAAGTTAGCATGAATGACGACCCATAGATGATCGAAAATTGAAATACCTTTAAGCGAAAGATGTTTTGCCCTATAGATTGCTGAGTGCTAGGAGGATTTCAAGAATCTCGTTGTGCGAATGCCTGTAGAACTTCTGATAAAACATTTGAATGAGGAAAATTAGGGCTATATATACTACTAGTGTCTCCAAGTTGAACGCGCGCACGGTTGTCGTTCATCCCTCGAATAAATCACTTTAGGTTAACATCAACGAAGACCTATCTACCGAGAAAGAATGAGGCGATTGGAGATCACATGGGTCTGACCATTTCGCTGCAGCAATTCCGAGTCGTTCGTAGCCAATCAACAGGTACGAGTCAATACAAACAATGCTACCTTATGTAAACGAGAATAAATTTCCAGTAGCTTTGGTATTGTCCATCAACCACTGCAGCATGCACGCTACCATCTTCATTACCATTGCCATCCTCTTTGCCATCTATTTACCATCCACTTACCACCCACATTGCCATCCGCTTTACCATTCTCATTACTATTACCATCCTCTTTGCCATCCACTTTGCCATCCACTTACCATCCTCTTTGCCATCCACTTACCATCCTCTTTGCCATCCACTTACCATCCACTTACCATCCACTTACCATCCTCTTTGCCATCCGCCCATTTACCATCCATTTACTATCCGTTTACCATCCGCTTTATTATCCTCTTTGCGATCCACTATACCATCCACTTACCATCCTCTTTGCCATCCATTTACCATCCATTTACCATCCATTTACCATCCACTTACCATCCATTTACCATCCATTTACCATCCACTTACCATCCATTTACCATCCATTTACCATCCACTTACCATCCACTTACCATCCACTTACCATCCACTTACCATCCACTTACCATCCTCTTTGCCCATCCACTTACCATCCTCTTTGCCATCCGCCCTTTTACCATCCATTTACCATCCATTTACCATCCATTTACCATCCATTTACCATCAATTTACCATCCATTAACCATCCATTTACCATCCACTTACCATCCATTTACCATCCATTTACCATCCACTTACCACCCACATTACCATCCGCTTTACCATTCTCATTACCATTGCCATCCTCTTTGCCATCCACTTACCATCCACTTACCATTCACTGTTACCCCCACCTTCCACAATTTTGGCTGCCGCAATCCCGTGTCATCTGTAGCTTATCGTCTCTACCATCCCTTCTACCATCCGCCTTTTTTCCTACCATCCACGTTACCATATATTTTACCATCTATCATCATGCACTGTAGTGAAGGTTTATATTTTCGCTCGACAAGCATTCGATTTCGTGATATGCTGGACTTACATCTCGCCCTACGAACTTCAAGTTGTAGCTGCCGAATAATAATTGAACTCATTTAGTAGTAAAGCCATCGACTATCGACTAACAATGTGAAGCCTCTGTGGGTCATGAAATAATCATATTGATTTTTGTCAGACAGTGTTCGGTCGTAAGTTATTCCGGGTAAACTATGCTCCATTTCCTCTGTTTGAATTTGCCCCTCGGCATCCATCCCACTTCTTCACGTCGTCGGGCACTGTTGCAGGCTACCCGACTTGCTCAGATCCTCCTTGTCTTATACACCACGGCCTCCAAAATATAGGTTTTGCTCTGAAAAGCACTTCCAAATCTCTCCCTTGAATGCCCATTTGCAGAGTGGACTCTTGAGCATCTTCACGCGTCTTACGATCAACAAACGTAGGCATGGCATCATCCGGCTTTCTTTGCCTGTGCTGACCTTTTTCTTTTTTCCCAGTTTGACAGAAGTTAGGTGCGCCTTATCGCAAAAAATTGCTGTAAATAGGGCTGTCGGTATTACTTTCTGGTAGTCTGATTTCGCCATTAATTAAACCGTGCCCTAACACGACACAGTTCTCTTCATTGTTCAGATGTCGAACCCCAGCAAAATACCTGTTGGAAGCGATGCCCTCGGTGGAAAAGAGGAGCATATAGTGGCCCACATTTTTGACGCCATCGACGAGGAGCGATGGTTAGAAGGCAGAGGGACACTGATCATGATTATTCACCCGTCGAATCCGAACCAAACGAAGTCATACGACAATGTTATTGAGAACGACAGATTTTTGGTCCCTCCTAAGCACAGGGTCAAAGTGATTAACGCTCATGTTGCGATGACCAAGTAGGTTGCAATTCCAATTCCATGAGATTCGACAATTGCATTCCCGCCTGTTGTCCAACCCACAAAGTGATCGAAATATCTGCATTTTCATCCCGAGGGATCATTGTCGTCACGCATCCGGTTCTAGGCTCGCCTGTTTGTCTCTCTGTCATCCACAGACGACTAGTTTGGATGGCATCTGGGATCAGGGTGCTCAAGAGGGATATGTGGCTTGTTGGAGCTCCTGTCAACATAAATCGAATTTCTAATGATGCGTTGGTAAGACAGCGCCTGTACGAATAGAGGCAGGGAACTCACGCCTTCCGTTTTCCCTTAGTTGCGTTTGTTCCACTTCACCATCGTGCTGTATTCCAGGTAACTGGTTAACAATTTCACGTGCGATACTCGGATCTGCAAACATCAGTACCCTCCTTATTATCCTCAAGAATAGCGTACCAATCCTCGAAGACAGCCCTTCCCTGGAAGCTAGTGATCGTAATATCGGGTGGTCAAACTCTTCGGAGAGATCCTTGATCTGAGAGAGGAGTGTAGATCGAGTGGCTTTATTCATGTGTGCGATCTTCGCTTGGCCTAAAGCTATAGCACATAACATGACGAGGACTGGACCAGCGTCATCATCATGCTTAAGCAAATCCTCCAAGAACATCTTGTATTTGTGGCGTTTGGTAGATTCTTGCACTCCGTCCAGAATTTTGATAGCACCTTGTATTTTCTGAGATTGAGACTTGTCGATTAGGTTGAGCGTTCTGTGGCAATCTCTGACTTTTTGCAAAGCCTCGTGTACGCTAAGCGGCTTCTGGTTCCGGACACGTCGCGGCATACTAATTTCTTGGCTGTATGAACGAGAGTTGGGATGGCAGCGATGGCAAGGTGGATGGTCGTGTGGATAATCGTGTGGGTGGTAGGTGGATGGTATAGTGGATGGCAAAGAGGATGGTAAGTGGATGGTAAACGGATAGTAAATGGATGGTCAATGGGCGGATGGCAAAGAGGATGGTAAGTGGATGGTAAGTGGATGGTAAGTGAATGGCAAAGAGGATGGTTGGTAAGTGGATGGCAAAGAGGATGGTAAGTGGATGGTAAGTGGATGGTAAGTGGATGGTAGAGCGGATGGCAAAGAGGTTGGTAAACGGATGGTAGGTGGATGGTAAGTGGATGGTAAGTGGATGGTAAGTGGATGGTAAGTGGATGGTAAGTGGATGGCAAAGAGGATGGTAAGTGGATGGTATAGTGGATGGCAAAGAGGATGGTAAGTGGATGGTAAGTGGATAATAAAGCGGATGGCAAAGAGGATGGTAAGTGGATGGTAAGTGGATGGTAAGTGGATGGTATAGTGGATGGCAAAGAGGATAATAAAGCGGATGGTAAGTGGATGGTAAGTGGATGGTAAGTGGATGGTAAGTGGATGGTAAGTGGATGGTAAGTGGATGGTAAGTGGATGGTAAGTGGATGGTAAGTGGATGGTAAGTGGATGGTAAGTGGATGGTAAGTGGATGGCAAACAGGATGGTAAGTGGATGGCAAAGTGGATGGCAAAGTGGATGGCAAAGAGGATGGTAATAGTAATGAGAATGGTAAAGCGGATGGCAATGTGGGTGGTAAGTGGATGGTAAGTGGATGGTAAGTGGATGGTAAGTGGATGGTAAATGGATGGTAAGTGGATAGTAAAGCGGATGACAAAGAGGATGGTAAGTGGATGGTAAGTGGATGGTAAAGCGGATCGGAATGTGGATCGGCCCTATGGTCTCGCTTTGACCTGTTCCTGATCTGTCTAGCTTCATGCCCTAGATACTAACATCAGATCAATGTAAGTCTGCTGAACCTCAAGAGCGCAAAGACGGCTATGGTGGCAGTGTAGGATTTGTATTCTAGACATTTCCAGTACGTCGTGTAACCTTTTCCATCGAAGATACCGAGACAAAATGGCTTCACAATCCCTGCAGAAGTTAGCTATTATACTCCACTGCTGGATTCACTGCTGCTAGGCGACATGTTCGAAAGAATTCCGAGACCCCATCTAGGGCAACGAAACTTGCATCTAATACAGATAAGAAACTGGGGTACCTTTCATTTCGGATCCACAATACCGAACAATAATTACGAGTGGACACCCGTGGCCAGCTTTCCGATGTTTATTGAATGATTCCGTCCCAAAATTCGCTTTGACCTCCTTTCACAAAAGCAGTTGTTCTGATCTGTTCAGCCCCATATCACAAGCAGGATGGTGCAGCTCCCCTAAACTGAACAATAATACCAATGATGGGGATGTCGCCAAGGTACGGGACATTGGTACGATTCAGGAGGTGTGCAATATCTGTTACCTTTCTATAAGAACCTCTAGATCGCGGATACTTCAGATGAGCGCTACACTGCTTTGAAACTGTTTCTGCGAAGTTGTATATTTTCTCCTACTGTTTACTCTACAAGCGTCTACATTATTGTGTCAAGTATGAGTGTATCGAGAACTCTCTGGTCTCGCTTCTTGGGGCTCTTCGGATACTACAGTGCAAAAGAGCAATCACAGGAAATCCCTCAAGGTTGGAATCCCTTTTGATAACTTGAACGACAATTTCAATGACTCTCGAGCTAGAAGCAGAGTATCGGAATTCGGCGCTTGGCCCTCACGTTAAATATATTTCTGCCGGAAGTCTGGACAAGCTTGCAGTGAGTCTCCCGGAGCTGTTGCATTTTGTTATGTTCCTGTCTACGGATCTAAAAACTAACCAATCATTAAAACATAGTCTGAGCTGCGCAATATGAGAATAACAGATCGTGTTACACCGCGAGGTGACCAAGGCACAGAGGCATATTACGAGGTTGAACGCGAAGTCAGACGCGTGACGAAGACCCCAGGCGAAGTTCACGATATCATGAACTTGTCGTTCGAACACTACAAGATCCTACGACCAGAGATAATCAGATCTAACATTGGATACAAGCTGCTGGTAAATTGTGGTCTGGAAAACAAGAACTCTGAAACTGTCCCAGAGTTATACCACGCTTCATTCTACTGGACACCGTCTGCTTCATTTTCTACATAGACCCATCATCTAATTTATATACCCAATGGCAAGCACTCCTGCAAGCTCTCCTACCTCTCAAGGAATGCTGATTTATCGTCTTGGTGTGAACACCGAGTTGCTACCACTCTGCGTTGGGACCAAAATAATACCTCTTGTTTCCAGTTTGAACGAAGCGGGGCTTGTAACAGCAAGCACTGTGTGGATAGGCTTTCAAAGAAAGAAAATAAAATTAGGAATTTAGGCAAATAACAAACAAGATGCCTGTATGAGGCACGTTCGATTGGCAAAGAGCAGCTGATCACCAGTGCCTATCTGCAATGGGAATAGAGCCATAACATCGAATTGAGGTGTGCTAGTTTCGCAACAAGCCGTGTCAGAAACGTAGTTCAAGATTTTGCAGGGATTGTGCAACTGCATCGGCTTCGTGTTCCAATTAAAATACTAAAAATACACGCCCTCACTGCGGCTGCAGAATGGAGTTTAGGGCGATCTGCGGCGACAGCTCGCAGATGTACTGACTATCCTATCTAGTATTTAATGCCTGCACTATCCCCGAATATGAGCGTGGGAGATGAACGTTACGCCAACTAAAGAGCCAGTGGTACCGCCTCCTCTGAGGTCTATACTGTCCTTCGCTCTTTCCCTGAGTCTCATCGGCGCCTCATCACTTTCGAGCTGGATTCATTCAGAAAAGAATTTCTGAGAACCACCAATTCTGCTATTACAATGGCGGAAGACGAAAAAAAGATTGTTGTTATCAACCACATTCTCAACAAAGCAAAGAAAAAATACGTCTGCCCTGGTTGTCTCAGTAGTTACGTCGATTTCACATTATTGGAGAACCATCTCAAGAGGGAAAGGGACAAAATCATCCATGAAGGGCTTATGGCAGAAGAAAAGTCCAGTTTCGAGTACAGCTATCGAAAGCTAGTTGGGTGGGAAGTTGTCTTGCCCTCTGATCGAGCAGCCGCATTCGAAATAGAATTCTTTGTCCGGCACAGAGCGTTGAAGCTTCCGAATCCCATTGTATCGAGGATGCAATCTCTTTTGGAAATTGCAGAGGCATCGGGGATGAAGTTTGTCTGCCCTCAATGCGTTGATGAAGACTTTGGATATTTCAACACCATGACTGAATTCCGAGATCACTGTCGAAAAATGTGTAACAAAACACACGGGGGCCTGATGGCAACTGATGAGGGGACGTTTTTCCCGTCCTACTTGGGAGCCATGAAACGTAAGAAAGTCAAGGACCCGCTGTCTGGACGCCTCCGACGTGGGCCACCGTCGTTCCATCAGTATCTAAGCATTGGTTATGTCATTCAGGAAAAAGTGTAAGAGCATTGGTATCTCTAAGATGATTTGATCTAACATGACTACCAGCTTTGGCACACCAATTGAACAAAACATCTCTGGCGAAGCTGGTACTAGCAACTAGCTGAGGTCTTTGGAAAAGATGTATCTTGCCGAAAATGAATTTGAAGATCCAAAATAACGATTGAATTTGAAAGTATGCTTCCCGCAGTTGTAATTTAATGCCCCGGTGCATCATGGGAAAAAGGGAAAAGGTCAAATGACTCTAACACCGGAAACAAGCGAAGAAGGTACTGAAATAGGAGAGACCACAGGATGTATAATCGTCTCCCCTGGATCCAGTATTATCTTCCACAGCTTCCACGAGGTTCAAGGGGCTGAACTGCATCTGGGAGCTTTGTTGGTCAGCCCTCACGATGTAGAATGCAGCATCGTCCACGACAATGTTCGCCCAAGTCATATCGTTTTGCGTGAAGCTGATCTGTGCCGGATGAAGAAAATGTAGAGCATTGTCATGTGAAATACCATCTAAGCTCATCTCACGTCGGTAAAACTGGTAATCATTGTTTGGGTTGACAAGTTGGCCGAATTTGGTGAGGGCCTGTGTCTTGAAGCGACTTGCATTGACACCTTGGACAACGGCTGTTAGAGAATAGTTATTGCGGAGACGATGGAGCGACTGCAACAAACTGTCAGCACTGTTGAAAGCTAAGGAAATTGTCTCCATACTTCGGCGAGATCATCAATACGAGAGGAAAGCCCAATTTCAGCGTCCATAATTCGCTTGACTGCATTGGCGAGATGGTTCCATCGTGTGTTCAGGATACGCCGCGCTGGTTGACCCTCTTTAGTAAAAGCGGGAACAACGTACTCCGAAAATAGAGCTTGATCCTTTCTCGAAATGCCTTCTGCGAGGGCGGAGATATTAAACCATCGGATCTGCTCCAAAAATTCGTTGCTGGTATCAAGTGCTGAGTGCCAATCAACAGCAAGGGGCGCATAAAAGTCATAGAAACAAAACCTCAAGACTTCTAACTTTTGCAGTATGCTTTGTGTAGTTTCCGGCTCTGAGAGGACTTTCTTCAGTGGGTTGACCACACGGCAGAGTGATTCTTTGAGTCTTGCATCCAGTCTCGGTTTCGGTCCCTCCGTATTCTCACCCGGGGTGCTCAATTTTTGGCAGCCATCTTCAACGGCGGCACAGATGAAGGGGTCAGCATCGATTGCTTCCATAGCCTGTATATTGTTAGGATGTCTCTATGTTAGGTAGGGAAGGAAGCATCGGAAAGGCTGAGGTGACTAACTTCTTTCACATGAAACAAAGGATTGGCTGCCTCTTTGACCAATTTGGCATACAATTTATAGGCGAAGAGCTCGTAGTGCCAAAGGAAATCATCAATGTGCTCTGATGAAAGCCCAAATGCCTTGCGTACAAACTCTTCATATGGGATACTTCGGAACTTTTGGAAGCTTTCATCTGAGAGCATTCTAGCGAGACTCGCAGGGCTCTCCTGTACAAGCCGGGATAGATCAAACTCCCAGTGAGTCTGATTCGGGGAGCACCCTGCCCGACGAGGAGATTTGGTGTCTTCGTCGTCAATGAGGCCGAGCTTCCAAAGAAGCCCAATTGATTCTTTGTTCTTTTCGAGCAGCATTCTGCGAACATCGTTCGGTCCACGGTGTACTGGCTCTTCCCGCAAGTACCCGTTATTTTCATCGGCATGTTCGTGTTCTGTTTCGTCGTTTATCTGCGTGGATGCGACGCTTAAAGATGTCTTTGAACATACATGCTCCATGGCTGAAAATCCAGTTTATGTTAGCAAACGTTCGGAACGAGGAATATCAAAGTCCATCTCCTTGGTGAATTGAAAAGAGGCCCACCTTTTCGAACATTACAGGTATGCTGCACAAAAGTAGTCATCGTCTGTGAGAACTGAGCGTTGGAGACTTATTGTGAAGACAGAAAGACGCATGTATATATATAGTATGACGCGCTCTACACGCCAAGCATTTGAGTCTTGCTCGCATATACGTATCTTCGTAGTTGCAGCATAGCTCAAACCCCTGATTCCCACTTGGTGGAGCCCGATCCTTTGGCAAGATTGGGGAGACTCGCAAGGCCCGTGACAGGACCAGGCACCCCTGTCGGCTCTGTGAAAAGACCAGTGGCCACAGGTCTGGATCAGTGTATGCAAAACGTTAGGCTAAGATGATCACATTGCCGCAAACCTACCTGTGTGGGGCTCAATACTTCGATTAGTGCATCCGACTAACCATGCCGAGCAAGGCTCCACAAAGCGGTTCCCGGGACTCTTGGTATCAGCTCCGTAATTACGAAAACTTTCAATACATCATAATTCATCGAATTAAATCCTGAGGGAAACGGTGGGAAAGGACAACCAGGCAGAGGGATCCTGATGCCGCGCTTGTGACGCCTGGAACACTGGTATGAAATGAGGACCCACCACCAAACCACGTCCTCCCTTCCTCTCACACGCCCCTGCCGCCCGCTGAGGGCTAGATCACAAGTCTATCATTTCCAGGATGAGTTCATGCAACCGCAACCCACATCACACATCTATTTCCATCTGGTCTTGTGCGCGTTATCTAATGGAGTCTGCGCATTGATCGTTTACATGATCTCAAATATATATTTATATATTATCCCCGGCACTCATTTGCTTTTCTATGGAGCAACCTCTATTAACCACCCCTTCCAACCAGTTCACAGTCGGTTGAGTTACGGTCACTTTTGTGTCTGGAAGAACGTCATAGATTCATATCCGATTGACCATGGATTTTCCTCCGTCAAATTTTGCCCAACTACTGCCAGATAGCAATATACCAGGTCTCAATGCCAACGGCAACTGGTTGGTATCCAATGCAAATGGGCATTGGATTGAGACGCATCATCCATACCAAAGCGCTGCTTTCATCAACCCCGGTAGGGATTTCCTCCACAATCTCCCATTGAGATTCCGGAACCAAGGGACGTTTAGAGAGACTGATGCTCGCAAAAGATCAAGTGAACCCGTCAACCCTGCCCAGTTCGAATGCCTCACGACTTATGTATCCGCCAGTACACTATCCATTTTACTTCCATCCACCGCCGCCAGATAGAAGACTTGGCGTAACTTTCAATCTTGCCAACCCGCATCAAAACCGTCCAATTAGCCTGCCTCTTCACAGCACACTGATAACTGGACAACGCGGTCAGCCTTATGGGCAGCAGAACTCGCGGCTTTATACTGGCTCCTTGAACGAAATGTCACTTGTTTCCCAAAACCGCACAGGGGATACCAATAAGATTTCATGGACTTCAAGCCCTGGCGCGACTCTAAAGTCAACGAGTCCGCAGCCTGCCTCTGTGCAGCCTCCTGGGATGTCCTCTTCAACCCAATTGAAGAGACGCCGTGGAGAAGTGGCGCACACCTGTGTGAAATGTAGCAGGTGTTTCGGAAGTCACTCAGATTTGAGGCGTCACGTTCGCATCCGTAAGCAACTGCCAATTGTCCAAAAACTTTTGCTATACTGACTCGATCATTATCAGACACCGGAGAAAAGCCATTTATTTGCCCGTCTGGGTTGGCATGTTCTAGAAAAGATGCACTGAAACGCCACATCAGCAGGTCACACCGAGATGGGCTCACTTCGCCAAGCGGGCCACTCAAACCAATGGTTCAGGCTATTTTCAAGCCCCAAGCCCAGAACAACAATGCTTTTCTTGATATTGCCCGGAATGGCCAGACTCAGGCTGTTGCTAAACCGTCCTATCGTGTCATTCATGTTGAAGAGGGTCGGACACAGACAAAATCCGTGGCTGACTTCAAAGACCCATTTTGTATAGAATGGCAAGTATGGTCGTTGCAGGGAGAGCCACTGTAAGTCTTTTGCTTTCGACAGGTTCAAACCATGTTAATGAAGATTAGGAGTGATATATTTACTCATCGGGTGAGGTTGACAGAAGATAAAATCGTTGAGACTGAGAGAGCGATACATCCATGGCTGTGGGAGCCATGCATGGCCGACAGCTTGAAAAAGGACCCGGTCGTGGGAAAACCAAGGGTGATCGTTAAAGAAGGGTATGTCTCCAGTTTACCACCACAGACATCATTTACTAACTACAAATGCCAGCTCTACTGCCAATGACTGCTTGTGGGTAAGCTATTCCCATACATCCTGTGCTGTTCTAATAAAATAAAGAGCATTTTCAATACGAGCGGCAACAATACTCGTACCAACGGGGTGTGAAGATAAAGCACCGGTCACGGTTAAAGCTGACTTTTTAAAATGGATTCCAATTGTGATCATGGAGGACAGTACAGCCTCAAGACCTCCATTGGTAGTTGCACCTAATGAGAAGGTCTCTCTGTCCATGGCCAGAACAGGCACGCTAAAGAACCCGGCGACTGTTCACTTGGATAGAGCAAGTCATCCACAGAGCAGCTTCATTTACAAGGCAATCCCAGACCCAGATGACGAACTTAATGATCCTGCCTGACCAAGGCCTACCTTGGACTGATTATAGATTGAGAAGATTCCAGGGGGTGACCGTCAAGTTGTCATAGAGATGCTTCGAAAAACCGGTATAGCTTGCAAGGGCACTTTTTACGCAACAGTCTTTGCGACTTTGAGTGACCAGGCATGCACAAGCGCTTTGAGAGCATGGGTGCACACACCTACAGCTTTACCACAGGACTGTGGTATGCTGGCCAGCCGGACTCACTTGTTCATCAAGTCATTAATTGCAGAAAACCGGAGACATACCCTTTCGGTGGTATTTCAAAGCAGCTGCATTAAACAGCTCGAAGGAGATATTGCAGGCCTGAAAATGGCACCGATAGATAAATGGAGGATCTGCCTTTGCTTGTGGTTAATAAAGCTGGAAAGTTCCCATCAGGGCAAGCTGAAACGTGCGCCATACTCTTGATCTGCGCGTAAATGTTGCTGATACCTAGCAGAATTCATCTCGCATATCCCTAATCTATGAGATTAATCAACAGCGATGGAAGATGTTTTGCCAGAGTTCTACCCTGGTTTGGGAGTAGAAGCGCAAAGCCGTTTACAGCTTCATCTATCTGGGAGTGCTTCGTTGCAACAAAGGTTGCCGTCAAACGATACTTCTTGTTTCTGCAGATTGAGCGAATGTTTGTGTATTGTTGTTCCAGGGAGTCCCCTACTCGAGAATCGCATTTCCGAGACATAGACTTCAATGGGCTATGGATGTTATCAGTTTAAATAAATTTGTACCAATTCTGTGCTTTGCTTGATGGCTGGTTGGGGTTTGAGGTCACAGCCTCGAAGCTCCTGTTTGAAATAGTGCCTTTTCATTTCTAGCTTTCCGATTGTATTCTATGCATCAATTCTGTTTCAATTCTTCACGACGAAAGAAGATTGTAATGTGAAAAAACATCAGAAATTATTATAGGACTAAAGTTACTAAAGCGCTCTAGGTTGGCAAATTTCCCTTGCATTCAGTGTAAGAATTGAACTATTCTTGTCACCCATCTTGATTATCAAACACGAAAAAGTCCGTAGAGTAGAACATTTGAAATCCTTGAATACTGCCTTCTGAACATGTCAACGAAGACACAGGCAGCTCGATTCATATCAATGGTCCCTACAGAAGAACGCAATAAAGCTCTTTGGGTCCATATTTCCGTTGGCGAGTTTGCTGTTGTTTTTGACAGAACCACCCTCGAGGCTATGTTTTCCGACTGAGCCAGTTCTCTTGCCATCGATAACGCTACCGTTAATTACTTGCGAGCTACCATCGATTTGGGTGGCTTTGCTAGAGTGATCTGTAGCTGCATATCTGATTAGTTGCTGCATCACAAAACGTGTAGGCAAATCAGAGAGTGGCGGTAATGGCGGTGGTACCTTGGCTATTTTTCTGGTCGTTTTTACCTGGGGCAAGACCTGACGGCGGACACTGGTTAAACAACTCAAATATTAGTGGAAATTCGAGAATAAGCAAGGGAAAATCTTACCGTAGACTCCGCAAGTAACCGTCTCCCATCTGTTTCCTGGTGGGATGTGATGGACGATCTACGATTGTGGTCACGAGGACTTTGGAGGGTGATTTCAGTCATACTGAGGAATCAGTCTGAGAATGGATGAGCGAGTTGGGATTTGATTTATTCCTTGAGTTGGTGCAGAAATGGGAGTGGACGGAAAAGTCCCTGCTTTTATGGCGGACTCTAACCCTTGGTAAATACGAGGTATGCCGTAGATTCCTGCAAGTTTCATTTAATAGGCTGAAAATAGCTGTGTAATCAATGCCCGTAGTGACCAGTGAAAAGCCTTGTCCGGTGGAACCAACAGTATATGCGAAGCGAAGGTTCAGACCACGGAATTGTCGGCTACCTCGGACCCCTTGGTTAGGAAACAGCCTTTGGCGGGCCCATCTATATTCTGAATGGGCATAGCACTGAGATTTATCGCATTGGATTACCCCCACTAAAGTCGTGCTATCAGGCAGAGGGTAGAGCCGGTTTGGGGACAGAGCGGCCCTCCCTGTTTACCACACACAGCCTTCGCACAGGGTAGCATTCCCATTCTTCCTGTGAAACCAAGCCCTCGAGGTACTCCAGAAAACCGACTTTTCCTTGGCACTGGGGCGGCTTCAGCCACGACAAAGGCCCTAGTATGCAAGCATGACCAATAGCGACCAACTTGCGGGTGGATCACATCAGTTGAAGGTTTCTACCAAGGATTTGGAATCAGTAGCGGTAACTCCGATTATCCTATCTGGGCAAGAGCAGACTACAGTGTCTCCCACCGGGTCCACCATGACCTGTATCTTAAAATGTGCGCCCGTCCTCCATGGACAGCTATGCTCATTAGCTCGGCCAAATAACGTTTATGCGTCTCGCGGGAATGTCACGCCTCCTTTGACAACTTCGTCTCTCATGTCTCCCTGTACAGTACTACTTGTCTGTTCGCTATCTCTCTTAATTGGATTGAATCTCAACAACGCCCCTGTGTTCCCAATAAAGGAGTCACCGTTCTGATTGATATTGTCCCTGGAGAACTCGGGAACCACGGACTCGGAAACATTTCGGCCTCCGGATGACAGTTTCAATCATTCATGGCTTGCAATGGAACTACCGAATCTCGACCCCTGGACGCCTACGGAAACGGATGATATGTACAGTTTGCAAGTACCGCCGCCATATGGATCGATGCCTCACTCAATGAATTACTTGGCGCCACCACAGTTGCAAGCTCCCATCCCAATAAGTTCATCGGCCGTCTACGAATCGTTTGCTTCCCCGAGTCGGGCCCCAATATCGACCCTACCCTCGTCGCTGGCGCGTGCGTCTCACTCTCGCAAGGGACCTGCTGCCAAATCAACACCTCCTAGGCCGCTTACCGACGAATACCGACGAATGATATGCTTATACCACGAGCGAAACAAGGCAGCAAAACAGACTGAAATTGGAGGTTAGTACGGTATATTTGCGTTATTGCAATATGTTGACAGGGACAAATGAATAGCCTTATTCGGAGTGGAAAGAAGGTAAGCTAGGAATATTTTTAAAACATCTCTGTACCCGATGTACCCTGACATGACGCTATAGCACTGTTTCAAAAATAGTCAAGCGGAAAGAAAGATATCTCCTCATCAACAACCGCGGCCAGTCTCCAGAAAACCGAACTAAGGGGCGTGTTCCGGACCTTAAAACGGCGCTTTCGAACTTGGTAAAGCAATACCAAAAAAGCAAAATTCCGATAAATGACGAGATACTCATGGACAAGGCACTTGCTTTTGCCCACGCCTGCAGTCTTACAGAAGGCAGCGGAGCATTGGACAAGGACTGGCTGGAAAAATTTAAGCGGGAAAACAACATGTCATTTGCCCACAACCGGCCTTGCACGAAGGATGGCCAAGCAAGGCACACCCAGCCGCAAGGCATCACCTCGAATATAATAACCAGAAACATGAACGATATTTCGCCAATCAGTGTCCGTGAACCTCCTTCGACTGGTCAGGCACGAGGTGCCATGGAGCTCGTAATAGACTATTTCGACAAGATCGGAAAAGTATCTCCCCAGGAACGTGTGAGCATCGGCAGAGTTATGGAACGTCTCGAAAACGACCACAGGATGTTCCGCGTGAAAAATAACTGGTGTGTCCAACCCTCGGGTGAGGTTCCCCTTGGTCTTGATGCTACGCTTCCTACCAATTTGTTCTAGCGTATCATTCGCGATGGCTGTTCTTTTCATAGATGTAAGCCTTGCTCTAGTTTCTTTCCAGCTCAATAAAACTTGCTCTTCACTTAAACAAACATTCCAACTTCGCGTCCACCCAACCTGAAGCCCCAGAAATACCAGTATCGCGTAAGTTATAATGCACAACAAAGCGGATTGTGAGTCCCGAGAAGAGGCTATATATCTTTCCAAGAACACAATGACAGTTCGTTCGTATTCCGTAATATATACATTGAGTACAAACAATCCCCCATTCTTGCACAGACCCGTACAGACCTCCGTCCATAATTGTGATCTTCATCGATGGGGGCATTGGTATAGAATTTGTTGCCGATATCTTTGCAAAACCTACAGAAGCGGTAGGATGATATACAAGCATCTTCTCGGGGCTTAATCATACTGTTGCACTGTGCAATGTATTCTCTGTGGGGGACACCAGAATCTGTTGCTGTTTCGGGGGTCTGCTGGTCGAGGGATGGTTAGTGATCGTTGTTCTGGGTGGGAGAATTGGGAGAGGATAGAGAATAATGAAAGACCGTGTCTATCTGCTGTAGATTTGGCCACAAGGTGCTAGCTGTGGAGTCGCAATTGCCCATTCTCGCCTCCTGGCGGTTCAATACGTCGAAGCACCATAGTCGCAAGTAGGACACCTTTGGAAAGTGGGTAGAGTTAAACACCCCAGAAGCTCTTCCAATGGATTAGAACTTGGATCGAAAGTCAGGTGAAGCTGAGCTCAAAATGAAGCGTGGGCGAGTAAGGAGACTGGAGTGAGGAAAAGCGTGGAATCCGACCCGCTCTGCCTCAACTAGCCACTCAGACACTGGATTTGGGCTACAGTCACCGGTGAAATGGGATAGCCCGTAAATGCCTGCATGGGCCCCCTGGGTACCATTTCTACCATTGGAAGGCTGGGAATGCTGGTCATCACTGGCCGGAGAACCGCAAGCAAGCTATCTCTAGCCATCACCACTGAACACAGCCAATTTGGCGTTGCAATATTATCCAATGGCGGCACCATGCTGGCCTTGCTCAGTTGGCCCTTGGTGTTTGAAGCCCACTCAGTTGGGTATGTGCATGCTCCCCTAGGTGCTTTACTGACCCAAGCAAATATCCAGCCGCATTGCCTACTGTTTCAACGGCCTCCTGGGTCAAAAACTGGGAATGACTCTAATCTCCTCAGGTCGATTACTTCGGAGCAATACCGGCTCAAAGCAGCGTCTCATCCACTCCAGGATGGAGGATAGAAGCCAGGCTATGTGCTACAACCGGCTCATTCTGTCGATGTAAAGGAGTAAGTATTGTGTTCCAAGGGTTGCGAGATCCGCCTCCAGCTGATCTTCCAGCCTGGGCAATCCGTATTCTCCTTCACACGCCATGCCAGTGAAGCTGCTTGTTGCCATTCTATCTGATACCTGATTCCACCATGCTCATTCTCTTTTCCTCTAAACCAGGTCGACCATGATCAGGCATCAGGGCACGGTTCCATGTTCGGCTCAGCCTTCTTCCTACAACTATCGTTAAGGAGTTGGAAGATTGGTGAGACTCGCCCCGTTAGCATTCACCTCCGACCGCCGAAGCGATTCCCATCGACCGAAGCAACTCCCCAGATGTGACCTGCGCTGTTGCTTCTCTCCGCTGCACCTCTACCTTCTGCAATACACAGTCAAAATCAATCGATCCAGTGCGATATATGTGTCGGTGCTGGTTATCCCGAAACCAACCGCATATCTGGGTCTACACGGATTACGATGAGCATGCAACTCAATAGAGCTAGGTCATATTGGGGATATCAATGGAAACACTATAATGGGTTTGATTGCTGGAACACACAGAACTGATAGGTGATGTATGGGGCAAACTATGAGTGAGATTTTGAGAACAGGCGCAACGCGTAAAATGGCTACGAGTTTTTTGGTCGCATCTCATATGTACCTGCAGCTAGACTAGGTCTTATTGTATCTTTTCAGGCTAGCCATTCCACGAGGTATATATTCTGCCTATCATTGCCAAACAGATACTCCCCAAACTCTAGCGCGTCTCTAGATACCCTAGTCTACGAATGCGAGCCATCTCTATTACTGCCAGTTGGGCACAAAACGGGCACGTCGCAAAGATTCCTCCTCGATATCTGCAAGCCAAATTACGATGGACAGAGCAACTTGATGGACAGAATGAGAATATGACCATTCATGCCCGCATAAACGTTGCTTTGAAGTTGGACAAATCGAAAATTGATGGACACGTGGAACGACCTAAACACCGAGCGAATAATTGTCTTCATGTAGATAGTAAATGATCCGTCGAAATGAAGCGCCAGTCTTGATTTCGGCTTAGTATTAAAATATTTTTTCAAAAGAAGTTCCGAGATCGTTATAACAGGATTATGACTTGAGTAACCTCAGCTTGCCCAACAGGCAGCTACAGAACGCTTAATTAATATCAAATTCGCTACCATCTGGAAAGTATTGACTGGAACAGCGGAGCCGATTTTTGCTCCGTATGAGGCTCATGCAGGTCATAGAATTAGAAGAACATACATCAACGCGGTGCTTTGTTTTAAGAGCAGAGGCTTTCAGTTCTCGGCAGATATACGCGGAAGGGAAGCGTCAAAGTCTTGTGTCCAGCTCATCGTGGAGGAGTGCGTATATGTTTGCTGGAAACGTGCAGCAAGACCACTCAGAATTTCGAACATATCTCCCAGGTTGCATGAGTTCTCTTTGAACAGTTGTTGAATGGGGCCTGCTATGAATGAAAGGCGGGGCGTATCAGGCAGGGGCATGTTGTTTTCCACGTCAGGTTGAAAGACCATGAGACATTTGGCAAGGGTTTGATGAGCAAATGGACTTAGTGTCCGAAGATGCTGTAAGACTTAGCCAGCTGGCCCTGAAATATGCGGGTATATTGCCCTGAAGATCTTGGATCACTAACCTTCTCCACCGTTGAATAGAGAGTGATTTCCTTCGGGTATTCCTTCATATGTTCCAGGAAAAGAACCCCAAGGGCCCTGTGTTGCTGAAGAAACCATTCTACTGATGGTGCTTCATACCCAAGGGCGGCGCGAACAATGTCTTCGAAAGCTATCTGTCTGAATTGGAAGTGACTTTCCGCTTCGATATCCAGGGCGATTGTTTGAGCGTCTGATAAGTCTTCTGGTGCAGGGGGAAACCAGCGCCACGGAGTCAACTGAGGAGGTGCAGGTATCGATCGACGTAGGATCTCTCTCACTTTCTCATGATTCGAGAGTTCAGAAAGGGAGTGATTCTCAGAGGGCTCTGATATGGCAGCGAGGAACGAATTGAGTACACTCGGAGGGCGTCTCTCCAGTATGTACTTTACATATTCCATATCGCGAAAGAAGCCGAAGCGAAGTCCCTGGAAAATGGCTTCGATGTCATAAGCCGACAGCGTGATGGCTGCATATTCTTCCCACCATCGATCCCGCACAAAGAATTGAGGGGTCTCCAACTTTGACAGGAAGATATTGGGAGATGATGCCATCAAATTAGGAGCATGACTGGGAAGGTTGTGCACCATACTGGATTACCTCGGGAAACAAAACTATCGTTTTATCGAGGATGGGGAATGAATACGAATTTGAAGCCACCTTCAGACATAGTATATATCCACCTTTATCTTACCGCTAGTATTACCGTGTGTATTGCAAACAGCGGTCACCCCTGCATGTTCTGGCATCGCGAACTTGGTTGTGGTGGGGCCAGAATGAGGGCTGGATTATGCGGGTGTGATTGGGTCACTGCCTACGCGCCAGACAGCACCGCTACCAGCAGCAAGTGGTGATCCTGACGCGCTTTGACTGCTGCAAATGAGGTACCGTTGGGAGACTTGGAAGACCAATCCATACGCTAAGGCCGTGGGTGGCAACTCTTAGCTCACCTTTCTTACATGTACACGGACTAAACAGGAACCTCTATTTATTTTCCAAGTTAGCAACGCCACGTCTCTTCCATCTATGAAGCACAAGCTCCCCTAAAATGGCCCAGCCTAATTCTCCTCTGCTATCCCCAATAGTTTTGCAACGAGTGCGATTACTCTTAAAAACAAAACTACTAGGCATGAGAGACATGTGAGAGAGTCGTTCTCAGCGAGGCTCACGAGAAGGCTCTTATGCTAATTGATCAAGGTCGTCATGAAGCACCTGGCGCCAGAGACTCAGCCTGTGAGACAGCAAACAGGGTAGTGTGGCAGAGCTGTACTTAAAAGGTCTCGAGTAACATCCCATCGGCTGGGTTACAGCAGCAAGTTGGAGAACTGAGGCAGACAGGCAGTGTGGCATATCTCAACACACTGCGAATGGATTTCTGATTGAGCCTTCGATCAACATTATAATCACAGAGCATCACGCATAGTATTTCCGAGGGGCAGATCCATCCATTGTTGTGTGGGCTTCCACCTTTGCAACACAACGACCGAACGCACCCGCTTTCCTAGCTCCGAAACAGGCATGACGTTCTACCAGAGACCTTTCCGCGGAATGGTAGCCACACGGTCTCTTGGTAGAAACTAGGAAATTTGAAACCCCGCCTTTGGCGCTGGGAGCCCCAGTTTGTATTGTATTTTGGTGTATGCGAAAAGGAGATCCGATGGTCTGGAGGACAATTCTTGGGCGCGTATGCACGGGCATTCTGTCTAGGAGATTCTTGATGGTGCTTGGATTCGACTCGTTGAAGCAAGGAACTGCGAATGGCATGAAGCTATTAGCTCTAGAATGAAAGGCTAGATTGAGATTGCTGACGAAAATACCTGTAAAGGAACGGGGAAGCCCTCACAACCTTTCTTGAACTCTCATCGGCGGCGACCTTAAGGGAGGGATACTAGAGTGATTTGTTTCCGAATGTGACAGGACTGTCCGAAAGTATACTGTGTCCCGACTGACTCTGGAATCAATCAGCTCACTGTTCAATGCATATGAGATTTACTGCGGATCAAAGAAAGCAAGAAGGCTGGATGGAAGGAAAAGGTTGGGAAGGAAAGATGAGACCACGCCCGAGTGACTACGGACATCTTTTACCTAGAGACTTTGCTTTGAGCCCTGCTCAGGTCCTGCTCACACGAGTGCCCCTAATGAGGTCTCTCTTGGGTAGGGAAACTCGGAAGAATTCTGGTCGATCAACAGAAGCAGAGTGAATCGAAATTCGGGGCTTTCGTTTGCCTATCGACTCCATTGAAGAATGGTCAAATATGAGGCTTGAGTGGGAAAGCCCCTCAATAAGAAGAGTTCACGAGTGGCGTGGACGAAATGAGTTGTGGGAAGCAGGTCTGGGCAAAGGGAGGGAAAGTACTGCGGTCTTCCTGCTTTAGGCGAAGAAGATTTCGGTTCATCTACTGCCATCAGTTTTAGGCGCACTCTTCTCCGGATTACCTCGTCCAGCTTTGAAGTCTGTGACTGACACCACAACTGATTCATTTTAATGCCTTTGTTCTCTCTTCGTTATTGCACTGGACAGTTTTGTTTCACACCAGAGGAGGGGCGTCAGCGCGTCACTTGAGCCCATCGGGGTACGAGTTGGCTCAACCCAGCACTTCAAGTTTTCGGTATGAGGCTTAAACGCAAACAACAGGTGACTGACATGGCAACTTAAATGTGTTAATTTAGCTAATCTCCATAATGACAGTTTCGACCTACCCATCCACTTCAGCCATCGATGGGTCGAGACCAGATTACCACCACATTCGATGGAAATGAGCCTACCTCCGCACAATCACAAATGTTTCTAAGAACAAGTTTGCCCCAAGACATCTCGACTTGGATACGACTGCTATTCGACTAAGGCAACTTGAATGAGCCAGCGACCGTGGTACGAGCCCCGAGGGCTCAAGTAATCGATCGATCGATTATCCCTGTTGCAAATGTTCATGTGCATGCCTCCGAGTGCGACAGCTTCACGAATCCTGATGAGACAATCACTGAAAGGCACATATTTTATTCAGGCACACTTGTGCCCCGGAGCGAGTTGAGACAGTCCTCGCCATAGTTCGGACGTAAACAATGATCTACCGTTACGCCTTGTGGGATAGACTGGGCTCAAAATGCTATGCACTTGAACTCTTGCACCTTGAGACGCTGGAGTCATAATTTTCTCTTGAACATACAATATGCCCTACAGAGCTCGTACTTACAACCTTCCCTCGGCCGGCACTGGGGATACGTATGTAAGCGCACATGCATTTCCACGCTTGAGCCTCGGAATGCTAACAGAAGTGCTCCTCTAGTTCCTAACGACGGCTGCACGAAATGCGTGTGAGAATCGCATCATCGCAAACGAGCCCACCACTTTAGATCCTCCAAGCCGCCCTCACAAGGATTGAGTCACTCCCGCCTTTTCCGCCTCGCCGCTCCTTCGTCGCCTCATGGTTTCTGATACAGGACTGGTCGGTTGCATGAGATATGAAATTATTGCAAGTGAATGCCGTGCCCTACACGGACTTTTGGACTTGTGATGTGCGCCCTTCTCATTGCTATCTTAAAGCTTTGGCAGCAGAAAGAGGCATAATAGTTTTTCAGTACTTCTAGTCCTGCTGAGTTATTAGAAAGATATAACATAGTGAGTTCTTAACGGTGCCGCTCTGGCCAACGAAGATGCTATATTCGCTGAGAACTATGAAAGAGAGACCAGAATGCTCCAGAAAGACTATAGAACACGTCTCTGACCTCAACACGCACTCAGACTGTATTCCAGGTTCCTTCCGCCTGACATTGTTGTTACCGCGGGATGGCATCCTTCTTTGACAATGGACAATCGAGGCTGCCATTGTATCCCGGAGTATCATAGGTTTCCGACTCCATATTTCCCGGACAGCGCGTTGCCTAATTGTACGTCACATTCGCATGACACGCCGCCGCAGTACGCAATAGCTGTAAGAAAGTGACATCGCTTCCTGCATATCCGTAGTATATGTGGCAGTGGCCCGCATTCCTCTAACGAAGTTCTTCTAGCCTCAGGGTTTTAGAGCAATACTCCCGGTCCGCTCAAGACTCAAGCTGTGGGGAGAGAAAAGTACATTTCCCGTTCTCGAAGCACAGGTAGCCATATTTCATCTTGAGCGACAAGAAAGACTCTGCCACGCCCATCTGTATTCAGCCTAAAAAGGAATGTTTCTATAAAGGCTTATATCGCATAGAGCGGATACGAAAACGATCAACCTCATTCAGTAGCTCAATATCGCCGATAGGTTTGCCTATGAGTCGCCAATATTGCTGTTCGATGGCCCACTTTCGCAAACTGTGCTAAGTACCCGATAAGTCGCGCAATTGGCAAGACATACTAGCGTAAAACCCACATAGGCCATCACTCAAAAGTTCCGCTGGTTCCGATAGCCCTCGGACGCTTTCGCACAAAAATTTTAAACCCCATATCTATCATCTATTTCCATCTACCTGTGTAGCCACACACCATTGGGAGTTGGAAAATGTCAAGCTCTGTCCCACCACGTCCGCGCAGCTGTAGTGTGTCTACCCTGGACAAAGAATCAGAGTCTTCTCCAATTTTTGCTCCCAATTGTGCCATATCACCATTCATTTTCAAAACGGGAAAGTCTCCCAGAGGCCAAAGTAAGCTCTCCTAGTGTTCGACTCTCATTCCAAGGTGGCTAATTGATTCGTGACAAAGCGCCCCGAGCCTGTGAAAGATGTCGTCTGAAAAGAACGGGATGTGATTCAATTAAAAGCCAACAATGGCCGTGTACTCAGTGTTTCAAGTCAAACTCAGCCTGCAAGTTGCCTGGAGGCATGCCAGATGTCCCCATCATTCGTTCCACAGCTTCCGGGCACGCTATCAAAAACGTAACCAACCAGAAGATTGTGGTACTGGAAACAGCCGAAATTACCCAAAATGATGCGATGGTACCAAAAAGCGTACCTCACTGTGTTCAAGAAGGCCTCAGAAACCCGACTCAACCTCAGGATTACAAACAAGGAATGTGCATACGAGATAAGGACGGCAACAACTGCAACAGCCAGTCACCACCAGTGGCGCGTTAATTCAATGCTGCGTCACCAAAAAGAGCAAGAGAAGAACAGGATGTTTCATCGTCAAGCTTCACCGAATCCCTAAGTGGATCGCAAGTCAGTGATTATGTGTGGACACAAGGAAGCTAGGACATGCTACGAGCCCTTCAAAAAGCGCTAGAGATAACTTCTAGTACTAAAAGAAAGATGTTTCTGTACTGATCGTAGTTCTGCATTGATCTGGGAATGCTCCGGCTGAATTGGCAAGTGTGGCATTAATTAAAATGATGAATTCCAATGTTCCGCTGGATCTACCGCAGACGGCGATTTCCAGTCTTGAATAACCTTATTAAATCATGATTGGGAGGCAATATTCACATTTGATAGCAACCGCAGACAAAATAGTGTTGGACTAGATGGGTATTGACAAAATTGTTTAATACAGAGCAATCTTATAGCTTTCTCAAAATCGGCTTGACTAATACTCATTGGATAACTCTTCCCTGGACGCGTCCCTAATTCTTTAGCGTAGAGACTTTATTGCGCAAGCCGCATCAAGGTGAGGGCCGCAGTTTTATTCCCCTAGTATTTTGCCGCCATATAGTACAGTGAGTATTAATTATTATGGATCCACTTATAATGTATTAACATGTGGCAGGATACAGGACTGTACTGAAGCATTTTTCCTTTTTTTGATGTGGCTTGCTCGAAGCATTATCTGCGTTAAAACCTTGGCAATCGGTGCGGGCAAGAGTTATTCAGTGTGCTTTAGTCAAGCCGATTCCGAGATTGGCGGTTAGTCTAAGCACTCCTCGGTGGAATCAGTCTCGAGACCCTCCGCTAAATGTTACTCAATGCACCTGAGTAACCGCCGCACTATTGGCATCGCTATTATTAGCAATTTACGAATTTTATAAAATACAGGGTGTTAATCATGGTCTGTTGATAAGATTAATGAGCGCAGAACTACTCATCAGCCGAGGTCACTCCCGCAGCCATACTTTAATCAAGTTCAAACATGGCATTTTGTTTTAGTATTTATTCCAGATTCCCATAATTGGGGCTTGCATGGTTTCTAATACCCCGAAGGTTCCCTGAAGTAAAGACGGTATCTGATCGGTAGCTCTTGTCCCTCAAACCCAGCCTTCAGTATCCACAATACGTTCTAACCAGTCTCGAATTCAGAACAATAATAACCTTAGATTAAGTCGTATCTAGGCCGTCATGATCTCCGAGCTTCTCGAATCTTGCGCTCCTCGGCTTCTCTAATTTCTCGGTCAAATCCCGATTCAAAATGACCAAGAGAAAGTCACCGAGGACCGAGCTGTGTAATTCCCATTTTCAGTTAAATGTGACATCTCAATATACCATTCATTCTACCGGATTACACTATACTCCTTTCGTGTGAGGAAAGCATTCAATCTTGATGTATGTTCTGCTTATAAAAGAAGTCCGCCCCCGGTGTCTTTCAGCAGCCATCCGATCGACAAGCTCATTCTTTAGTAAACTCTGAGACCACGACCATCCCCATTTACGTCATCTGAGTCTAAATCATGTCTCATGTTGATGCTTTACAGCACAGCGACGGCTGTGGTGGTGGAAATCTGTCGAGAACTTCCGCAACCACTAAACTGGAAACTGGACTTGGCGACGAAGACACGCTCAGTGATGAAGACATATGGAAATGGGGCAATGACCCATGTAACCCCTACAACTGGCCGACAGAGTGTAAGGTTTATCAGGTGCTGATGATGGCCTCGGCAGCATTTACGAGGTGGACAAACCCTTCCTCAATTGTACCTTTCATTCAGGCTAACGAAGTACTCAGCTCACTTGGCGTTTCTATTCTGTCACCAGCACATTCGCAGTTCATGGAAGAGTTTGAAGTCGGTAGCACAGCCGCAATCCTTCCTTTGTCGCTTTACGTATCGGCCCTAGCCCTGGGTCCAGTAATGGGTGGACCGCTGTCCGAGACAATTGGAAGGTATCCTGTTTACGTTGGGTCGGTAGCACTTGGAAGTATATTCACCCTTGGCGTTGGCCTAAGTCACACATTCACCGCAGTTTGTGTGTTGCGATTCCTCTCAGGCTTTTGCTTCGCCCCTCCTTTGGCTATCGCTGCAGGAACAATCAATGAAACATTCAAGCCCGCCTCTCGGGCTATCCCATCGACGATATTTATCCTGACTCCTTTCCTTGGTCCAGGTCTAGGGCAAGTATTATATGCTTACCATGATACCGACAGCCTTACTGACCTTTACAGACCTGTCATTGGTAGTTTCTTGGTCAATCGGAAGGGCTGGCGCTGGACTCAGTGGACCTTGCTATTTTTTGCCATGTGCACTATCATCACAACATTCATCGCTCGAGAGACGTTCCATCCAGTGATCAAGTGCCGGCGCTCTAAGAGGCTTGGCTTGTCTTTCCCCCCTCCATCACCGCTTTCCGCAAAGATTCGAGTGTTCGCGGCTATCGCCCTTCTCCGTCCAGCTCAGATGATGCTTACTGAGCCCATTGTTGCCTTGATCTGCCTCTATGTGGCATGCGAATTTGCAACACTTTTCACCTTCTTTGCTGCCTTTCCCCTTGTTTTCCAGGGTATTTACGGATTTGGGGTTGAGGATTCTGGTTTGGTCTTTCTCTCTATAGTTGTCGGGTGTTTGTTTGGTGCCATCACTGTGTTGTTATGCGACATATTCCTCTACCGTCAGAAGGCAGCAAGCTATCGGGAACTACCGATACCACCCGAGTTTCGCCTCTACCCATCTTTAATGGGCAGTATCGGGTTACCCATTAGCCTTTTCTGGTTTGGTTGGACCTCCCGAACCGACATCTCATGGCCGTGGCCTGTGGCTGCAACTATGGTTTTTGCCTGGGGAAATATTTGCATCTTCGTTAGTACAGCCCAGTATATCGTCGATACCTACCATGGTTTGACGGTGGCAAGCGCGATGAGTGCAAACAGCCTGGCTAGGTATGGGCTTGCAGCCGCGTTTCCGCTCTTCGCAGTTCAAAGTGAGTAGTTCCAATATTTCTATACACAACCCTACTCACCCGCAATCTAGTGTTTACGAAACTAGGGATTGCGTGGGCCTCTAGCATACTCGGATTCATGGCCGTTGGACTTCTACCTGTTCCTTGGGTATTATTCCTCAAAGGTAAGAATTTGAGGGCCCTAAGCCGATTTGACACAGTTAGAGCGTAAGACTAGGAGTCACCGAGCCGAACCAATCGGTTCGCAATCAACCATGACCACATATTGTATATAAACTCTCTTACACTGCGTCAGGGATACAACCAATCAGTTATTTATCCAAATTACAACAAACACTGAAAACACCGAATAAGGTCACGTTGGACTGATATTGGTTCCCTGTGAAATCCTAACCCTTGTACGCTCTTCGGCCGCCCTTACTAGGTTTGTTATAAAACCAATCTGTTGCTTCCAGTCGCGGCAGGATGTTCATCCCATTCTATTTCTGTGGACCAAACGAGGAATAATAATGACCTGCCAAAAATAGTGTGCTGGGGCTTTACTCTGTCACAGACGTCCCGCTTCCAGTTTTATTCCACAGACCTCTCTCGGCACACTCAGACATTATTTGTGAAACCCTGTGTTTACTGGCAGAACGCTTTAAGACGTAGGTGTTTTCGCTTTGCGACCCCCGGCATTACCTGTGCACCAGGTGGAAGTGGTTTCGCCTTCAACGTAAGAAATGGGAAGACAGACCGATCATTTGGGAACTACTATGAAATACACTTGATCCGTTGATAGTTTCGAAACCTTCCCAACGTTTACACCAATCCAAGTGCTGGGCTGCTTGAACTTCAGCGACGCTACAGATCAGGATCGATGAAACAGGGCCATAGAGAGATTCCAAAACCCACAAAGGTGCGGTCACATCGTGGCCGAGTGCACATTTCCGTTTCCGAAAGAACATATAGACCTTCTGTTCCATAGGTTCCGCTTTAATTCTATATTGTTGGGTCCAATTCTGCGTGGTGATATCCCTTCTAACCATTGTGATTAACCCAAAATTGATGACCCAATCCCCTTCTGTCTTAGACTCAAGGAATGTAGATTCCGTAAGAATGAATTCTCTCATGTAGGCAATAAGTTATCTACCTAATAAAAGGTATATTCATACTAGATTAAGCCTTTTGTTTTTATTGCTTAAGAGAGCGGTAAGATATCAGGTACTAAGGAGAAAACTCGCGTATGTGGCGCAGAGGCAGAGAGGATGGCTACTCAATTACCGGGCTAATACCTCGATCCCAGTTGGCACTCCGTGTGGCACATATGAAAATGAAGAAATGGCCCTTTGCGCTTTGTCCTTCTCGCCAACGACGTCAATTCCTGCGCAGGATTCGTGCACTTGTGCAGGCATTCCTAACACTTTTTTCAAGAAGCGTTCGAGAGATTGACGGAAACTCATATATTCCTTACTCTGAGGCACATAGTGGCCGCCAAAAAAGCCGAAAGAATATGCGTATGCACACTGTTTTGCGAGTCCCGCTGTCTGGGCGGGGGTCACTGTTTCATCAAGCGTGCCGAAGGTGTGAAACGTGGGAGTCGCAATCTTGGGGTAATAAAAGGCTTCATAGCACTTATTCCCCAGCTGGAAGCCACTCAGGCATATGACGAATCGTAATTTCAAGTGGCGTGCCTATATATGGCCATGCCAATCAGATATAAGTTGATATTAAGGACAATGGACAGGAAGCACTTGAATTACCTTCCATGGGATACCACAAAGTGTTTTCCTTTTCTCCAGCAACGAGGCGACAATGGCAGCCATAGCAGCACCCGATGAAAATCCAATGATGCCGCTAAAAGGACCGTCTTCGTCGAGGGTATTGAAGATATGCTCAAGAGATTTCTCCAATCCACGAATTTTGTCGTGCTCTGGTTCCCCATGACCCCAAACCTTTTGGTCCTTGTTGTCATCCTCATCTGGATAGGCCGGTAAGACACCAGACAAAAATTGAAACTCAAACTGTATGTCGTCTGATAAAGTGCGAAACACTTCTCGCACGTAGCGGGTTTTCGGCTTGATGATTTCTGCCGATTGCCCGTGACCTACAATTGTTAGCTCCTACCCGCACATGTGTTCAAGGCGATGTACCATGGAGGATCAAGATTTTGTGAAGTTCGGAGGCCATTTGAATCTGATAAGCCAGCAAATAAAAATATAGAATTACAGGTAAATAATAAGAATGGCCTAGGTTCTCATAGTCACAGACGAGGCTTCCTTTACATCTGGTACGACTTAGGACGGTTGTAGAAGTGTTTCCGGATTGCCCTCTAGATTCTAATTCCCAGCGTAAATGTAGGAGGTAATTAACTCAAATTATTTAGTTTTCACATCTTGTACATCGTATTCAGCGGATCTTTCAAGTAGCTACGACTAGCATAGCGGGAAAGATAATCACAACTTGCTCAATGTTTCGGTAAGCACTCATCGAAAAAGCAAATACACTACTCAGTATTTCGCATCGGAAACCCAGCTTTGTGAGACTAGGGTGGCGTAAAATTGAATGACACATGAAAAGAGTTATGGGCCATTGCCACCGCCAAAACCTCCCATTCAACCAAAGTCAAAAGTCGACTACAGCTACAGTTATTTTGCTGAGCGAAATCTTTAGCTAGGGGCAAACTAGTAGAGCTCAATCTTGTCGCTGGAACTGTCTAATTAGATTTCCTCAAACTTCTGAACATTTGCATTGCGTGGTTTCCGGTCCCAATTAATCATTCGTATTCATCATTCTAATAAATCGCAATAATCAGATCAGCCAAACGAAGATTCCGTTTGTATTATTTCATCATTTAGTGTTTGCTTTGCGTTTGAGTATAATATTAATAACCAATTGAGTGGCTGGCTCTTGAGTGTCAAATAATGTGATTTTCTGAATGTCCTGTATTAATTTGCAGACCGAGTCAACTCGAGGAAGCCTCCTAGAAAGGTGAACAATATTTTACCTTATAAATAAGAGTCCTCTTCTACAGGAACAGAACCCGAACGCAACCTAAGTCAATGGATACTTCTGCTATCGACTATGATGCTTCGTAAGTCACCCGTGAGAATGAGGCTTGCCCCGACTAAAAGCTAGATCTCCCGATGAGCCCATACTGGGATGAATAGCAATTTGAATTGGCAGAGAAAGGTGCTAACAACTGAACCCTCAGCTCGACCTTGCATCTCAACCGAGAGCAGTCCAACTCACAACAGATGGACTCTTTGAGACTGACACTCCTATCAGCGCTTGCAAACTCCAAGTCGTACCAAAAGGTTTTGCAAGGTGGCCATAATCTTGCACGATTCATGAATATACCGCTCATGAGTGATATACTTGCGGAGAAGATTTCCTATTTGTTCAGCGAAGTTTGCCCGCACATTCGAGACAGCGAGGACAAAGACAGCGAGAACTGTATCAGTTGGGTCGATGTGGTTCGTGAGGACCCATTTGAGGTTGAGCAGCATAATGAGAAATACCGTTTTCGTCTATCCGACCGACAGGGGGTATTCGAAATGACTCAATTTGACTACGACTTCATTCTTTCGGGACTTCCTCGAAAGCTTATTAATCCACAAACGCATACTGGTGATATTCTTGCGGAAATAAGCGCAATTGATTTACTGACATCAGAAATGAAAGCTTGGAGAGGTGTGGCGGCAGAAAGTGAGCAGCCGTCTCTTGACAACGGGTTCTATCATCAGGCTAACTTGTGTTGGCAGTCAGTGAGACTATTGACGACACACTCCATCGACTGAGTGAAAGGCTCATCAAGCTTGAGGATTTAGATGTCCCTGAATTCTTGTTTCAGGAGCCTTTAGTAGCTTTCCCTGGTGCCAACGTGGAAAGTGGTACGCCTTGTCACGGGTCCAATAATGCTCCAATAACCAGGTCCAATGGCAAAAAACGGACATGTGAGCCTCACTTGGAAAACGAATCTTGAAGAAAGACGCATCTAACGGCGACGCGCAGCACTCCCTTGTGGTCGGCGATGGACTGCTGAAGAAAAAGACATTCTGCCATTGTGGTTTGAATCGAAAGCAGCTTTGCCTGTGAAAGACATTGAATCCCAGTTCGAGCAAGATTTTGGTCATCGTCGAAGCATAGGTGCTATCCAAGCCATGTTAAATAGAAAGAAACGAAAGTCTTAAGAATTGAGAAATGCAAGCATTTACCCTCGATTGCAAATTGCATTTTGCTGCATGATTTGTTTTTGTGCTCAGTGTCTAATTGTATTTCTATCAAGGCCGCTCTCCACGGGGCGAGCAATGAATTCCTGCGATAAATTTAATATAATGTGAACGGCCGTTTTTCTTTACCCGGAGCCCTCGACAAAGGCATGTACGACTTACAACAACTATGTAGGTCCATTACTTATACGTCGCATGCCTCGTTTCCTGGGGCATAATTACAGCCTCGGCAGAACCTGCCAAGTTCAAGCCTCCTATTCTACTGACAGGTTATCCATGTGGTACAGGCCGGGACATTAGGTTACATATATATTGTAGCAGCATCGATATGTATTTGATAACCACTCATCTGGCCGCGTTTGTATCCCGGATACGCCACTTAATCTGCTAACCATCAATGACGAACATGCCACCAGTTACCACAATCATACATAAACGCGTCGTTTCACAGGGTTTACCGACTCCTTACTGAAACACCCATTTTTCGTGCATCGCCTCCGAGCTTTAGGCCTTTGGTCGGATGAACAAAGCCTCCGCCCGAATGGCATCCAGCCACTCACTGGACGAATTTCCTGGGATCTGAACAGACCCTTTGAGAAAGATTTTCCGGCGCTCGACCTTTTCCAGCCATGGCTGTAGCACTATAGGTACAGTGGGTGGGACAGAAAGCAAAAACGATGTGTTGAGATATGCTGTGAATGCTAGCTTGCAATAATCGGTGAGAATCCGGTCCATTAAGAACGCCACATATCCACCAAAAGGGTTACCATCATAATCACATGCGCTGGGAGGGACCCAGCTGCAATACAGACTCCAACCCCCATCCCGATCGATGAGGTGTGAAGATAGGGTGGTAACCTTGGAATAAAGGGAGCATTTTCTCCTCAGAAGCCTCATTTAACGATGGCTTTATGGGAGGCTTTAGAAGTTGGAGACTCGTGTTGCACTTCCATAGTGATATGACTCACCACAGATGGTCTAGGCAGCTCAGCGCTTATATCACAAGATGCACTGGCTCTATACGTCTCCGCCAAGCAGTGATATCCACGAAAGGAGCGGAGGAAAAGCGAAGTTACAAAGCGCGCGTTCATGGTTTGTAGTCAAAGATAATGACAGTAAGAAGGGGTAGAGATGGTGTGTTAAGACGTACGATTGGACTAGCTGTGCTGCAGGAAGCATCCGATTCAACGAGATTGTTTAAGTCTGAACCCCAGGATCAAGTCTTTCTCCACCTATTCATAGTGATAAGATACATTAACTGAGAGCCCAGCGGAGTGTGCAATTGTCAATAATGATGAAAGGTCCACCACCTAGCTGGCCCTTGCACATGAATCCTGAATGTAATATGCCTGAGGCATAAATGCTGATATCACAACATGGTGGAGAGACCGTCTAATGTGTGGATAAGCTCGTTGTCAAATATATATATTGAGAAGAAACCTTCGTTATCTCGGGGAAGCCAACAGAGGCCAGTCGGCATTCAATTTAACTCACTAAGCTTTAGTGCCGTTGCTTTAATTCAGCACGATTGAATTAAATAATGAGCAATTGGTACCGGAAAAACGGGATATACATCAAAAGCGAATTGAACACTCATTGCCTTGATTTCACCAACAGAGGGTTTAGCGATTTGTTCATTGAAATCAGTCCGCCCAAATACATCCCTTTCTACCATAGATCCCCCCAACTTGACTGACACTTGATGAATATAATGGTGCAAGGCTCTGAATTCATGGGGGCCACGTTGAGCGTTTACGCCCGCAGGCTGAGGTTGCTTAAATTACTGTTGTTTGCTAGAAGATAACAGCTATTCAACCGAGCCTTACAGAAAGCTGCTACGGTAGATTTCGTTCTGGGATGAGTAAAGGCCAATGATGAATGCCGAAAAATCAAAGCAACTTGAATTTCCTTTGGAGCCCACCCTGTCTGATTTGAGTAAAGAAGAAAGAAACGCGTCCTGCGTGCACCGTTGACCCCGCTACCTATACATTGCAAAGTAGATAAGTGCTCAAGGAGGGTGCTCGGCCAGCTCCCTATTTGTTGGGTTCGGCTTGTGTGAGTATAGCCTCCCGGCCCAACCAATTTTTGGCTTGGCGACGGGCGCCCGACGATACTGCTTTCGCCTAGTCCACTCGCTCCACAACCCCACCAATTCAACTCTCCCCTCGGCGCAACAGCTACCGTATGGTGTACGACTTGCAGAATCCCTGAGATATGCGATAGCAGGACAGTAATCAGGAACGGCGCGACCGAGCCAAACCTTCAAAACCAAGGGCGCTCTCCATCACCTCCCCTTAGTACTATTTCCGGAGCCAGGGACAGTCATTCTTATGATAAGAAACATGCGGTTGATGAATCCCGCCTATAATTACTATATATCCTTTCCGAGCGGCTCGCCCAGAATTATTCAAGCAGGCTACCTCAATTCACGGTGGTAGTTATCGACAACTCCGCATGGCAAGGATCTGGGCCTGACACCCATCACCGGTAAACTACGCACCAGGAGAGACGGACTGGAACCGGGTTTGATTTCGCGGGGAGCTAACGACAAAAGATCTATCTTGGATACTGTATCAGGGCATTTCTACATAATCGTCAAAGCCTGGCAGTGCTGGTGGATCAGGGATAGAAAATGTCGACGCATTAACATCCGGAACGGCTGGGTTGTCGAGCATAGCGAATTGCTTGGACTGGTCCAGCCAGGACCCTTGAGCCACATCGGAATCTGATAGCAATGTGCTGATGTATGCGTTTTGAGACGCATCTATCTCCGCTTCGGCCATTTTGGTCACGGACGAGGAGGCATCAAACAAGTCCTTCAAAATCTTCTCATGTTCTTTCCGCGAAACGTAGTTTGTGCGGTCCAGGGTCGCGTCGTCCAGGCGTTTTTCCAGTTCTTGCGTCTTCTGCTTTGACTCATTGAGCTCCGACATGAGCTTTCGGACCTTCCCTTGTAGTTGGGCTTTTTCAAGGTCCCACCTCCGCGCAGTATCTGCGGCCTCTTTTAGTTGCGATGTGAGCTGTCGACGATCTTGGTCGGCCTTCTTGAAAATGGTGTTGCAATTGGCGTGCACAATGTCAGACT